GATGCTTCGGTTGATAACATATCGGTAGGAATGCTGTCTTCTTATTAAAGGCCTTGTGAATCTCTTCGGCATGTGAAAAGGCATCTGATAGTTCTTCTGCAGTGGTATCAGGGTCTGGCACTGCATACTTCTTAGCAAGACTCTGTAACATTTGTATACGTTCGGTTTGATCATTCAATCTTACTTGAGTTCATTCAATTTTATTTGACGTTCCTGCCCCCTTGGCTTCCATCCTGTGTCTACTGTCTTTTTTCTTTATTGATTTATGTAATGAATGGAATATCCCCTTGGATGTATTGCCTTCTATTCGATTGGCAGACTTAGTATGTCAATATGGGCCTTGATCGTCCACTGTATTCCTTCAATTTATTATCTGACGATGAGACTATCCGGCTTGAAGGACCAAATGTTCGGATTTAAAGGGTTAGCTTATGGCTCGAACTGCCAATTCAGTGGATTAGTCTCTCGGCAGGATAATTTTAAAGGAAAGAAATAACGGACAAGGCTGAAAAATATAATATATTTATTTTAAAACAAGGTTTAATGAGTGTAAACAATTATAATAATATTGCACTGTTGTGTAGAAATAAATATTTTGTTGGATTATTCAAAATATGTGTTCTTGTGATTTTTCTGCTATAAAGGCTTCTTTGGATATTGCTGTTTTGCGTTGAGGTTATGTTGATGTTATCAATGTCAGCTAATGTCAGTCAATCATGCTTGTGAGGCAGCATGAGAAGATGGTAGTTGAATCAAGTATGCTTGATTGATGAATAGCTATACTTGATGAGTTGTTAGATCTTAAATGGAATTTATTATGTAATCGATTATGTCTTTGATTATGTACAAGGGACAGCAGTAGAATCTAGTCACAGGTAAAAACAATTAAAGGTAAGATTTCTAATTCGTGAAGGATTTTATAATCTGTATTTATAGAGTCTATTAGTCGATCTGTGTTGGTCATGTGTAACCAATGTGTGTGAACCACAGTGACTCTTGAGTCAGCTGTTCAAGGCCTGCACGGTTCCGAAGTGTTCTTCGGAATGCGCTAGTGTGCCCTGTTTGTTCTAGCGGGCCTGTACGATGTCGAGCGGTTGGTTCGAGAGAGCGTAAGTGTGCCCTGTTTGTGCTAGGGGCCTGTACGATGTCGAGGGATCAGTTCGAGAGAGCATAAGTTCCAGAAAGCGTTGCAGAAATTTTCCTTTGGCGTGAGAAAACGAAGCTTCTAGAAGTTTCGAAGGCGTCCCTTTTTTGTGAGTGCTGGCCGTAAATAATATTTCAAATCGTAAACTTGCTCGGACTTGCCGAGTTTTGTTTGTAAACATTTTTCTCGAGTGCCCGCCTCGGTCCGCACGTGCGGATCAGCCTAGGCGCACGTGGTGGTTAGCCTTGCTGCACGCGCGGTCAGTCTAGGCGCACATGCGGTACGTCGGACTGCGTATATGACCTTTCTTTTGTTTGAAATTCATGGGACTGCTTCAATCCCGAACAATAGGTATCAAATAAGATATTATTTGTTCCTCTATCTCATTTAAATTACATTTTTTAACCTTTATTAAATATCAATTAATGTATAACATCAGTTATTAAAATTAGATAGTATAGTTTTATATTGAATTATTGATACATAAAAGTTCAAAAACAACTATTGGACATACAACATAAGATCTATGAATCTTATTTAATACTAACATAAAAAAGGAATAAATTACAGAATGCTGTACGTAATTTTTTTTTTTCTTCCTGAAATGTTTTTCCTTCCTCTCCTGTCTTTTATATTTTTAACTTATGTCATTCATATAAATTACATCTTTATGAATAAATAAAATTATTGCTTGTATAAAACAGGTATACGTAACACAGCATTTACGAGATAAATTAACGTCGTTGGATGCTGAAATGTATATAGAACTATTTCAAGATGATAAAGAATTACTAAGTAATTCGAGAAAACGTAATCCTAAAAAAAAGTTGATGGCTATACTAGGACCAAAAAATATAAGAAAACGCGATTCTCTTACAATTAAAAAAAATTGTGGATCTGATGATATATGTATACCAGATTTAATAATAAATGTAATTAAAAATGTTGATAAATATCTTGTAGGCTCTGGTAAAATACTCGAATTAGAAGTAAAAATTCACAATCTAGGGGAAGATGCATTTGAAACTGTATTTTATTTACAATTACCAATAGGTATAGATTATATTAATATTGAAAGTCAAAATAAATCTACAGAAGTTATTATTCAATGTTCTGCTCCAAAATCGAGTAATAATAATACCTTACGCTGTGATATTGGTAATCCGTTACCAGAAGGAAAATTTGTTAAATTTAAAATTTTTTTACAACCAATAATACTTCATGATATGAAATCAACTTATGAATTATATATGAAAGTAAATTCTACTAATTTCGAAAAATCGGATACTTTCAATAACAATCTTTATAACATTTCTTTACCAATATGGATTGAAACTGACTTATCAATAGAAGGGGATAGTAAACCGCAGGAAATTGATTTTAATTCAATTGATTATACAAATAGCGATTCTAATTTGCCTATGAATACATATGAATTAGGACCGATAGTAACACACAATTACACTATACGTAACAATGGACCATCAACTATTTTACATATGACTACATCACTGATTTGGGCTGCAGAAACATATTCTGGAGATATTTTATTATATTTAATAGATCAACCAGATGTATCAAGCAATAAAATTCAATGCGATTCTGCTAATGCGAATTATCTCGGTTTTAAAGTAAGTTTTTAAAAATTATTTTCAAACTTATCAAGTTTATTATATTTTGAAAATTAAAAAAAAATATGTATAATATTTGTAATTTAATTCCATAGTGTTTAAATAAACAATAAATATTTCAATTTTAATTAATTTCTAATATACTACTCTATTTATATTTGTTTATTTTTTAGTGTTATTTCAATTTGTTATATTTATCAACATATTAAAAATATTGAATTTATGGATTACATTTCTCATTTATATTAAAAATAAAAAAATGACTACCCATTGGCATAAACAAATAATTACCATCTAGAAATTCTAATTTTCTAATTATAATATCTATTTGTTTTATAAATTTTTTGAATGACTGTTTAAATTGAATTTTTCTGTGTATGCTTGCTACCGTTTCCGTTTGAAACAGTTTATCATTGTAAAAGGTATTTGTCCGTGTTACAGCAATGGTTGTGATTTTTGTCAGGAATCAATTTTTATATAAATTTTTTGGCAGTTATAAATAAAATTAATTGATAGTAATTTTAATGAATAATTGATACAAATATTTGAACCAAGAATTTGTTATAAACATAAATAGGTGTTACGGATTACAGTATTTTTAAGCGAAATACAAAGTGGTATTGGTATGACCGCGCGAACATTTGTTTTTAAACATTGGCCAACCGACTCAAAGAATGCTTCTAGCCGAAAAACTCGAATATACGACTATAATTCCGAGAAGTGTTCCGAGAATAACAAATGAACCCTACAAAGCTATGCCCTATTGACATCACGACAAATAGCGGCATAGTAACAGCCACCGATGCGCTATCGGCGCATCGAGTTTGTCCGAGAATATTTAAGGAGCTGCACGTGCCGCAATTCCTCCTTACTAGTAACAAGCACTCATCACGACAGGACCGCCACTCTACACTCACGGTTTACGCCCGCATGTAAGTAACGCCGACGCTCGTTCTTACGACAATGACTACAGCGGTTCCCGCCAATGCTTGTAAGTAACGCCGACACCCGTTCTTACGACTACAACTACAGCGGTTCCCGCCAACTCAAGTAAGATACGACCAGACGCTCGTTCTTACATCTTACCTCTACACCGCGGTTTACGCCCACATCGAGCATACGAACGTGCACCAATAGCACGACTACATTTGAGCTCACGTACACAAGCAGTGACGTCACACGGATGTTCTCCCACCACTCCGCACACTACAGCTCACCCCACGCCGGCTGCTAAGATGGCACCAACTTGCTGCCCCTACCACCCACTACAACTACTCAACCCAAAGGAAGAAGGGAAATCACGCTCTAGGCTATCAAGAATACATGTACAGACTTATCACCACCAACATTAATGAAGAAATACTCATCTATTCATTCTATCATACACTCATTTCGATATTCATAGATTATTAAATAGTCATTAATTATTATATTTAATAAAAGGAAAGACTGTAAACATTAACGGCAGTACTGAATAATTGCATTGCCCCTTCCACTTTTCAGCAAGCCTCCACCCACCATCATAAGGAGGTTTTTAGTCTGATCCCAGACAATAGGTAATAGGTTTTATTTAAAAAAACTGCTTAAATTAGGAGGACGAAGTAAGAAATTCAGTTAACTCTTGCATCTTTAAGGAGCAAATAAATCGTTAAAATTTACAATAATGTAAAAACATTAACGAATTTTCAATTAATTTTTATGGTCTTAGATGCTATGGAATAGTGAACTGGAAATGAGACGTACTGGGAAATTAAAAAATCCGATTTAGCATATTCAAGACTAGTCCCGAAAGGAAGTGGAAATGAAGGCGTGCATGATCCATCATGTTGCCGAAAGTCAAACTCTAATTGGATACAGAAAAGAAGAAGGTGTCCCTAGTGGAACTGGGTCATTGAACTATTTAAGAAGGACAATGCAATGTACCGACACTTATTCTCACAAGAAAAGTCACAACCTATACTCAAGAAGGAGGAACAGAGAGAAGTCGAACGGCTGAGTGTTACAAAATATCTTTCTACGTCTGTGATTCAATATCCAGTTACATTTAGTCTCATCAAGCACATATAGCACAAGGACTGAGATTCTCTCCATCTCAGTAAAAGGAGATAAAAGAAAGTTCAAGTGCAAGCAGTTCGTGCATGGAAGCTTCCAATCAAGCCTATGAAGAGAAACTGGAAATATGACACTACAACTTCCAAGTAAGTCCTTACCTCTAGTGTTGCTTCTTCACTTCACGGCTTATTAAGTTACGGACCACAAGCTGTCCGAATCCAGAAGCTACCCGTGCATGCTCACTTCTCAAGACCAGCAATTCACGCCATTGAATGGCGTGCAACCCTCTAACCTCTATCTTAAGCGCGTGCTCACTCACACGGCCCACTATTCAGAGGAAACTGCAACACGTGTTAAGATCACGACACAACCAAGACTTGTAGTGTTCGTACAGAACACAACAACGATCATAACCTCTCAAGTGTAAATATACAATAGTTTATAACCTATCTTTTTTCACAGTAATTCATTATTTCACCCGTTACGTCCAAGGAATAAGGAATTTATCACCTTCTGATTCTCCAATACAAATATTTCGCAATGCCACATTCATTACAGAGAATAATAATCCTTACATTGGAAAGTAAATGGAATAAACAACAATAAGAAGTACATGTGTTAATTATTGAATCAGTGCATTAACCCTACCACTTGCCCACGTATTCTCCCATACAACATCTAGTGGTTTTCTTAGTTAATTCTATATGTTTGGTTCTTGAGTCGGATTAATGGAATTAATTTTTATACAATATTTTATGGCAAAAAATTTAACAATGTATTTTATCTTCATATAATGATTGTTATGTTAAAAATTGTAAACATCTTTTATCTTACTGATGTAGAAGAAATTTGACAAATTTTTAGTACTAAATAAGAAGATAAACTCATTTAACTGTAATGTTTGTATTTCATCGGTTATTACTCAAATTTATAACAAAAAAAAATTTCTGAAAATACTAATGTTCGAGATTGAGGCAGTTTAATTCCAGTTTAAAATTGAGAGAATTACAAACGCTTGTTTGTAAACACGATTCAGCGATTCCAGGAATTTTCCTACACCGTAATGTCTAATATAAACGACAATATTTCCGCATAGCAACGTCGATGAAGCTTCTAGAATATTCCAGAGCATGACGTCGCTACGGTTTTCAACTTAGCAACAGGCTATGACGCTGTAGCCGGCGTCGCAAACAATGCCGCGAATATTTAAGAGCAGCGCACCATGCGCCACGCCACTGTTCCTTTAACATCCATTCGGTCGCCACACACCTGACTCACGGTTTTTTCTACTGTCAATTCAGTTTAGTGCTCATTGTAATTCTACACCTCGTTCATTGATTGTTATTATTAGTTAGTGCATCTCATACATCAGTATCACTTGCACCAGCACGAACTTCAACTGAAATCTCCGACAATCAAAGAATACAAGGAACCACTCATACCACTACAATGGAATAATTCTCTATCTCAATAGAAGCAACCAACAACGCTACAATATTATTACAATTCATAACCAGAATAAACATTAATTGAACTCAAATATTTCTTGTGCTCAACTCAAAATTTCCACTTGTGCCTTCTTTCTTCCTAATCGCTATGGCGAGATATTAATCCATTGAACTATTGAATTGGCAGTTCGAACCATAAAATAAACATTAAATTTCGAACAACTAAGTATATTGTATAGTTAATGTAATGTATTTATTCAAAACTATATTTGTAAATGAGTATCAACGTTTTTGTTATTTGCGGATTATTTATATAACATTAACATATATAGATACAAAATTTAAATAATAAACTAAAGATAATAAAATAAATTTTATTAGTAACCAACGAGTATGTTTATTTAAATAAATTAGCAGTAACTAAATTATTTAATTAATATAATCTGTATAATGTATTATGTTATGTATGTACTAATAAATTATTAATTTTATATATAATTATAGGAGAGAAAAATACAAAATATAATTAAAACTTCAGATGAACTTCAGAAATTGACGGATAATGTATTAAGACCTTCATCTTTGAATACTGAAAATTATAAAAATAATCTTATCAAATTTCAAAATTCTAAAGGAATCCTTAAAACTTCAATACGTAAAAATAGATCTATGCAAAAATCTGAACTCTTCAAAAATAAAAATGAAAATTCTAAAACTAATTCAAAAAATGATAGTAAGTATATTTTATTTGTATTAGAAAGAATACAGGTGTGACTAAAAATAGTTGATCGATATTTTGTAGTTATTTTGTAATCAAAATTTTAACAAATTAGAAGAATCTATTCGTAAATAATCACATAAAAAAATATTTACAAATGTTATATTTTAGAAAAAATGAGGCTTATTAATACGTAAATAATAAACTAAAATAAAATAAATCTCCAAAATGTAACAGAAAGAGATAGAGAGAGAGAGAGAGCGCGCGTAATTGAACAATGATATTAAGCTGAAACTTATTAATAGTATGCATGCGAAAAGTATGTATTCTGAACTAAATAATAACAATATTTTTAATATGATATTTTTTATGCGTTATAACACTCCAGCTTCAGTCATCCAGTCATCCAGATAGTCATCCATACATTAATATAACTCATACATCATTTTTAAACAAGTTCTATCACGATTAAAAATATTAATTAGCAACGTATAAATACAGCCACTTATAATGAGTAACCCAAATGAGTTAACTAAAATAGAAGTAATAATTTAGCATATTTTCTTTAAAAAACCTATCTATTAAAACTTTTATCAATATTACAACTCTCGTATTCTATAAAATCATGTATTATACAGATTAAATTTTTACAGTCAGTCGACAAACTCACTGAATCTGATTAAGAGAATTGGACAATGTGTTTGAATTGTAAATTATATCATTGTTTAATTATAAATTGTTACCGAAAAAAACTTGTAATTTCAACGACAAACTATTATATTAAAAAATATATATCACAATAATTATTTTCGAAGTGATGATTTATTCAAAAGATTTAATTATGCATATTTTTTAATGATTATTAATTTCAATTAATTTATATATTTAACAATATGTTTTATATTTTTTATATTTGTTGCAGAACAATCAAAATTGTATTCAAAAAAAAACAATAATGAATCCATCAATAGAGACTTACAATTACGAATATTAAGAAAAACATTTCGATTTTCACGAAATGCAACTAATCTGTTACCGCAAACTATAGAAAATAAAATTAATGAAGTTTCAATTTTTAATACTTCGTGTAATACAGCACAATGTGTAAATTTACAGTGTAGTGTAGGTCCTTTAATAAAAGATGAAGAAGTCTCAATATCCGCGCGTTATCAAATCAACATAAAATCATTAAAAAAAATTACACAAAGTGAAAAAATTAAAGTTTCAACAAAATTACTTGTTATTGTTACTTCACAGCCTTTCATAGGCGAAGCAGCAGAAAGTATTGTTAGAAGCTATGAAATTATAACTGTAATTCTACCTATTACAAATATGTATAATTTAGATATTATACCGCTTTGGATTGTAGTAATATCGGCATGTGCTGGAACAACTATTTTATTATTACTTGCATATTTACTGTACAAGGTATGTACTATTAATAATATAAAATTTACATTTTTCTTCTATGAAAATCTTTAAAAAATTTTTAGATTTTAATAGATCGAATTTTACAATCTCTTTAAATGATGGGCTATTCTTAAGATTATATTGAAATATTTTATTTTATTGTAACATATACAAATTTTTAGTATTTTCCATTATTGAGTCCATTTTCATTTTTTTATTGTCATGATTAACAATAATTGAGTTAGTATATTTATTTTATATCAGATACTCTTATCTTGTAAATCTGTGTATATTAAATTTTTTAGAGATATAGATAAACTAATATAATACGATCTGACATCAGGTTTGCAAGCTGTAAATTGAGTATTAATTTATGTAAACGGCTTTAATATTATGTTCTGGAATTTTCATAAATTTTTACTGTGTTTTAATGTTTTTTATCAAGTATTTTAGTCTATATTAAAATAATTAATACCATAAAATGTAATCCACAAATTTTGTATGTGAAGTAAATCTTTAAATAAAAAATATCTAGGTTAACAAATTAATGAGTGCCACATATTCTATAAAACGCGAAAAACTATTACATATTGAAAATTAGAAAAATAAAATATACTAAATAACATGTTAAATTACTAAATTTAAAAATGAATAAGCGATCATCATAGTTTATGTCACTGTTAACATGAACAATAAGTTGTGATAATTAAAAGCCGTATATTTTTTAATATAATCAATTTCTTATTATATTATAAGAAACCTATTTTAAAAAAATTTCAATCTTAGATATTTTCTGGTATTTTCAAAAACATTTACAAAACACTAAATTAAATGTAGAGAAATTATTTTATTGTTATATAACATTATTCAAAACTGTTTCATTTCTTGGCTCGAACTGCCAATATTTCGACAGCTTCATAATAATTTGCCGTCTGCTCTAGCAGATCCTTGAGAGGGTGTCAAGTGGAAGGTTTGTAGAAATGTGTAGTACGTACAGGACTTTGTAAACGTATGGTTTATTAACAGTTACATTAGTAATAAGCAGTATTCACTTCTCATAGAAGAGTATAAACTGTGTCTTGTCATAATGATGCGGTTCCTCTTTGATGGTGACGATGTTGTTGCTGATTTTGTAAAGAGCAGCAATGGATGATGTATGCTCCTTAGTAAGGAGTATGCCCTTTCTTTTGTAGATGTCGTGACGTCTGCTAATGTTGTAAAGATTAGCAGTAATATGCGTACACTCCTCTATAGGATGTATGGCCTGAATGCGTATACAATGAAAATAGCGTGTAGCCTGAAAGCGTATATAATGAAAAGGTGGCGTGTAGCCTGAAAGCGTATACAATGAAAATGGTTTATAGCTTATACTGTGTCTTCTGTTAATGTTGCAAATATTAGCACACTCTTCTTCACTGCGTTTAGCGTAACTGAGTGACTAACTTATAGATGTAAACTATGGCGGAATAGCGTAATGACTAATAAACTGACTGACTGACTAAATTACAATGAGCGCCTAAGCATAGTGTGCTTCCTTTAAATATCCGCGCGGCAGCTTACATATCTGATAACAATGCATAGGTGTAGCTATGCAGGAATCTTACGAAATTAAAGCTCAAGAAGTTTCGAAAACTCAAAGAAAAATAAGGCTTTAGAAATTTGGAGAATTCCAACCGACGTTACTTTGCGAAGTCAGATAGATTGTAGGACATTTGAAGCAAGGCTTTAGAATATTCGAGAATTCTCGGAATCGAATATTTACAAATTTCGATAGCTAGAAGTCTCATACCTTTCCGAAAACTAAAGTCTCGGAAAATGCTTCAATTTCGAACAAACATTAATATTGGAAAATATCTATATATTGTTATGGATGTGTCCATACAAAGTAATATATTACATAGTTGCGAATTTTCTTATTTTAAAACAAGTTGATAAATTATACTGGAATAATAAATTAAGCATTTAATTAAGCAATAAATTGCATTTGCATACATGACTGCAATATAATACTAAGATTAATATAATATACTAGTAAGATAAGTCTCTTATTATTTACCTCTAATGCAGGATGATATTTTGTATTTATTTTATATTAGCTTGTGTAATATTCTAAAATTTATTGTATGATATGATAAGCTTAATATTTTATAATCAAATAACGACATCTCACAGAATAATTTGAGTAGTTTTAATAGCACAATTTATTGAAATCTATAAATTTGCCCTAAAATGTTTCCAATATTGAATGATTTTACTAATTATACACTCTTATTTCTACTTGAAAATGAAAGTGTTTTATTTATAGTTATAAGGTTGGATGAACATTTTCACAATAATTTTTTACTTTCTCAGAAAAATATTTTATTAACTATTTTTAATTTTTGTGTATCAGACTATATGTATTTATGAATCTGTAGCAGATACGCTCCTGCCAATTCTTATAAATCTTTTTGTATATTCTTTTCAAAATATCAAATAAAATCAACATTTTCATATTTTTAATCCTGCACTGATAAGTTTATCGTTTAAGACATTTGATGTTTATGGTTAAAATGCAAATATCATTTCTAAGTATTTATTTTTAAATTATAAAGTTAATATAAATTTCTTTGAAAAATAATCTGAAAACTTATTTTTATAAAATTAAAACATAGTAAAAGATAGTTAAAAAAAAATTTACAGAAATAATACTTGATTTTATATTCATTATCAGTTATAAATAATTAAAAAAAAAAAATAGAAATTGTATAATTTCATGAGCTATATAATCTTTTTCGAAGTCTTCACAATGGTTTTCATGAAACTTTTGTACTTTTTCGTGATATACTAACCTTCACTTTTATAGAATCATTCATATAATTTATTGTGTTTCTTTTGTTAATAAATAATTTATTATAATTCATAAAGTCTGCTATATTTATCAGTATCAAATAGATATAACTAATTGTATTTTATTTATTTCATTTCAGTGTGGTTTTTTCAAAAGAAACCGACCTATAAATGTGCCAGAAAAAGAGCTGCTTAATCGACCTAGACGGTATCTCAATCAAGATTAAGAACATTGCAATTAATTTTGATTCATTCTATATAGAAATTTTAATATTAATCAGAATAGCAATTTATTAAATATTAAAATTTTTTAAATACATTTAAGAATATATTTTATTTAAGAATTAAAAAATGCAAAATATGTAAAAAATAGTTGGAGCTATTTAAAATTTTATAATTATTTACAAAATAAGAACAATAATCATATTAATTATGTTATTCTAATAAGTAACGTATTTATAAATGTTAGAAATAAGTATATTAACAGTGTGAATATTTTCATGATTCAAAGTAATTAGATTTTATTAATTGTATTATTTATTTACTAATGGTTTATGAACTATAAAATGAATTATGAACAAAATTCAATATAACAAACAAATTATATATAAAAATCGATTAATAATACAGAATACGTTAAAAGAACTAGTTGATGTTGCTAGCAGAATTATATCCGACAAATAACGCTTTATATTGTACAAGCAAATTAAACAGCATACTACATAAAATTAACAAATTTATATCCGATTATTTACATAATTGTATATTTATAATGAAATTAAAATATTATAACTATCTTTTTTTGACATGTTTAAAAAAATGAAATTGTATTATACAAAATATTTTTAAGCCAAAGAATTAAATACTTTAATCAGTTTTTTAATAAACTAATTTTATTTTGTGCGTAAACCTTACATATCTGACTATAATATGAAAATGAAAAAATGTATTATAAGCTTTATTCTTGTAATATGAAGTATTGCAATGAACTGATAATTACATTATACTTAAATTTTTGAGATTTAGTTGTTTTTTTAATATATTATTTAATGGGATAGATAAATATATATTTACTTTTTCAATTAAAGGTGGGAAAGTATAGAAATTTGATTATATGTATGGATAAAAGGACAAAATCTTAAAAACAGTAAAAGAAGTGACTGAAAATGAAGGTAAGATTTAAAATTTTCGATCATGAATGCTATATTTAGTTTATACCAGCTTTCATCTTCATTCTTTATAGATGTCTGTTCAACAAAACAATCTTATTATTAATTTTCAATATACTTGAAGTTTAACCAGTAAACTATAGCAAGCTTAGTAATCTGTGTATAAAAGTTGTATTTTTATGTAGATTTTTAAATAATTTATTTGTGTATTCCAATTAAAACATATTCGTACTTATAACATAGCTTATATAAATCTAAGAAAATCGAATACACTATTAATATAATTTTTCTTAATTATTTTTGTAAATTGGATGGATACATATATTATAAAATTTACTGTTTGTAATATTAAAATAAAATTAGAATAAGAAACTTATAAACAAAGAAAACCCTTAATACTAATAAATTTTTAGTATTCTAGAACATGTCATTATATATATTCTAATTAATACTATCTTTTCTAGCTTTTAGAAAAAAAATATATATATTTTATTATCAAATAATACAATTTTTTGTGGATCAAGATTTGAATGTATATTTTATAAAAATTGAGAAATTTGTTTAAGAAATTGAACCTTAAAAAATATTTAATATATATAGAAATGTTAAATCAATATTCTAATTGTTATGTGACAAGATGCTTTATAAAAAATACGAAATATAGAATGTTGCATATTTTTTATTGTAGTATTTAGAAATTTTTATTTTATTTATTTATATAAACTAGTTGTATCCATATTAGGCTTTTCTTTTTTAATAATTTTAGCCAATAGTTTTTTAATTTCAGCAATGGCTTTTCCAGGATTCAAACCCTGAAACAAATAATAAAGTACATAAATTTTGATAAACATTATTTGCAAAATAAATACATCATTTACAATTGTAATTATTTATATTCAGTTTTATCAATTTTTTATAGTTTCTTGTATAATGCAGAAAATTTGCTTACTTTAATTGAAAACTAATATATTTAAGAATTTTAAAAAAAATGTTAAAGTGTAATTTAACAATACTCGATTTATAAAGCAAACTACATAGTAGAAAAATATAAAGAATGTGAAACCCAGTTATCTTTTGGACATCATGATGATCTATTATACCACTTTATGTTATAATATAAAAATTGTATTAATGTAACTTAATGCATAATCAACTGTATGTATCTCAGTATTAGAAGTCTAGTAGAATTCTAATAGATCAGTTTTAATTTTTGGTTGAACGTGTGTATTTGCAAAGCTTTAGATTATAGAGTATTGTATATAACTACAAATAGTAGTCATAGGACAAATCGTAATTCCTGTAACTGTTAATAACTGTGTTTTAGTATATACTTCTGATGTCTGCCAATTTTTTTTATTTAATGAGTAATTTTTTTTTAAATTAATTTTGAAATATAATACAAAAATTTAATTTAATTTCTATACAATTACTCATCCTAATATTTCTGAATTTGTTCCAGTTCCATGAATTTAAAAAAAAGGTCATTCGCTGTGCAGCGTACATGTGTGCCTAGACCGGCACTCACGTGCGGACCGGGACGGGCACTCGAACGAATGTTTACAAACAAAACTCGGCAAGTCCGAGCAAGTTTACGACATGAAATATAATATACTATAAGATCACACAAAGATATTACTCCTACTTTTCTCTCGTCGAACATTCTCGTAGGTTCTACATTTTTCCTTCCACGCCTCGCGTAAGAATTAGTGCAACAATGACGATGCTTTGCTGCCAGCTAAGTGAGCCGCCGCGTGGCTATATAAGGGACGCACGCGGCGCGCCTCGACCTCTCGCTGAAAATCTCTCTTGCTGGAAGCTTCTTGCTTGTTGACCGGCTCTTGCCGAACCACCCTCGACCAAATGCGATTACGGCTAACATCTTGCCATGACCCGACAGCAGTGAACCGATCTAACCATCTACCAGTAGAAGCCATGACACACGAGTCTCATCTGCCCTCAGCAGGACCGCAGTGGAACGGTCGGTATTTTCAGCAAAGCCGCCACGGAACGATCAAGCCTTCGGTTTGGGCACGTATTCAAAAGGCTCATTGTAATCGCACTCCGCGCTCACTCAAGTGTAATTGCCGCTCAGTGTTTCAGCATACTGTGAAGACAACACGTGGCCGTAGATTCAGCATTAAATTTAATAATATACGTGTGTATTAATGAATAAAAATCGGCAGATTTAGTGCTGATTACAGTGAAGCCAATGGAATAGTAATCAAAGGGGACATCATGTACGCAGCAACAATACACCTTGCCTGCAGTTTACCAGGTACACCTTTATATTAATAAATAAACTAGTCCCATCTCGCACAAAAATAAATCGAGCACACTTACGCTCTCGTACAGACTCGATAAAGTCGATCGGGCACACTTACGCTCTCTCGAACTGATCCCTCGACATCGTACAGGCCCTCAACAGCTGACACAAGAGTCACTGTGATTTACATACGTTGTCAAGGAAGGACAACAACAGATCGACCAATAGAATATAAATATAGATTATTGAATCCTTCACGAGTTAAAAATCTTACCATTAATCACTCTTATCTGTGACTAGATTCTTCTACTGTCCCCATAAATAATTAAAGACACAATTGATTACTTAATATATTCCATTAAACATCTTACACCATATCAAGTATAGTTATTCATACATCAAGCATACTTGATTCAACTACCCTCTTCTCATGCTACCTCACAAGCATGATCGATTGACTAAATCAGCTGATATTTACATCAGCATTACCTCAACTTCAAGAATACAAGAACACACCCTCATTACTTCAATTGAATTATCTCTCTCTACACAACAGTGCAATATTATAATCATTTACAAATAATAAACCTTGTTTTACTAAATACATAATATTTTTCAGCCTTGTGAATTATTATTTCCTTTGAAGCTATCCCGCCGAGAGATTAATCCACTGAATTATTGAATTGGTAGTTCCGAGTCATAAACTAAACCTTTAAAATCGAACAGAATTTAAATATTTTTGATAATACTATTTTAATAATTAATTTAAATAATTAAATAATAAATTGGCTTAAGTGATTTTATTTAATTTTAAGTTACTTATAGAATTTAATTAAAAATGTATCAATAAATATTTATAGAAATTTAAAAAATGTTTCTGTCTAAAAATAGAATACCGGGCGAGGAGGGCCAAATCTCTAAAGTTACATGTAAACTCCCAGATGGTTGGTAGGAGGAATGCAGGCTAGTGGGCACGATAGTGCATGTATTAAATAATAAGTAGTTTCGTTATTTGTTGCAGTTAATTACGATAATTGCATTAGTTGTATTATATTGATTTTTAGTTGATGTTTGAATGTTTTCGTTTCTTGAGTTTTGTATTACTATTGCCACAGAGCGGTAATGTGCGTTGCATGTACAGTGAGAAGGTCGTAACTTTTCTGGTCCTCTATATGTAATGCAAGTGGTGGTGGTGTTATACACGCAGAAGAACAAGGTCGTAAACCCCCGTGCTTCCTTGTGCAGTGGCACGTGGTAGTAGCTTGAATTTGCCTTGAGATGGTCTTATTGCTTACGTTGAAGGCTCTGCAGGTGCGCTTTTGGTGGCACTTCATCTTAGTCTGCAGATATTGCTGCGTACGGCGCCTCATAAGTCTTTCTTGTGGGAGCTAAACTTGCCCCTTATGTGCTTGCAGATTGTGTGAGCTTGGTCGCTCTACAGTTCTTTACCTTGTGAGGCATATTGTGTATTATTATCGTTATTAAGAAATGGAACTTTACCTTATGAGTTCTGCAGATTTTGTGCTCTTGATGGCAGCTAGTGATGTCTGCAGGTTGTGCCTCGAACGGCTCCTTATAGGTTGTGATTATGTTGTGCCTTGTGCATCACTGTTTACTTGTTCCTTTATCTTTATCTTGCACTGCTGCGAGTGTATGATTTGAATTTGCACTTATCTTGCACTTGTTATGAGTTGGATATGACTAAACTTTACCTCTTAATCGGCCTTTACTGTGTATGTCTACATTCTTGTTATTTGGCGTTCCCTTAGAGAAGCAGCCTTCCCGGCTTCTCTGGTGACAAGAGACTTTTTTTGCGCCTTGCTGGCATCTTTCTTGAAGCCATTCTCTCGGCCACCGCGTGGCCCTTATGAATTTCCTGCTTCTTGGCGTTTCCAATCAGAACGCCTCTTTTTAGGCGTCTCCAATCGAATTGATCATTTCATTATTGACGGCTCCAATCAGAGCGCTTCTTACTTGCAGTCCCACCATGAGAGGGGGACTTCTTTGGCACGTTCTCGCTTCACTATCCGAGCCACATGTAGCTGGGTTTGACAACAGCGTATGCGTGCAGTGTTGCCTTTAATATCCCTTTTTTCGGATTTAAGACGAGGTGGTTTTTGCTTATATTTTTATGACTTGTTTTGCTGGACACTTGGAACTTTATTCTCCCCAGATGTGTTTATGAATTGTATTTTCTTTAGATATTCGAAGTTTTACTGAATTGTTTAGATTTAGTTAATCCGAGGCGCGTTTTGAATGTTATTTCTCGAGTATTGAGTTCGCCTTTTCGGAACTCTTATCTCGAATTTTCCAGATGTTTAATGAGTTGGGAGTTTTCTTACATTCTTGAACAGATACCTAATGTCATGTTCTCGTCGAATTTGTTTATGAGTTGTTTTTGCTAGATACATAAGGGTTTGCATTTTCCTGAACTCTTAATGGTTACTTTTCCAGATGTCTAATGACTTGAGAGATTGCTTACAATTTCGAACAATTTCCTTATTTAATTAAATTATTTTATAATGTGTTTATCTTTTTTAATATATAATGTAATATATAATTTTTTAAAAATAAATTTAGATTGAAAAATTATATGAATCAAAAATGTATATACATTTAGGAACATATAATAACCAATGGTTTAATATTTCATTTTGATCATTAGACTCATTTTAGTCTAATGTATTTTAATTCTTTTATTGATAAATTATATAACTTTCAGATTTTATTATATTTTGTTATATTTTATTATATTTTATTATATTATACTTTGATTATATTTAACTATTTAAGATTTTAATATTTTTTGTGATATCAATATAAATTTAATTAAATAAAGTACATCTAAATATAATCAAAATAATTTTAGATATTAGAAAAAATAGTTATTAAGATTACCTTTGGGCAGGTGCGTGTACAGTTCATAATTGTATGACATCGGTAAACTGAATATGGATCTTTCAACTTGTTTAATCGCTTTAGTGTTGCACAATCTCTTGAATCAATAATCCATCTATAGGCCTAAAGCAATCAAAATATATTGTACTTTAATTAAAAACCGCTAATTTATATTAAAAAAAAATATATATATAAATACCATTAATCGGATATAAATCGAATTAAATAGATATTTCATCTTGTTTTCTTATAATAATTTAATATTTTTTCATAAAAAGAATACTTACAATAAATTTTTATGAAAGAATTTAAATTATTATTCATATCTACCAGTATTATTGTGTTATATTTCTTTTTTTCATTTTTGACAAATATATTCTTATATTTAATGCACTTATTTTATTTAGAATAATTTCATTGTTATAGAAATTGATAGAATACTTTATACAATCGATTCCGACCGACAGTTGTAATTGAAAATTGATTAAAATTGATTAATATATTCGAAATATTCATTCTCAAAAAGTGGAAAAATTATATATAAGAAAACAAAAATAATTTCATGTGCAGTTGAAACGGTATATTTCTTTTATTTAAGATTGTTTCCCTTTGAAACTACCATGTTTACAACTTTATTATTTTAATTATCTTTATATAGCAATTAGCAAAAACTATAATAAACAATATTTTAGTTATTGCAGAATTTAGAATAATCCGTCCATTTTTTCATATTTATGTCTTTTTTATATAAATTTACATAGATTTTTTTTAATTGCTGACAATAATTATGTGATATAAAAAATCTGTTATTTTTATTATTTTTATTATAATTTATGAAAAGGCTCAACTACTTTTAATTTAAAATTATAAATATAATAAATATTTATATATTGATACATATATTATGAACAGTCGCAAAATTTAACAGAAAGTAAATCTTATTTCATGATTAAAATTGGGATCTCGCAAAATATCACTCATAATATAAAAATGGAAACTAGAGTATAATTGAAAATAAAATAGTAAATCTGTGAGAGTATACAAAATAAAATTTGTTTATATGAATAGTTTCATAATGAGTTTTTATATCGATAATTTAACTTTCTAATTGTACTACATACAACTTTTAAAGCAATACACATAAAAATTAATAAATTATAGACAACAAAATTATATTATAAAATTTGTAATTGCTATTTCATAATTCTTCAAAGTAGATATTAGATTAACAAAATAATGAAGTGCTAAAAGTGCGTATTATGATTTCCTGTTAATATTATATTTAAATTTGATAAAGAATATTGCTAAGATAACCTACCAACAAATAAAAAATACGATATAAAATATTCTTAGATAAGTTTTAATACATAAAATTCAGAAGCAATATTATTTTAATGGTACCTGCATTAACACAGCCGGTCCAAGGTATTTATCACCATTCCACCAATATGATGGACATGATGTACTGCAACATGCGCATAATATACACTCGTACAATCCATCCTAAAAAATGACTAATCAATATTAATTATGGATATTTCACATAATTATGAAATCCTACGATAATAACCTTGTTCGTGGTACATAACATTTAGTTTAAATAGTACTTATTAATAGTATTATTAAATCACAATTAAAACAATTTATGTAATAATAAAAATTATGTAGAACGTTCAATAGTAATTATTATAATATGTAAACAATTACAATAAATTTCATTGCATTAATTATTATCAATCAAAATTACTTTTATTGAGATGAGTTGACAAATTAAATCACAATCTATTGTTAAAACATAAAAATATTATATAGATTTAAATACATGTAATTTTTAACATTAACAAGCCAGTGAGTTTAAAATTAGTGCAAACAGATATACGTATATATATAAATATTTTTAAAAATTAATAAATTATTAATAATATAAAGCTAGTGGTTATATAATTATGAATTAAAAACAAAAGATTAAATATTTGAATGTATTAATAAAATATATAATGAATATTCTATTTCTTATATCATTCAATATATATATATATATATATATATATATATATGTATAAATAGCTTTCATCTTCAAACCTTAAATACAAGAAGTTATTATAAAACAAAATTTGGTGATATAATGGTTAAATAAATATACTTACAAGTTTCTTACGATCTTGAATACTCTGTAAATACTGATATGATCCTATTTCAACAATATTACTGTTTTGAAGCCATGGTGTTATGCTTCGATACTGTGTGTAAAAATTACTCATATCTGGTACTAAATCTTTGATTACATACATGTGTGGTAATGGATATATTTTAATTGTTTTATTTAAATTTGAATCTATAGTACTAAAATATTGTTCCATTTGTATAATGAAATTGAATTAAAGCAAAACATACAATAAAATAATTTTACCTTATACAAGCAAGGGTATTTGTTCCACCTATATTCATTGCACAAGATCCACAAATCCCTTCACGACAAGATCGTCGAAAGGTTAAGGTTGGATCAATTTCATTTTTTATCTTTATTAATGCATCTAATACCATAGGACCACAACTAATATTAAATTATATCATTATAAAATTCATAATCAAAATATGTAGCTTGTCTTTATAAAAACGTTTACCTATTTAAATCAATTTGATAATTCTTTATATATGGTTTTTTTACTGGTTCATCAGGATCCCATCGATAAATAGAAAATGTTTTTAATTTAGATGTATTATTTAATTTACATGATGTACGAATAGATTGAATCTACAATGTAAAAAACAAATATTTTGTTTATATCACATTTATAATTCATAATTTCAATTGTAATACTCAAAATATAATTGAAATTAATTTGTTAATATAATGGAAATGTTTTTTAAAAATAACTTATTTAAAAATTATTTTATTTCATTTTCTTTAAACTAAGTCTTTTTAATAAGAATGTAAAAACACTTCATTGGTACCTGAGTAATTAATTTATTAACCTTGAAAAATAAATAATCGTATAAAGCTGTTTGAAAATACTTCAAAAGCATAATAAGTTTATTGTATGCAATAAAGATTTATTTATTTAAACAAGTAATTAAAACAAATAATACCACAAGTAAATCAAGAGCATGAAATTTTTTTGTAATTTTTGATATATATTTCATTTTTTATTACTTAAAATTTATTATTATTTAGTTAATATCTACTTATAAGCTAACAAATCCTATAAGTTTCAAATCTTTCAATAGCTATTGTCACTAAACAGAAAAAATCTGAAATTACAATTATTGTTTCAAAGGAATATAACTTACCAGTGCAATGCAACAATCATGTTTATGAGTATAAATTTTTGCTTTGAGATAATTTAAAAAATAAAACTTATAACATTTAATAATGCAAATTTATTACAATATTTCGTTTATGTAATTCAAATAATAATAGAATGAAATGAATCAACCTTAATTCAACAATCTAAGTAATCCTTCAAATACTTCAAAATAATATATTTACTATAAAAATATTTATTCTACATATTTAAGTAATGTAACTATATGCTTAAACAATAATTAAATATATTGAATTTAGATACAGTTAATTAAAGATATAAAACATTAAATGCTGCAATCATCTTTAATTTAATACAATCTATGTATACCATTTGAAATTTAGAACTTTCATTGTACTTAAATTAAAATAAGTTTGAATTGTTTAAAATTTACTATATTCTGTTTGTCATTGTTGTTTTCATTCAAATCTATTACAAACAATATAATGATCTTTTAACATATGATATTTAAACATTTTCATGGACAATCATTATAACCTGACAAAATATCAGAACATACAGTTTATTCATAGTCAACTTTTAAACAACTGCTAATGCTCATTCAACTACTATTTGTAAATATAAAGATATAAATATCATTAAATATTAAATGTATTTCTAAATTTATTTACAAATATTAACATATATTTTAAGTATTTATTTAAATATTTTGTTTTTCTGAAAAATCCAACAATTTGCTTAAATTTATATTAAAATAATACTCAAATTCTAAAACACTTTCAAATATTTGGTTAGCCATTATTAATCCAGATTACATATTCAACATTATATTAATTTGTTTAAAAATGAAAAATTTATTTAAAATTGTACAATATTTTTATTTTTTAATGTCAACCATGTATTACGTTATCTAATCAATGAGTAACACCACTATTAAAAATAAAAATATTCATTTCTTTCAAAACGAGCTTTAAAATCGTAATAATATTGATAATTTACTACTAATAAATCTTGTTTCCTTCCATTTTAATAGTTTATTTATATTACAATTTTTATCATATTTTTCAAGATAATTTGAATGCTTTTACAATGTTTCATACATCATTTAAATCTATAAATACATACTATTTTCATATAAATTAAAATTGCTAATTGTATTGTCAGTGTATACCAGTAATTTATTTTACAAGTATTTCAATCTATAAAAACATTAAACATCATAATTCCTTTTTTTCCAACTTATTAAATTGTACACTGTATAATAATAAATTCTGTTAATTGTGTTTCACATGTAGAATTACTTAAAAAATATTATTCTAATTATAAAATTAAAAAATTTATTTTTATAATTATTTTATTTTTAAACAATATAAATATTTACTTTTTTTAAAAGCTTTTTATGTTATATATATTTTAATCATTTTTATACAATATTTATACTATGTAATATCCAAACTATTTTAGAAAAATGTTTATATATTATATTTTAATTTTCTATTTTTTAGAAGTTCATTATATCTTCTTATTCATGAAATTGCAACTGCTACCATCGCAATAGACTAGTTTATTTGCTAAATGATTAGGAACTGTAATGCTACTTCTTTTTTTTATCGTATTTGATTTATTTCTGATCTTTAATAATAAATAACAAATTATCAGAATTCTATCTGCAACAATATATTATGCTATGACATAATTATTATATTCTGAAATATATATCCATATGTAATTTCATACAATATATGATAATATTTATATAAATATATGAGATACAACAGTAGGTACATTAATTAAAAAAAGTATTTAATTTTTCGTAATAATAAATCATTGGATTTAGGTAATATAAATTGTTTATTTAATTATTCTATCAACTCAATTATTTTATTAATTTAGTTAGTACTGATTAATGTTAGACTTATTTAAAATAATGAGCATAACTCAAAATATATGCACAGAAGTAGTAAATAAAATTATTTTATTCTATATTTTCACTAAAAAAAAAACTTTAATATCCTATGGTACTTGCCAGATTTATCAAAATTTTAAAATATCCATAAAATTATTTCATATATTTTAATCACAAGAAAATAATATATAATACAAAGATAAGTTTAAACCATAAAAATCATAAATATCAAAGTACCTATTTATAAATAAAATTTAGAAGTAATTTATAAATTTTATATAAATAAAATTTATAAGTAAAATCTAAAAATATTATGAAATAAAAGATTCACTAAATATTTTCTTTATAGAAAAATAATTTTCTAATTAACTAAGTATTCTAAATAATCTTTTTTAAGTATAAAATCGCATATGAAATTGGTTCATAATTTAAACATTTACATATTAATAAATTTTAATTATCAATTAAATACTACATAATTTAATAAAATTCAAAAATATTCTCTCTAAAAATATTAAAACTTAAATAATTCAAATATATATTAAACAAATTTTATATATTTACATAAATAACGTTAATTTTTATTACTTTAAATTGAAACTTAATTTAATTGATCGTAAACCAAATTAATATTAATATTACTACTTTTAAACTAAACATATATTTATATATATATTTTAAACATATATTACAATAAAACTATATATTATTTATAGAACAGAATCACACACGCTCTCCACATATGCACATGTATATAGAAGGCTTATATTTTTCTACACATAAAATTTATAATAAATATATTTCAAATGATTATTTTACAAAGTAAATTAGAAATTAATAAAAAATTTTGACACATCGAAATAATTTCGTCTTTCGATTTGATATATGAAAAAATGTAATTAATTACTCTATTAATATTTGGATGTAATTCAAAATTATTTAATACATAATTATTAAATTTCTAGTAGTTTTAAATTATAACATAGTTTTAGATTGATTCACAATTTATCAGTTGTTTTAACTATTATTATCGGTTAAATATTGAAGGCTATCATAAAAAGCTACTTGAAAGATAATTCAAATAAGTTTTCACTATTTAATTATTTGAAGACGTCATTTTTTAATTGATTAAAGACCTATGTATACATAGGAAATTATTTTTTTTTATCAATTATAAAAAATAAATAATGAATGTATTTGATAATATGATTGTAGTATTTATTATATTGAATATATAATTAACAAGTTTACTTACCGATATTAAACCAAGGTTTCGTAGTACCAAAACTAATTTATTATAAATCATATGAGCCATTCTATTACTTTCAACTGTTATTAGATCGAAAATAAAATTTCAACACAATCCCTTTAAATAACTTTGATTTTATTCGTACCGGGTATCTATTTTTTTCCCTTAAATTTACGTAATCAACGATATACTTATCTCAGTACGCATGCGTAATAAGAAAATAGTATTCTTGCTATTAAAAATTAAAAAATATAAATAAATGTATCAAGGCATTTTTAGAAAAACGAGGCAACTTAGGAAGAGCAATAAAATAAAAATTATTTTATTTTTATTTTTACTTTATGCTCACTATATGCAAACTATTTTAAGGAAAATTAATTAATCTTCATGAGTTACTTTACCATATAAAAATATTTGTATAAATATGCAAATCAAAGATTTTCAAACTATTTTTTAAAAATAATTTTATTTAATATATAGAAATTTTAATAATTTTTTATTATTTCAAATATAAATAAAACAATTTGTTTCATTTAAAAATAGAAACGAATTATTTTATGAAGAAAATTTGTTTTTTGTAATTAAAAATATTGCTATTAAAATTTAGAGAGGTTTTATGACTCGAAGGTTACAATTTCAATAGAAATACAATATATTAATAATAAACTCCCGTTTTGACTATAAATTATATATTCTTTTTAATTAATATATTTAAATTATTTTAATTAATTACTTAACTGTAGTTTTTATGATATACATTACTACCCATGTATGTATATATGCATATATGAAGTAAGATGATAGTATCTTATAGAATTAAATTCAATAATCAAAGATGAATTTTGTTCTAATATGAACGATTGATTAGCCATGATACATATGGTAGTAAAAATAAGTATTTTATTTAATTTTTTTTATATAATACATATGTATATCGATATTATATTAATTATTATAATACATATTGTATTATGAATTTATTTTCATTGAAATCAAAATAAATAATTATCAATGCATAAATTTCTTAAAATATTTATAATAGATATATATTACTGTTACGGATTGAAGCAGTTGAAAGCGGAATACAAAAGTGGGAGAGATATGAACTCCCGGACAGTTCATTTATAAACATAAGCCAGCGAATTCAAGAAATTTTTCTACGCTAAAAACTCGAATATATGGTTACAATTCCGAAAAGTAACGCCGATGAACCATGCAAGGCTATAACCCTATTGACGTCAGGATAAATATCGGCATAGCAACAGACATCAGATCGCTACCGGCGTCGTAAACTACTACGAGAAAATTTAAGGGCTGCGCTTGTCGCGCAGCGCTCAATGCTAGTACTAATTACACAGTCACCACGGCGGGCTCACTATTCAATCATCAAGCTTGACACTACAGTCATCACTAACTGTAGCGAAACACGTACGTAATAATCAAACAATAAGCACTCGAACAATCCGATAGTGGCGCCACACGATCAGAATTCGTTAACTAAACTTAAACTCATAAAGCGCTAGTGTAAACATAATCGAGAGTGAAATTATCGAAAGTATATCACTACATGTATTAATGGATCACACCGACACTAAGGCAGCAGCGAACCGGTCTCCTTGGAGTCACTCCTTATATTACGGAACACACTCTCATCAACACGTAACACAATTGAAGAAACTTCATCAAATTATTCATTCGCTCCATCATCCATACACTTTATGCCCATTAACTATTTATTATATTATTGTATTTAATAAAGGGAAGCTAGGAAATACTACGTGTAGAATTGAATAATTGCATTGCCCCTTTCACTTGCCAGCAACACCTCCACCCAACATCAATAGGAGGTTTTTAGTCTGATCCCAGACAATTACATATATAATTTGGATCATAAAATGCACTCAGTAAGTATTATTAAAAAAATTGGTTAGTTAAGTTGTTTTTTGAAAATATATCTTAATTGCGTTTGTCTTTTAATAAAACAATACAATTAGAATATAATTAAATAATTGAAATTGAAATCTTATTTGATACTTTACACCTGGAATTATTCTGAACATATGGAATATTTAAGCTGATTTAAGAATATTTAAAAACAGTGATTTTTTTAAGATTTCACGTATATTGATCCTGATATTCCAGTCCAATCAAAATTATATTTGACTGTATAATTGACTTAAATACATTTGTAACTGAATCCATATCCGATATGTTAACTTTGTATTTTTTGCTGTAATCCTTTTCTTGTTACAACATATTTAAAAATTCAAAAATTAAATTTATATTTCTAAATAAAATAGTCTTACTTCTTTCACCTCTCAAATCATAGAATGGTCACAAAATACATAAATTATTTTATTCTAATTAGAATAAAAGCGTTTATATAAGGATTATTAATTGTGACTTTGCATTCAAATATGTTTATTAATCTAATAACATGTTATCATAATATACATATTATCAATGAAAATGATAGATTATCAGAGTTCTGCCTTTAATTTCCAATACACAAATCATTTTTTCAGATATATCTGATAAATTTATTGTTCGTTAATTCAGTATGGCCATATGACTTTTATAAGTGAAATCGTATATTTAAAATCATTAATATTCTAATGTTTGAACATCTTGGATCAATAGTAGTAATTAATAATGTTAAAAGGGTTTAAAGCGAAAGGGTACCCTAGTGCTTAATTAATACTTGTCATTAATAAAAATTTTAAATGATCCACGTTTTAATTTTTACATTGACACTTTTAATAACAATTTACACAATTTAGACTGTTTTTAGATTCTGTCAATCTTATTTTTTTGTCAATCGTATTACAGGAATTAGTATATGTTTTTACTCATTGATAAAATTATGTAGTTTCAAAATAAAAAATGTGTCTAATCAATATATTAAATCTCAGATTGATATTAAAAATCTAAAATTGTGAATGATTATCAGACATAGCATATAAAAGTATAAAAAGGTAACGCATAAAAAGGTATAAATATTTGTAAAGTAATTCATAAAATGTACATATAATAAAAAAAGAGGAATTTTTAAAAATTAAAAATAAACTTATCTGTAGTTAAAACAATTAATTATATTATTAAAAATTAATAAATTTTTAAATAAATTATAAAATATTTAAGTTATTTACAATATTTACTACAAACTACACTAAAACAAAATCAAATTAAGCCAAATATACCATACTCATATATAGAAAATTTTTGTATAATATTAATTAGTTTAAAATAATATCTAAAAAATATTATAAGTTATTTATTATAATTTAATAATACTAAATAATTAAACTTATTTAACAAAAATGTTGTTCCGTTGTTTACAGCATAAAGTATCATTTGGTTAATATATTTACACTCAATACATGAGCACCCTATCTAAAAGAGTTGGGACACATTAAAATGTATATTTTAATAGTTTCATCAAGTTAATTAAATTTTTTTTTGATAGATGATAAATTAATACAGTTATAAATATTTAAAATTTATAAATAAAACGATAATTAAAATTATTTGATGATTACTCATTGAATTATCTGTATATCTGTAACTAACATTCTCTAATATAGTTTTAGCAATTTCCATCACAACTGATCAGTTACTTTAGATGCACATTGATATTAATACGGAATCATAATCTTGATTAAAAACTATCACACTGATTGTTTATTTTTAAATTAAGAATAATTTACTTTTAGTATAAATAAATTATATTTTATTAAATTTTGTATTGTAATATTTTATATTATTTCAGAAATTATTTAAAATATTCATCATAATTATTTTTTTTATTAACAATAAAATAAAGCTATATATATTGTTCGAAACTGTTTGATTTCTTGGCTCGAACTGCCAATGTTTCGATGGCTTTAATTTACCGCCCGCCCTAGCGGGTACTTGGGAAGGAGGTAAGTGAAAGGGCTTTAGAAATACAGTATGCATTTCTTCGAAAAATATGGTTTATTTACAGTTACACTATTGTTTGGTTGGATTTATATGTTATGGAAGGGTATACACTATATTCAATCACATCGTTACAGTTGCTTCGAACTAATCTTGTGTTGAATAAGTTATCTACTGGAGATGCTCCTTGATGTTGATGAGTTTAATTTTCTTGCTGATTTTGCAAGGATTAGTAATGTTCAAGCACACTCCTTATTATGGAGTATGTATTGTGTAGTCTGGCATTTTCTGGAGGTAGTGTTAACACCCTTGATTTGTAGGGCAGGAGAATTGACGCGTCTTCCTTATGTCGTGGCCATACTTACAGCTTGATCACTATAGTATCAACAGTAAGAGCCTTCTTTCTTCTTCCTTGATTTCTCCACTTAGACAGTGCTTGTGGTTGTGACGTTCCCACTTGTAAAGCCACTGACCAAATGTCCCAGCTTAGAGAACGCCTCTGCCTTATGTTTCTCCAATCAGAGTGCTCCGGGGACTTAGGCGTCTTCAATCAGAGCACGACCGCATGAGCGCGCCTCTACTTGGACCGCCTTTCTACTTTTAACGCTCCTAGTGGCTGCGCCTTCAAACAGAGAAAGTAGTCTTAGCTTTCCCGCCAAAAGGAACCTCTGACCCAAGCGCCCTCGCTTGGCTAATCCAAGCGACAGTATGGCCAGATTTGAAAACAGTGGATGTGGTTGTGTACCGATAGATTTTAATATTTGGGTGTAATGACTATTTCCAGATGTTTAGCTACAACGGTTTTTTGCAGATGTCTGACACTAGCGAAAGGTTCGCGTAATCTCGAACATATATATATATATATATATATATATGTGTGTGTGTGTGTGTGTGTGTGTGTGTAAATACACTGTTCGAGAATGTAAGAAAACTCCCAGCTCATTAAACATCTGGAACATTCGAGATAAGAGTTCCGAAAAAAGCGAACTCTCGACTACTCAAGGAATAAACATTCAAACGCGCCTCGGATTAACTAAATTTAAACAATTCAGCAAACCTTCGAATATCTAAAGAAAATACAATTTAAAACACATTTGGCGAGAACAAAGGTCCAAGTGTCCAGCAAAAACACGTCATAAAACTAAGCATCTATCGTAAACAAGTTATAAAATTAGTCTGAAAAACACAAGCCAGATGATCCACTCAAAAACAATGCTACACCTAATCTTCGCAACGCGCATGATTACAAGAAACGCATGCGACGATGCTAGGATGGAGAGGGAAAAGCGCGGCATCAAGACCCCCGTCATTCAGGGGAGTTGAGCAAGACCCGCTCTCATTGGAGCCTCCATCTTGGAAGACTCACTGGTGGGAGACCACACCACTCAAAAGGCGCTTTGATTAGAAATACCATAAATTAAAGAAGACTTCTGATTGGACACACTAATAAGACTAAATCTCATTGGCGATGCCATGATCGACAAGACAGCTCTGATTGGCGACACCAAAAGAGAGGGAATTCTCACCGACCACCGCGTGGTCGAGAGAAGGCTTTAAAAAGGCGACGCCGGCAAGGCACAAGCACTTATCTTATCTAACAGAAAAAGAACAAGTCAAATAAACGCAGTCAAACAATCAGAAATTCCAAGCTAATTACGCAAGATTATTCTATTCAACACAGCAGTGCAAGACAAGTAAAAAAGGGAATCGAGAACTACGAATATCAGTTCGCACAGTATACACAATCAAACTGCAAGTAGCCGCTCGAGGCAAATTCAAAAAACAAGACAAAACATAGCTCAACACAACGTGCAGAACTACGAGGTATCGTTCCATTCCTAATTAATACATAACTATAACAAGCCATACGCGTCAATCTGCAGATACGTAAAGCTATCTGCAAAACACAAATACAAGCAATTCAAGCAATCGCCACGTGCTCATATACAAGGAAGCGCGGGGGTTTACGAACTCGCTCTTCTGTGTGTATTATTCCATCTACACGTGTATTACATATAGAGGAACAGCAAGGCTTCAACTTCTTCCTGTGTATGCGACGTCCGTGAACGCTCAGTGGTAATAACACATACAAATCAAGAAAAGCAAATGTTCAATCATAAAATAAAACTCATTATAATCAACTAGTGCAATTATATAAGTAAAACAAAACCACTCTTTATTGAATACATGTACTATCTTGTCCACTAGCCTGCAATCCTCCTATCAACATCGGGAGCTCTCACCTAATCTTAGATATTTCGTCCTCCTCGCCCGGTATTCTATTTTTAGACAACTATATATACATTAATAAGTAACATAATTAACTTAATTTTAAATTACTAAATCAAATAATTTAAAAATATTTTGAATAAATATCCAATGAAATTATAATTTCATATTTAATATACAAGAAGGAAATAATCAAATATATGGAATTAATTCAGATTAAATGTATGATTATTTGATAGTTTTTAAATTAAAATTGTAATAGACTTTCAGCTTAAATACGAAATCAGAAAAGCAACAAACATTATATGTGCCTTTTGATGTCCAATGTACGTAAAAAATTTCTTTTTTAACATATATTTTAAATTATTAAATTTATACAGTTATTATACATTTCAATTGTGATTTAACTATTTTAAGGTTCATTATAATTTGTTATATAAATAATAGAATACAAGAATATTTATATTTATGCAAGTATATAGGCTGTTTTTTTTTCTAAGATAGTAACATTTTATTGTACTTCTATTAATAAGTAATAAATAATTAAAGAAACTTTTTACAACTTGTTTAGAACTATTTAAAGCGTTCTCTGTATTACATTAATATTTTGATTCTTCATTACCTGAAGATAAATTTTAAGATTTGCTGCTGCTGTATTTACTATTTAAAAATTTAATTTTTCAAATAATTTATAAATTTATTTGTTACTTTTGAAATTTTTATTTTTTATAATATTTTTATCAATATTAACAATAATGATAAAATATAATTCTTATATCTTATAAAGATACCTTAGCAAATTAAAAAGATTAAAATATATTTTATCAGATGCTCATTCAATAGATTAATAATTATAACTCAGGTTTCAAACATTGTATTTCTTTTATCATGTATAATATATTATTTTAATAATATATGTAAAATTGAACACAATATCATTAAGTAATAATATGATAGAAATCATAAAAAATATTATCTATACATTTATACTAATAATATTAAATACAGTAAACATACATACTTGCGCATACATACGTACATAATTTTTACGAAAACATTACGTAAAAACATGAATGTATTGTGTATTAAATTTCATGTGAAAATAACTGTTTAAAATTATTCAATACATATCTTTGGCACAATACGTCTGAAACAAACTGTAAAGCTACATATTTGCCTTTAAAATAGATGAGAGAGCATATAAGTATAATTAATTGAAAAAATTTACATCGTTAATTACTAAAATACTATTAGCATGAATGAGTACGGTTCATTCAATGTATTCTAATATTTATATTATTAAAAAGCAGGAAATACTTAATAACACTATAGAGTTCGTGTATTAATACACTTATATTAGTGCAGATATAAAGTCTTTATAAATAGTAATTAATACAGAATATAATCTGATTCTGAACATGTTTAAAGAAAATTCACTTTAGTTGATATAATAGTCACAATATCACAAATAAGTCCATTATTCAAATAGTAATAATATATAATCTAGACCGCACACTATATATTTCATAAGTTTTTAAAAAAATAAAATTAGTGTGACATAAATGTCTAGAAGCTAAAGAATAGATATATTTAATCAAAGAATAATTTAGGTCCAACTTGTATCACTATTGTCACTTTCATCATCTTCAACTAAAATATTTTCATTGTGTCCTTCATTTTCTCCGATTATAGTTTCTTGTATTGTGAATATAAATCGACGTTTTTTATTTTCTAATGCAAATTGTTCCTCAACTGACCTCTCTTTTCGGAATTCATACACTAAAGGATATATATGTTCAATTGCTGCTTGAACGGCACTTATACTTGGTGCTAAAAATAAACATCAATAATAATAATTGCTAATATATTTTATAAAATATTTCATGGTGATGTACCTGTCACGGTAACACTTCCTGTAGAAAATATCCTTAGGGTGGCTTTTAAATCAGTTAATTTATATATTACTCCAGGTTGAATTTCTGGTTCATATCTAATATAAAAGTAATACAGCTTAATTATTTTAGAAATATAAAAAATGTAGACATAATAGAATTATAAATTATTCTTAAATTTAATTAATTAGCATATTTTAATGCAATCGAATTTATATTTATTTCACAGGTGATTTATCTTACTTTACAATTACAATTTAAAAGTATAAATTTGCTAAAATCAATTTTTAAATATTAGTATAATAATTATTAGGAACCAATATAAGTATTTCAATTCATTATTCTGTTTGAGTAATTATATATTTTTACAATTAGAAAATTAGGAAAATCGAAGGAAATTTGATTTTCATACAGAAATAATTAATTTTACTAAATTAACTAACCTTATATTTTTAAATATAAAAACATTACCGAAATAGTAAAAATATACAGATATAAAGAAATTCGTTATAACAAAGTATTGTTAATATTGTTAATAAAGTCTAGTTATGAAAGTTCTTCTGTAATTGTTAATATGATTGGTATAATTAACATTAAGCGATAGGTATCAGTAACTTATATTATTTCTCCACTGCAGAGAATTTAAATGAAAATTGAAAAAATATTAGTTAGAATGTAAAAATATATATCGATATATATTTTTAAAAGATTCTACCATTTTTAAGAAGTGTTTTAATATATACATTACAACATTTATTTAGATTATATGCACAATAATTTGATATAAACTATAGAAATTAACAATTTTTAAATAAGAATTCAGTATTTAAAATCATATTTTCATTTTTATTGTAAAATTTGAAAACTATATATTTATTACCACAATGCTGTAGTTATTTGAAGAATGAAATGACTAGGAATTATAAAATTATAGACCAAAAGAACATAATGAAATTATTTAGCATTATCCTCATATGATACAAAAGGCTAACAGACATAATTATATTTAAGGACTCGTATTAAAATATAAACTTAAACTAAAACTATAAATTTAAATAAATGTTATAACTACGATAAATGTAAATGGTTGAAGGCATTTATTTTTTTTATATTTTTAGAATATAAATTCATATATTTTCAAGATTGAAGTAATAAACTGGTTTGTTAATTATTTCTATGCCTAACTGGAATTGTTACTCATATAAAATAATTAGTAATTAGTTTTTAACTTTGCAACACGCACACCATTAACTTTAGTTTTTTGGAATTAAAGAAATTACGCCAAAGAATAAACTATATATATATACACACACATACGCTATTAACAGTCTCAAATATTATTGAAAACGTAAGACATTAATAGTACTATGATGATATAAAACGAAGGATATTTATCAAATACGTACATGTCATTTTCATTATCTACTTAAGACCCATAGTAGTAACATTTTTAACTCTAATCATTCAATCGTAATATTCCTTAACAGTTTTCTCAATATTCTTAATTCCCGTTCTTATTTAAGCATTGTTTTTATGGAGGTATATCAAATATTCATTCGATATACTTAACATTAATTACAACCATGTTTCCCGTCTAATTGTGGGCTTACTATAACGATATATGGACGCAACATTTATCACACAATTCAAATAACAGAATAACAATTTATACTTATATTTTCAAGTACATATATAATTATTATTTATTTTATTTCATTTGCGTTCTGATTATTACATATTACTATATACTATAGTATATAATTACTATATACTTAAACAAACTATTCACTTTTGGGACGAAGACAATTTTATGATCATTTGATGAAATGTAATTCAAAAGTTCATATTATTCATTTGTTATTATTATTATTATTATTTTTATTCATAAGTTCATTCAAAATCATATCTGATTATATTAAAAATGTTAATTTTTGAAAATTTGCAAGCGCGTCTACACTAAGTAATTTTAAATTAAATCATTTTATTTTTATATTGAAACTTATTCAATTTCTTCCTTGAAACTATATGTTTTACATCTTTTATAATTTCTATAGTAAATATAGATATATATTCTTTATAAAAAATCTTATGTTTATATGTACACATATTATTTTTACGAGCACCATTCATATATAAATATACTTTTAATAAATAATTTTTTAAATTAATAAAGTATTCATAACTTTTAAAAAATATAAACTTACTGTACTATATCTTTATGATGAATTGAAAACGATGTAATTTTTACAGCCCATGGCATTGTACAAGTACCGAGCACATTAACTATTCTGTAATTATTAAATCTCACTCTAAAGCCTAGTTTCTGAAGGGATCTTGCACACCGTCGAGCAGCTTTTCTAGCTTCATCTTCACTAGTAGCCCCAGTACAAGTAACTTTGCCAGATGATGAAATTGAAGCTAAAGTACATGGTTTCCTCAGTCTCATTCTAACTAACTAAAATTATTTTGTATTGAATATAGTTACTAAAAGTAAACCAAGTGAGAATAAATTATTCAATAGGGTTTAACAAATCATTAATTAAAAAAATTATTTTAATATTAAAAGAATATTACCAAGATTTTTCTAATTATTAACAATTAACATTTAAACATATACTAATAAAATAATTACTATTATTTTATTAACATGATAATATTTTTAAAATAAGTTATAAATACATTAGTGTATTACAATTTTTTCTGTTATTTCAGACATTTGTATTTTAATTCATTTTGTAAATTCATAAGTCTATAAAAATTAATAATTTAATACCATAAATAAGAGTATATTATATTAATTATTTTTTAAGATTTAATTGTTCTTTAGAAATATTTTACTTCTAATGATGAAAATTTTTAAGCATTATTAAAAAAAAACATTCCTTAAAATTTCACACTTTCAAAATCAAAACTAATATAAACTATCGGTTTCTATTAACCACATAAATCTAATCTTAATGTAGTTTGGTATAACAAATTTTTTTTTAAATAAAATTAATTAGTCAACATTATTTGAAATTCATCTACGTTTATTTTTATAAAAGTACTATTTAGTAACTCAAATTATTAAAGTTTATATTAGTGAACAAAAGAAACTTTATAAATGGCATTTTACATAAAAATTTAAATTAAATTTAGGCGTTTAGAAAAGAAAGTTGCAATAAATACTTTTTTCTATAGAAATCTAAATAGGATAAAATTATATATATGCATTATAGATTTCAAAATATATATATATGCCTTTTATTAAATATGGAATATAACATATATGAAAAACTGAAATAAACATACATACTCGTAAGAATACCGATTTGTTTTCTTTTTATTAAATATTTTTAAAGTCAACAAAAGTCCCTAGTATTATTATAAATCCTACGTTATATGTACAATGTAAGACATACTAATAAATGCATGTTATAGAATATTCAAATTTTTAATTATTGGTTTTTAAACATTTAAATTTTATTATAGATTTTTTAAGGGCGTAAAATGTTTTTGAAAATTATATTTAATGTCGAGAAAACGATAAACCAACTAATAAGATTGTTCCATAGATATCACTAATTTCAATATGATAAAATTTAATAATTTCCAGCATTTTATTGCTCAATAAGCAGATTAGATAATAAAAAGAGTAGCTACATATCTATACGAGAGAATTACTTATAGAAAGATTTATAAAAAAAACTAATAAACTTACGTTGTGATTTGAGCACTAAATACACATTAATATATTTTACAAATAGAATATTTTCTCGTTACCTGCCCTGGTGAAACAATTTTTTTAAATCGATTGTCTTCCTATACTCGTAGTAACTACAATATTATCTAGCTTTTCCCTATTTCGTGCTCTTTAATTTATTATAAAATAACCGTTCAATTGTTATGGGCCAGTTATAACTCTTTTGCTGCTACCTAGTAACTTTACTTCTTTCTTATTATGAAGATATACATAATATATATAACTAATATCTAAGACAAAATCACTTCATATCAGTTTTTTTAATAAAAATTTTAAATATTTACTTTCTAAACGATAGCTAGAAAGAATGTCAAAAAATGGTAAGAGATTTACATTCAGCTTAATAAATTTTTTGTTTTAATTCTAGTGCACTAATATATTAAATAAAGAAGTTCACTTCTATTAATTACATTTAAAAAATTTAATAATTGATGCAAGGTAATAATGTATATCCGAAAACACTAAGTACTGAAATGTACAATATTCATGTATAAAGATAGATTTAAGGAATTTTTGTTGGAAGATTTTTTTATCGACAATTTGTGTACATAATTTTTAAATAATTAATAAATTATATGTTGTTATGAATATAGTATTCAAGATTTTAGTTTTTATTTTTTTTGTACATCCATTTATAAAAGCGGAAAATTATTAAAATAATAGGTTGATAAACCGATAACCTTAACAAGACTTTCCAATACTTTATAATTATATAATTTTTGTAATCAGAAGGTTTTTATTAAACTAAATGTATATTTGTAAACATCGTACATAGTTATCTAACGAGTTCTAGATTTTTAAAGGATTTAAAATATAAATGATGTAAACAAAATTACAATCTTAAATGTTGAAATTTAAAATGATCAAAGTACATAAAAAATTGTTGTTAAGCTGAATAAATAGCACATCAATTATAAGTACGCGAAATATTAATTAAAATTTTTCCTATTACTAAAAAAACATGTTACATATATATATATAATTTGTATAAAAGAATACAATAAAAAACTATATGTACAATTTTTTATTAGATTTGATTGTATTAACATATATTTATGTTTAGACAATTTTTAACACGTATGCCAATTTATTTAGATATATTTTTTCACTTTTTGTTGTATTCTGTTCTCGTTTTATATGTAATCTTTATTTAAAAATCTTTACATCTAATTTTATTTTGATTTTTGGAGTATAATATTCTATAAATTTGCATTTAGATGTATTCACAAGGAAAACCAAAATTAATGAAGTATTGGAATTGTACATAATTAGCATATGTAATACTAAGAATATTTATTTATTTAATAAATACACTATATTGTATTTCAATATGGAAATCTATTAAAAGCAATTTAATTTAATAATTTATGTGACGATAGTTATAATAAATTATGTTTAAATAAAAATCTTGAATGTATAATATAGAAAGTAAATATTTAAATGGTTAACTGATTTAATAAAAAAATTTTTTGTATTTTACTTCCTATAAAAGATTGCAGCTTGATATTTTTAATCTAGTGTTATACATGCACACAGACGCACTCAACCAAAAAAATAAAAAAAATATGTATAAACTAAAATGATAATTATGAAACATTATTTGTTAAACCCTTTCAGTGTGTTCCATATTTATATTATTTAAGTTATAAAATTATAAGCTAAATTTATACCCCATTTTCTCTTCTATACTCGACATTTGAACCATTTAGTGCGATTTCACGTAAATTCAGATGACATCTCACACTAAAACTACACACTACATTACTAATTATTATATCTAATTCTGGTTTTTCCTCGGTATCTTCTAAACAAGATTGAACATGTACATCAAGTATATCTGATTCTTTTCCTGTCAATGAAATATGATTATCGTTAAAGTTTTCCACGTTGTCAATACGACTTATCGTTCCATTACTTATCGGTTTCATGCCATTTTTTTTTACGAAAGTGGCCATAATATAAAGCACCTGTAACATTAAATGATCTTATTAATTATACACATTTTTTAAACATTATATTGCCGTAATTAATATATCATACTAAAATAAAGGTTAAAAATTACTTTTATTATTAAACAGAAATTTAATATATATAACTATAGCAATTCAAATGTAATTTTGATGTAATGATTTACAACAAATTATATAAAAATGTTAATTTTTATCAATTATACTTATATAAAATTGATGTTATTTTTTTCTAATGAAATTGTTGAGGAATCTGTTAAAAATTAAAAAAAAATATTATTTGTAATTATTTTTTAATGCTATAAATCCATTGGTAAAATTTGTCATACATTTTATGATTTTAATCTACATCGTTTAAAGATTAATTAATCAATGCATTAACCAACAAATTCATATTTATTTGATTCGTGATTTTGAGTTAACTCTTTTTAATCATGCCGTACACATATTTTCTATGATACAATCATTATTATATGAATAACCCTGTAGTTTATTATTTAAAAGTTATTTGAAAGTTTTACTGTATCTCTGAGACATCTAGAATGTTGTAATTTACGTACTTCTTAACAAATTTAGTGACTAATTATATTCATAAAATATATTATTGTCAGAAATAGATCATTATGGTTATACCATTTATTAGTATATTGGTTGTATTCTCTTATTGGAGTAAAGATATTGAATAGTTTTGAAAATACTCACCTTTCCACAAATTGTCATTCTAACTTGCGAAGTTATATGCAAAAATTTAGTATTTTTTTAACAGTTTCATTATTAATTATTAATCATTTGTTTTATAAATTTTTGCATTTTATAAGTTTTGGTTATTTTCTTCTTTACAATCATTAACTATGTTTTTTGAGTATTCGCTTTTATTTATGAATTAAATTTTACTACTCGAAAGATTTAAATATTTGTTTTACTTAATTCTAAATTTTAATTACATATATAAAAATATCAAAGACTAACTGTAAATACATTGGTTATTATGGAAATAATCAAATTAAATAAGTAAATAATTTATAAAATAATGAAATAATTTATAAAACTTTTATAATGAAACGACAAAAATCTTACGTTTAAAGCTATATAATATTGTATTTTTTTTTGCTAAACTTCATTCATTGCCGAAAAAAAATTATACAAAACTAACTATATTACGTAAATAATTTCTAATTTCTTTAAAATTACTATATGTGTTCGAAATTGTAAGAATACTCTTAAGTCATTAGGCATCTGGAAAACTAGCATTAAGAGTTCCGGAAAATGAAAACCCTTGAGTATCTAAAGAAAACAACTGTTTGGAATTCCAGCCACCAGTCTGATAGCAGATCAAGAATTGTTGAGTACGCAGTGATTAGGCGGTTAACCATGAGTGATAGAACGTCGTCCGGGAGTGCAAGGCTAAAGGGTGAGTTTGTTGTACTGGGCACGCGGTTTAGTCCCTACCGTGAAGAAGCATCTCCGGTTCGCGAATCCTTAGACATTTGATTCAGTAGTGGTTTTCCGGAGAGCGTTGTTGGGCTTGCGACTTCTTAAGCGGTTACTTCGGCGATAGATTTTTACAGAGCGTTTGAGAGCTCGCGAATTTAGTGGGGACTATCAAGGATTGTCGACGACCTCTTTAGTAGTCTGATCAGAACCAAGTCGCAAAAGCGTGACTGATTTTATCGTTGCTGTGCCGCAGTAATGACTGTTTGGCGGGGGTCACCAGACAATATCGGCACCCTCTGTAGCGGTCTGACTATCGTCACGTTGCGGAGAACGTACTGATAGCTTGGCCAGCAATATAGAATAATCAATATAAACAAATGAGTACACTTTGCACGGATTCCTTTAGACGAGTTCAACTTTCACATAAATTACTCAACAAGACTGATTTTCTTCGTCGTCTAGTGCTCCTTATATATAATTGCGTACATTTAGCGTTGTAATTCTTGAAAGCTCTGGTGAATTCTTAGAATACAAGCTTTAGTAGATTAGAGAATCTTCGTTTGTTGCTATGCGGATATATCACGAGGCTTAAATTTACATCGAGAATTTTTGTAACGAATAATTCAAATATTATGCCTTAATATAGATATAATGTATCGGAATCATTATAATAACAATAAATTTTTTATTCTTGGGTAGTTCAATCCTGAACAACTCAGAAACACAGTTGGCGAGAACATGCTATTAAATGTGTAGCGAAAACACGTCATCAACAAATTCGACGAGAACATGCCATTAAGTATCTAACGAAAGCAAGCCACAAAACATCTGGCGTAAATAAGTCATAAAGATAATCGGATAACACATGCTAGATCAAAAACTACGCTACACGTAACCCGTACAACACTGAGGATACGCAGCGCGTATGATCGTGAGATTTATTTATTGGGAAGGGAAGAGCGCGGAAACGAGTCCCCATTATAGATGAGATTCGAGTAAAACCCGCTGTCAATGGAGACCCCATCACTTAAGAAGCACTTTGACTGGAAATATCATAAACTGAAGGAGACTTCCGATTGGACACGCTAAGAAGGAGAAATCTGATTGGCGACGCCGTAAACGACAGGAAAGCTCTAATTGAAGACGCCAAAAAGTAGGGAATTCTCGCTGACCACTGCGTGGCCGAGAGAAGCCCTTAAAAAGACGAAGCCGGCAAGGCACAATCACTTATCTTATCAAAAAAGAACAAGTCAAGTAAAACGCACTCAAGCAATCAGAAAGTCCAAGTACAGATAATAACGCTAAAAGTATTCAATTTACAATAAGTGCGAGATAATTAAACATTCACTGTCAGCGATGAAAAAAAGGAACAATGAAATAATAGTTCGCACAGAATAAATAATCATAACCTACAAGGAGCCGTTCGAGGTAAATTCAGCAAACAATACGAAGCATAGCCAAAACACAACTAAGCACAAACCAAACACAACACGTGCAGAACTAAGAGGTAAAGTTCCATTCCTAATTAATGCATAACCTTAACGAGTCGTACGCGGCCAATCTGCACATACGTAAACGTCATTAGAAGTACCTGCAGAACTCAAAACTCAAGCAACTCAAGCTATGCCACGTGCCATTATACAAGGAAGCGCGGGGGTTTACTACCTTGTTCATCTGCGTGTATTTCTCTACCACTACTTGCATTACATATAGAGGGCCAGAAAAGTTACGACCTTCTCACTGTACATGCAACGCACATTACCGCTCTGTGGGAATAGTAATACAAAACTCAAGAAACGAAAACATTCAAACATCAACTAAAAATCAATATAATACAACTAATGGAATTATCGTAATAAACTACAACAAATAACGAAACTACTTATTATTGAATACATGCACTATCGTGCCCACTAGCCTGCTATCCTCCTACCATCCATCTGGGAGTTTACACCTAACTTTAGATATTTGGCCTTCCTCGCCCGGTATTCTATCTTTAGACAATATTTATCGATAATGTATTATCTAGTATTAACATTTTATATATATATATATATTATTATAATAAGGCTGTTTAATCAATGAATGTCTTTAAGATAATAAAAGGAACCTTATATTTCGAACATAATTTAATTTTGTTAGTAAGTTTGTGTTATATACTAAAATTATAACAATCTATTTGAAATTTTAGTATAAATAAAAATGTTAAAAATAACATTGTAGCTAAACATATATATATATCAACTTTAAATGTACAATTTCCCAGCTACTTCGTGCAACTATTTTTTTTTCTACTTGTACACTTATATAGCAGAAGTGATAAATTCCTTTTGTGTAAACTTGCTTTAACTGATACTATGTGCATTAATTATTAAGATTGTTATGGACTTTCTGAAGTTGGTTTATTTTCATTATTTTATAACATTTTTTACTTAGTTTTTAATATGCTGAATAAACGGTTTTAGTTGTCATATAAATAAATATATATATATATATTTAAATAGGAAAAATGAACAATATTAAAAATTAAGTATATTATGAATAACGATATAAATAATATACACAATAGAGGATAGCTTTACCAAAAATCAAACCATTCGTTAAGAATATTGCTAGTTTGCAACAGCACTATTAATACGCTTGATATTAATTAATGACATTCTTAGAACATTTTGGCCATTTCAAAGTGATATTAGTTTCCTTCTATCAAATGCAACGATTTAAATTTGCATAATTTAAACAAAATAAAATTTTTTTGTATGTTGTTTTAGTCTCTCTTTTATACTGTTTTTAACTAATTAAATAAAATAATTGTTTTTATAAAGGTCTGGATTTATTTGAAAGATAAATTATTAAATAAGAATTTATACACTCTAAAAGATTTATTCAATTTTTTGTTTTGATACTGGAAATCAATATCAGTATTATAAAATATAAATGTATTATATACATTCTGTTATTTAATCTTTAAATAATAAATAGCATTAAAATAATATTTATTTCAAAATATGTATGCGTAATAATGTTAGGATCAATGACAAAAACAATAACATAAATTGGATTGAATTTTGACTCAAACATAATTTACACTGAATATGCTATTCTTTAGAACAAGCAGATAATCATGAACATACTAATATATAATACATTATTATAAAGAAAATTATTACTTATTTAGATTAATTGAAAGTTTTCTATTTGTACAACTTGTAGTTATATTATTACATTATATTAAGTCAAACTTAAAAAAAAATCATGTTACAATAAAATTTGTAATACATATTTTAAATTCATCTCTATCAGATTTTAGTCACTTTAAAATAACTAACAAGATTGTTCGTTAAACATTTGAAAATTAGAAAAAAAAATTTAATTTAGTTATATCATGCTTCAAAGTATAAATATTAAAAAAAAAACAAAATAATTTTTTGAAGTAAATTTAAATTCGTTGGTAAATATGTTGATATTGCTATATAAATTTGGACCAAATTTATACTTATTAGTGGTTGCTTTTAATGCTTATAGATCTTAAAATTATATAAATTGCAATAATTTTAATAAATTAATTAATTTATTATTAATTTACTTATTTTATTTATGCATAATTTAATAATTGTTTTAACGGTCATATTAAAATGACAAAATTATATGATATATAACAATAATTAAATTTAATAGAAACAATATTTTTATCTCATGATCAATTTTTGATCTTAATATCAATTTATGTTTTTTCAAATATTTTTATAATTTACAGAATATTTTTTTTTTTTTAATTTTTATAATTAATTTTTATATTAAATTGTTTAATAAATTCAATTGTCTAATATTTTAAATATAATAAAGATAATAAAATTTCAGAATAAAATGAACTATTATATATAATAAAAACATACAATTTATTTATATAAACCAATTAATTTTATTTTAAATTCCTTTATTTATCTGAACTATTGGAACATGTACTTAACCAAATTAAAATAATTGTAAATAATGATCAATTAATTAACATATTAAATAATTTCTCAATAGTTATTTTTAATACAGCATTAATCAATATTAATTTTATAAAAATTTGATTAAAATATTACTTAGGTGAAATATGTTTTCAAACTAAAAAAACTAAATATTTGAAGAATGAATAGAAACATTTTACACTATCTGTCAATTAAAAATTATCAATAGAACTATTAAGTTTTTTTATTAACTATCAAACATCAATTTATATATATGTATACATATATATATATATATACACACATATATATATAGAGAGAGAGAGCGAGAGAGAGAGAAAGAGAGATTTAATTAAAAATCACAACGCAAATTTAAAATAAACATTATTTTAATGTTAATTGGAAATATCAATAAATTATTTGCAATATATAAGAATATATAAGAATGTTACACCATTTTTTTTAATTTGAACCAATATAATTAAATAAAATAAAATTATGATTTTTTTATATTAATCAATTATTATATTTATATTATTTTAAAAGCGATAAAATTTATAAATTGAATAATTAATTCAATAAAATAAGATATTTATAAAAAATATCTTATATATCATAAATTATTATTATATATAACATTTATAATAATGACATACTACCTTATTATTTTTTTCGCCTTCTTATTAATTAAATACATTTACTTATTACATAGGTTGATTGTAAATTATTAAATAGTTTAATAAATATTGCCATTGTTTTCAGTCACACGCATAAAATACAAAGATTCATAGAAATCCAAATGAAATATTCTAACGCTACTTAAAGCCTACTCACAGTTTTAGCAGTTATCAACCTTTTATTAGTTATTTTTGAAGAATATATTTTTATATTTGAAAATGTTTGATTACAGTATTTCAAAGTAATTTTATGCATTTACATTGTGTAATAGCAATAAATATAATAATATTAACATCTATAATGATAAATTTATTTTAAAAATATTTTTGGAAATTTTATTAATTAATCTAGAGAATGTTAAAGAAATTAATAACAAATTTCGTGTGCATTTTGATATAACATTATTTTTCCATAATTCTAATGATAATGAATAAAGTGTTATCTTGTTTTTTATATTTACAATTCGTATTTCACACTATCAGTATCTTGACAAAATTATTAAAATTATTGAAATTAAAATTTTATATTAATTACATAAAGTGATGAATATTTATAACATTATAATACAAAGTCATTTGTTACATAGTCAAAATTTTATGATTTAATTCTGGAAGAAAAACTATAATTTAAAATAGTCAAACTTTCAATTAAAGTAAATTTTTTTTAATTAACAAAGACATTTGATGGAATATATTCAGACAATTTCAATCAACTGAAAAATTTAATTTAATTTATAATATTATAACATTAACAAGCTTATAGTTAAAAAAAACATAGTTTTACTTAATTCATCAAAATCTTAATTAAATATTCGTAACTTACTTTTGTCTCAGAAATTGAAATTTGAATTAATGTAAAGTAATTTTTAGAATTATAGGATTAAGTATATATTATTATAGGAAAAAGAATTAATTATTAGATTTTATTTTGGTTTTGATATATAATAATAAAATGTGAAAAATGAAATGTGCTTATACATTAACTAAATTTTTTCAATTTTTATTTAATTTATTTTAGGAAACATGCTATTGCTTCATATATATAACACGTTCGTCGCTATAATAAGAAATTTAATTGAAAAGTTCTGGAAACAATTTTTGTATATCCATCATGTAATTTTATTTAATCGTCAAATTAGCTTAAATTAATATTAGTATATATTTATTTAAATTCTAGATTTCTATAGTATGAAAGATGTTTTCTCTATAACTTTTTTACTTCATATATATTATTCGTGAAACGTACTATTATAATTAGGTTATTCTTAATTGTTATATGCATTTAATTAATATACATATCTCCTATATAATTGAAAGAGGGTACCTCATAACCACTGAATAACAATACTATAGCCAGAAGCTGTTAAAGAAAATGATGTCTTGATATATTAGAAAAGGCTTAAAAAATTTTCTTCGTTTCTTATGAAAATTACTATTTATTTAACAATATACTTTTATTATACTTTGCATAGATCTTTAATAGCCTTTTTTGTTTAGTAAACCAAATATTAAATATAATATTATTTTTTGCCGAATTTGGGTAGTTTATCAGAAGATTTACAGAAATAAATATATCTTTGAAATGAAGAGGTATATTCAAGTAATATGAAAACATATTTTTAAATAAATAATAAATATAGAAAAAATGTAATGTTGTGATTGCAAATCTAACTGTTTTCTTTCTTTATATACGAACCCATTAATTAACTTTTGGTTTTGGATTCGTTAATTTCAAGTAATGTATATTTATAGTAAAATAAATGTTTCATAATTATGATATTATTACATTTTTAAAATGTTGGAAGTTAATATATTGGGTTGAATAAATATAAGCAGCATGGAATAGTAAAGACATAAAAAATTCTATTGATTAGCATACCTAAGGTGAAATTTTTAATTTAAAATTGTAAAAAATTTTAAATTATGAAATAAATAATTTATGTTGCAATAATAAAAATATGATGAGTGAAACAGTACATTTCTATAGTTATTTTAGTTTTCATAATAGCGAGAATTTAATTTGATAGCAAAATAAAAATTTTTATTTATAGAATTTTTAGTAACAAAAGAAAATCAATATGAGAAATTAGCTTAATACGAAACGACAATAATAATTTAGTAAATAAAATATATCTAATAAATATACAACGATAATAATAATAACCTTCAAATAAAAAGTAATAGACAATTAATTAATTAACTTGTTAATACAAATTTATTGTAAAAAGTAATTACATATTTTTAATAACCAAAGAAAAATAAATCTCATTTAACTAGATCCACGTGAAATCAATAATATCCTTTTTAGTATTAAAAATTAATCAGAAAATTAAACTGTTTATGTTTTATTAATTACCACAAAAATTTATTAAAAATATATCTATATTCAATAATTAGGATTTACTTATGATAGAAACTATTTGATTTAGTAATATATTGCAGAGAACTTTCAAGTAGATATATTCGATAAAGATAATCGATTTGCCATAATTGATCACTGTTTTATATATCTTTGCAATCGCTATTTTGTTACATTTTCGATAAATTTGTCCACGGCTCTTCTTTTATTACTTATGATTTTTCTCAAACTATGGTGTTTACTGTAAATATTGAAATAAAATAGATAATGAATTTAAAATTCACAATATTTTCTTTTAATATAAATATATACCACTATATTTTAACTCATAACTGTATTTTTATTTTGTTTAAAAATTATTTTCATTTACTATTTTAGCACTAGAAATATTTATGATTTTTAGTATAAATGCCGACATATTTGAGTTTAATATTTAATTCATTGCTGTTTTTTATGGAATAAACCATTTCCTTTTATACACATGTTTCTCTGAATTCTATGAAGTAACGTTATTCAATAATTTAACAATAACATAATACGTGTTAAAATATTCGGTCATTATGTTATTCTATTGTCAAATATTGATTTGTTTACTTATTTTTTATGCTTAATTTTTTTTTCCAAAACAACGTTAAATGACAAAATGTATTAACGTATATGCAAATGTTCGCATACTACCCCCCCAAATTATATTATTCAATGAAGAACTTTTAAAAATAAATATGATTGTAAATGGTGACATTACGTTGCGATCTACGAAAGCAACTAAATAACCTGTTCGGAAGGCGCTCAACAATAATAAAGATTAAGTATTATGTTCTATTATATTTCTCACTGTAAAAAGTGAAAAAATAATTTTTGGAATTCTTAGCAAGCTAAATATATAGTATTTTTGTTTTTATTTAAAAAAGAATATACCATCCGATTATACATTATATAGCGATTAGAAATTCACGAGACTTCATTTTTACAATTAAAACAAAATCATATAAGAAATCAATATAAATCAATATAAGAAATATTTTAATGACTGTTATAACGATAAACAGAAATTCAAAATCAGAATGAGGAGATAAAAAGTATAATTAGTTTACATAACAGCCGGTCGAGAGGTCTTCTTTATATTGATTAGTCATGACGAAAAGAGACTAAATGAATGTTCGTGTTCAGGACAAGAAAATTTTAAGTTCATATTGTAAGGTATCGATAACACCTCTAATCGTTATTAGGATGGATAGGCGATTAGTATTTTGTATACAAATGCATATCACAATAATTGCAAAGTTTTAAGGATATAGATATTTTTCTATATTCTTTAAGTAATAAGATATCTAATTGTCATTAAATAAATTTTAATCAGTTTTTTAGATTTCTATAAGTACAAAAATGGATTTTAAAAAATGTAGTAATTAAAATTATATAAAATTGTTTTAAAAAATCTACGTCCCACTAGATAAATTGTCAACATGCCTGGATCTTTAGTTGGAATTTCAAATTCTGAACATCACCCAGAACCAATAAAATCATACTTTGATCCCAAGTGGTATATATATTTTGTTCTTTAATGCAATAGAAGATAAAAATTTAATAGATAAAAGTTAAGATAATATTCTTTGCATCATTTGAAATTAGTGCAATGATTATTTTATTTCAATGCGCATGTGACCAAAAGATAGTATTATGGATTGAGATTACATTGTTAGAAATCAGTATACTATATTTTTTAAGGTGGATAAAGATGAAGACCTGGTTAATCAAAAATAAATATGTGTAGTTCCTCTAAATATATTTATTTTGAAATATATAAATAAACATATTTATCAAAAGTTATATAATGGATTTCGAACAACCACTTATTAATGATATTGTAAATATACATATTCCTATTAAACATATTTGGTGTATATATTTATATTTCGAAAGTATAATTAATAATTTTTTTTCAATATTTTTATTTTTAATTTCCGCTTTAACATTGTGTTAAATATAACATAAACTTTATTTGATGTTTATTTTTTTTATTTAATTAGTATTTAGTAACTTTTAAGCATATGAAATATTTATTGGTGTTGATTATTAAATAGTTATTTCAAAGAACTATACTTTCTTTTATATTGTTATAGCCCATTTAATTTTTACTTTTAAATTTTGCTACAATTTTTAAAATTTTGTATAGATATAAATACAAAGATCTAGCTTTCATAGATATAATACCATTATTGTTAGTTAACATACATATTTTAATTTATTTAAATGTCAACGTTAATTTGTTAATACTTCAGGAGAAAACTAATTTTGAATAAAATAAATTATCTATCAAATTTATCCTGTACATATTATAATAAAATAAAATATTTAAATATGTATAGAAATTTTAAATAAATAGTTTTTAACCAACATATTTTATTCTATTTATAAAACAAGTATAATTTATTTATAAATTATAAACATATATAACAATATAAATATTATGAATTTGTATTACTTATATTTTATATTTGAAAATGATTTTAATAAAAATTGTACAATAATAATTTGTAATAATAGTTAATTATAGAAGCAAATAATAGATATTGTAAGAATAAAAATATAGAATTCTAAGCTTAATTTAATAAATATTTTTTTATGATTCAATATACAAAATTATTAACAAATTGATATAAATATTAATAGTGAAATATATAGTTTATATTTGTTAGTTATAGTTTAATTTATTTATTATTAAGTGATTTTGTAAATCTTTGTATTTGTATATAACCAAATTTAGTAGCATATATTATATATTTAAATTGACATGAAAACAAATAAAAAAATATATATAAATTTTTCATAATAATTTCCAAGTTTAATATAATCCCTATGTTATATTTAACTACAGCTTTAAATACATATTAGATTTTTAATAATTTGATATAGATAACACTTCATTTGTAGTAACAAAAAGATTATGAAAATTTGTAGAAAAATGAAGACACATAAGTGTACAAAACCAAATATAATTATTATATGGAAAGGTTAGGATTGATTATTCTATTTACCATAGCAACTCTAAAGAATAAGTATGTAATTAAATAAGTAGGAACATATATTATTAGTGAACATCTAATTCCATTTTTTGAATTTTTTTAATCTTTATTTAGTTTTTACTGAATTCTTAAAAATTTTCAAATCTTTGGTCTGAATCAGACATGTGTTAAAAAGAAGTTTTAACTATTATTATTATTTAATTTAATAAAATTGATTCTTTTATAATCTGTAATCATTTTTTTCATTGTTGGATACTGATAAGTAATTTTTTGGGAAAATCCAAATTGTTTACAAAAAAAAATATTTATGTATTTCAATTTCAGAAGACTACCCCAAAAATTTATAAAATATAGTAGAAACATCAAAATATTTAACTAAAACTAATTAGTTTACTAAAAATCATGAAAACTAAATTATTTTACAAAATTAATTATATTCTATAAAATTGAAATGTGTGAAATATTTATTGGTAGTATTGTGTATATTAAGATTTAGTAAATTTTGTATGAGTCCTAATTTATATATTTAGTATAAAAAAGTACTTTTACATTATATTTAATACATAAGATGAATAACAAATCTGTAATAAATAGTATATTTTCCAAATTATAAATATTTTAAATGATAACTTTTAGATAATCATCAGAATTATCAGAATAAAGAGAAAATATTAATTTATTCTGTTTAAACCATGTTATTATTACAATGAATTGAATTAATGTAATAATAATATACTTTTGATCAAATATTTTAGTTTTAATATGAATGGATAGATGGATAGATATGAATATGATATCTAAAACATCTGAGTCAAGGCATGTAAATAAGATAACAAATAAATTTAAGTAGAAACATAATCTAACAACAATTTGTTTTATAAAACAAGACAAAGTTTAGAAGAAGTTTAAAAAAAAATCGTTGAAAATAAAAAATTATAAATAAAAGAATGAAAATAATAATATAGAACTTTAAAAATTACGTTACTTATTTAGTTTAATTATCTGAATTATATAAAATAAAAATATCTAATTTTGAGTGAAATATTGTTGAATTAATTTTTGTATTTACTGTACTTAAACTGTTGTGAATCTGCATGAAAATATGAGATTGAAAAGAGATTAAACTGATGATATATTCACAAGACAATATTTTTATTATAGAGTGAAAAAAAACTGACGATGAATGCAATATATATATATATATATATATATATATATATATGTTCAGTAATAAAGAATTAATTAGTTTTATACAAATTGCTTATTTACTAATATTGTAATATATTAAGTAACAATTGCAAAAAAATCTAGATTTTATCATTTTAAAATAAAACATAACCTCTATCCTATTTTCTATTAAACTAATAGAACTTTCCATACTCCAATATTTGAACAATAATTTTTGGGAATATATGGAAAAAGAAGGAAGATTATATAATTCAAATTGATCTACTGAAAACCTTCAGGTCATTGCAAAACAGATGCTTCAATAAAAATTTAGGAGCAATTGAATAAATGTCAACAAATAAACCTAAATTAATGAAATGTATTTTTTTAACAATTTAATAAGAGGATATTTATTGAATCAATAATTTATTTTAAAAAGCATCCTATAAATTATAACTTTTAATTTCATAGAATTAAAATTTTTCTTTACACATATAACCTATAAAAACTACTATATTAATAAGAGTGGAGTTATTACCTAAACAAGTAACTTTCAAACAGATATAAGAATTATGTTATAAAATCGATATTGTTCTTGAATAATAGGTATTTATATTTTTTAGGATACACTACGTGATGAGAAAAAAGAAAACGGTAAAAGAGGACGGCGACCAGGTAGAAGATCTTCAGATAAATCAGACATCAAAGCAAAATTAGGTATTGGTATAAATTTATTTAATTCAATTACAAGATAGTTAGAGTTGAAATGGATTAAAAAAAGTAGTACGTATAAATCAATTGCTGTAATACAAATTAATTTACAATAACAACTGTACTTAAATTGAGAATTTAAGAAAAAGTTGTCCCTTACAATTGTGAAATTAGTAAAAGTTCTTAATACGCTATTATGATTTCTAATAAAAAACTAAATGTAAAATTAACATACATAGATGAATTCAAATATAAAAAACAATTTTTTTAATAAATAAGTCGGGAGCTGATAATGATACATTATTTTAATTAATATTAAACATGTTCTAATATTACAAGAATGTTTAATAATATTTTAACATAATGTTACTTATCAACAGTTTAAAATAGTGAAATTTTCAAGCTTATAATACTATTTTTAAACAATCGTATTGGTATATTATTAATAAAAAACATTTGTTAGAATACTTACTTCATTTTAAAATTTATAAAATAAGAATTTTATACTCAGCTTTGAATATACAATAACAAAAATTATACAAATAGTTTCAGAAAGGAACAATTAGACATATTAAAAAAGGTAAAATGTAAATAGATTGAAATAGTTATAATATAAATATATTTACATTTTACAATAATAAAGAATAATAATATAATTAAATGTTTATAAATAATACCTTTAGATTTACGAAAATATTGCGCTATAGTACAAATCCTGTCATATAAACGTGATAGTTTAAAAAAATGCCTATCAAATTTTTATTATAAAGTAGAAAGAAGGATATGTTAATAGAAATATGAAATTAACTGAAATTTTCTTTCATACTGAAAATTAATATTTTGTAGGTTCTTAAGTATTTATTAATTTAAATTATCTTTACACCTTTATGTAAAACAAATAAACGTACAGTTAACTCAATAGTCATGAGTATTGAATTATCATATACATATATATATTATTGATAATAAAATGTAAATAAATTAGTTTTTAATTTTTTTATAAATTTGAATAACAATATTTACCTTATCATATCTATATTAAGTAGGTCTTATTAATTTTAAATAGAATCATCCAAATCCTTAAACAATATTCATATAGTATATATTTATTTTAATTTCATTTTACTTTAACCACATGAATATTTAAATACAAAAGATGTATTTAATTTGCAGTATTAATATATTTTCGCCGAACGATATATTAAAAAATCATTATAACACTATTGCATTAGTACATTGTATAATAATGACATTGATGTTTTGAGGTGAGGGTAAATAATATTATAAATGCATATATTTTTGATTATTATTCTGAGTATTGAAAAATAATTTTACTATTTGTTTCCTCAATTTTTTTTCTATAAACTGCAATTTACAATATTTATTTTTTAGAATTCTTTACATGCATACAAAATTAATTATTTCATAAAAATAAAATTTTTTAAAAGTAATAAATTTATTGATGACATAAGCATTTATCAATTTATAAATATATACATGTTTTTTGTTTCACAGAGCGCAGCCGTCAAAGCGCTAGAGAATGTAGAGCAAGAAAAAAGTTACGTTATCAATATTTAGAAGAACTGGTTTCTGATAGAGAAAAAGCGGTTTTTGCTCTTCGTAAGGAATTAGAAATGGTAGTATCTTTATTATAATATTCAGTTATTAATTAATATAATAAAATTGCATTACATACTACAACAATATTAAATATAATAAAACGTTTGCTAAAAAATATTCTATGAATATTTTAGATAGGAGATATACCTATATATAAGCTAGTTACATATTTATTTTCAGTCAATTGATATGAGCCCAATATCGCTATCATTTTCATTTTTGGTGTAAGTTTGTTTAAAAAAATTATATGTCCAAATATAATTTGTTAGTAATTATTTAATTAAAAGATTCAGTGTGTTTTACTAAAATTTAAAATAAAAATTTTTTACTGTTTTAACAACTTGGATATTTCAAGTTTTAATTTAAAATACTATTAAATATTTTTAAATTTAAAAAATTTTTATATTTATATTTTGATGCTTAGTTAATACTTTAGTTGAAAAAGATAATATTTCTATATTAAGTAGTAATATAATTTGAACTGGTATAATGAAATAATGTTGATTATTCTAGTATAAAACATGGAGTCAAGAGTTGGATCTCGGCCATATACCAGAAGGATTACCAACTTTATTAGAAGATTTTGGTACATTAAAGAAAGAAAAAAATAATAATTAATATTCTTATTAAATTTAAAACTAATCACTGTAAACATTATAATATACTTCAACATTGTACTTATGATTTTTTATTTATTTCATAGATATTTAATTATTGTGCTTCAATAAAAATAAAAATAACAATTATTAGATAATAATATATATTATATTCAAATTGAACACATATAAGAATTCATTTTTAGAAATTTGTTTTATAACATTATTTAAAAAAAATTATTTTAATAGACTTGATTAATTAATTATCATTGTTATTTAAATTATATTTTAAGTTATGAAAGTGTTAATATGAAAATTAATATTATATGTTAATTAATATATTATCTAAACAGTTACGAAATTTTTATTATTGTTAAAGAAGTTTATATTAAAAATTGAATTCTTTGTTTTCCCAGTTTTCCTCTGTATGCATTTTAATTACATGAGATTTTAAATATGAATTACTTTATGAAGTAAATACATATTTATTTACTTTCTTTAAATTTGTAAAGTTTATTTAAATAATTCATCTATATTTAAATAAATTTAGATTAAGTTTTTAATATGATTTTTAATATTTTATTTTATAATATATAATATTATAAAATAATATATTATTATTATAATATATAATATTTTATTTTTTAATATTTTTTAAATATTAATGAATCTAGAAAATATGTAAGAACAATTCAAAATATTACAAAAATAAAGAGAAAAATATTTCTTTTTTTAATAGATAAATGAACAATTATGCACAATTATATATAGATTTGTAAAGAATTTTATTTAAAATTATTAAATAAATTATAATAAAAATTCTTGAACTCATAACGAATATATAATAAAGTGCACAAATTATTTTTGCATCAATGATTTTGAAAAATACTAAAATAAAAAAAGTGAATTCTTTAAAAATTTGCAAATGAAAATCTTAATTATATTTATTATATTTTATAAATTAATTTCAATCAACAAAATATAAAATCATAAAACAGTCGATTTTATGAAAACAAAAATAAAGCAAAAAACGGTACACAAAAATTAATAAGTTTATATTATTCGTAGATTTAATTAAAAATCAAATGAATTTAATCCACTAGTATTTTTAAAATCTTAAATTAACAATATCAAATGTATGAAAAAATAAATATAATATAATTAAAAATTTAAATTGAATAATTTATTATTCAATTTTAAGAATTTCATAAATTTTATTTTTTTATAAATGGTTTTTTAAATTAAAATCACGACAGTAAATGTATTTAAAGTAAGCAAAATTCATAATTATTAATCAAATATATTATCAAAGAAAATTAGATGAATAGTGTCTAACAGATATTGATGAAACAAGTTGACCATGCATTAATAGATACATAGTCACCTACTCCACCATGTATGAAAAAATTGTCACAAATACTATCGGTAGTACATCTAAAAAATATAAGAGTAGACACAACTTAAAAGAAACAAACAATATGGTTTTAGTTCATTCAAAATGTGTTAGATTTATACATATATTCTGTTTATAAATATGTTTATTGTATGTATATATTATATTTATTCATTACACAAATTTCAGAATATATAATTTTATTTAATAAAGTCATTTTAATATCAACGAATTAGATATTTATTGATAGCACAAATGCACAGTATTTTAATTTGTATTAAATTAAAACAATTAAAGTTATTTATTAATATTATGTTTTAAGATATATCATTATTCAAATTATCACTGAATTTTAATAAATACTATACAATGTAGATATGAAGTATTAAAATATAAGTTCTTTTTCAAAATTATTTTAACTAATTACAGCAAAATAATCACCTGGCTTTTGGCGTTTCGTTCTTAAAAAAATTATCAAACATGAATTAAAAATAAACTAGATGTTCGATATTCTGGATGGGGTCTAATGTTCGATAGTTCAATTTAATTAGTCGCCCGCCCTATCGGATGCTTGGGTAAGGACTTAAGTGGAAGGACTATAGAGATATATAGTGTGCAAAATTGGTTTAATATGGTTTATTATGGTATATTGACAATTACATTATAGATGAGTTGGATCCACTTCTCATAGAAGAGTGTAAGCTATGTTCAATCACAACGATACAGTTGCTCCCTGTCGATTGTGACGATGCTGTTGTTGATATTGTAATAATGAGCAATGGATTACACAGACTCCTTGGTAAAGAGTATGACGTGTGCTATGTTAATAGTGACTCTTGCCAATCTTGTAAGGTTTAGTAATGAATTCTGTACGCTTTATGTGAAAGGAGTGTGTTTTATGCTATTCTTACTCACAGCGATACAGTTGCCTTCACCTGATCCTGTTGAATAGTTCACCATCAAGAGAAACTCCTGGTATACCTTTGGTGATAAGGAGTACTTCGATTTTTTGTTTCTTGTAGTTTAATATTATCTTGAAATGGAGACAACACCTTTGATAGCCTGTTAATTGATTCGCACTGGAGAATTATGCGTGTTCCTTCTGTGATGATTTTACTAAGAGAGACTTTAAATATCTACGTGACAACCTAGTTAGCTAGCAACAATGGATTGGTGTTGCTATGCAGAGACTAGATAGACATGCTAGGACGTTCAAGAATTATAAAGCTTTAGAAGGCTTGCAGAATTTCGAGAAACATAAGCTATAGAAATTTCGAGAACTACAAGGCTTATAAATTTCCGAGAGCCAGAAAGCTTCAAAAGTTCTCAAATTCCGGAACACTAGATAAATGAGTTAAGAGAATATCTTGAAATAATATAAAGTTTTTCAACTTCGAAACAATAGACATAACTAGATAATATAATCAAAACAATACTAACATAAATTTAGAAATTATACAAAAAAATAATTTAAAAATGTAAATAAATTTGTTATAATGCAAAAAATATAATACTGAATTATTATTAAAAATACTAATTTATTCCATGTACAGTGTAACAATTATTAGATTATTTGTTATTAACTATGTTACAAATATAATGATTTATGAAGGGAAACGGTAATTAATGTCTGTATACCATTGATGAGTAGTTTTGAACAATTTTATAACTTCTGTAATGACGTTAATTAAGTCTACTTTCATAAATATATTATTTTTATACCTTGTTTAATATTAATGTACTTTAATAATGCAATCTGCTTCGGTTTTGTTAAATTAGTTATTAAATAAAATTCAGACTTTTAAAAAACAAAGGAGTTCATATCTCAAAATCTTAAATTGTTTTAAATAGGAAATATATAATAATTATATATCAAAGTGATTTTTAATAGAAACTTTTAAATTTATGTTAAAACTATTTTTTAAATGCGCAATTAAAAGATTTACTACTATTTTTTTACAAAAATATTGCGCATTTGATTTTGTAAATTTAAATTATATTTAAAAACTTAGATTATGTTAGTAGTTGCAAAAATTCTATTTTTACCAATGAAGTTTTGAAGTAGGTTATGTTAGTTTTTCTAATTCAAATGGAAACGAATTAGTCAAGTCATTAAACGTTTTCAGATATGTATAAGACCATCGCACTAAACATCTAATATTTGTTTTATATACATTGTTAATATATATACATATGAAATATATATGGAAAATTATAATACATCTTGTTGATACGAATTAATTTTTTTATTATGTTATTCTTATAAACATTTTGATTATAATTAAGTTTTTTCTTTTAAATCAGTCAAGACTAATAACAGAAAGATAAATTATTATAATTTAATAAAATTTTATCAAATAATGCTGCAATAAAGTGATAACTACACAAGATCTTCTAAAGAAATATATTTAATAGTGAATTTATTTGCAATGGATATATAAGGTTTGTCAAATACAATGATTTGTAAAACATTTTATTAATCTTCAATTTGTTAATTTTCATTACATATATATAAAAAATGATATATTTTTTGTATGCCTTAAATTACTTTAATTACAATATACTTGCTATTAGTATGTTTATAAGATTATTTAGTAGTTTTGAATAGTATATAAAATTTTGGTAAACTTTTTATAATTGTCAGATAGTAATAGCTCTTACCAAATCGTTTATTGATATAAAATGATTGTTATATGTTAGTTAATATTTTAATAACAAATATCAATTATATTTCAAATATTGAATTATTTAAAATATTATTTTGGTAAGAAAATAGCATATAAACATATATAGGTTTAATAATTATCACTTATAATTATATTTATTGCTTATAGAAATATTGCTACATAATTTATATATTTATATATTTATACAAAAGTATAACATGTCAGAATATAAAAAAATTTTATTTATACCTTAGTATTGACAAATTCTTATTTTCAAAAGTTTGTTAATCGTTAATAATTTTATTTTTATAAATATTGTTTAATAAGTTATATACACAATATAAATATTATATATTATATTAAAAAAAAAAAAATAGTACAAAAAATATACAAAAATAGATTTTATTATAAAAATTTATAAATTTATATTTGTTTATTTGAGATTGAATAATTTTTTAAAATTCATTTTATAAATTTTTATACTTATAAATATTTATGTAAATCCCATGATTATAAAATAATATATCTGAATATAAATTAATTTAATAATTATATTAATTAGTTAGGCTAATTAACAGCTTTCAAATTATGCAAACTTCAGATACTCTTAAAAGTAAATAATAGGCTATGTACAATTCTTCTTAATACATATATTTTTTAATATTATTAGTAGAAATTAAAGGAAGGGTGGACAATACAATGTTATGACTGATGGCTGTATCAATTTATTGAAATTCACGTAAATTCAATGGGAATAAACAGGTGAAGGGACAGTAAAAGAAAATGTTTATATTAAAATTAACATATGACAGTTGTACTTTCATTGGTTCTATGCTCATTAGTCTGTGTGTAATATGATATCTAGGCAATATAAGAATGAGTTCAACAAAACATATTTAATTAAAATTAGTACTTAAAACAAAATGTTATTCTTTATAAATTTGTATATAATAAGTTAGTTAGCAGCAATGTATATATATAGTGTCACTATGCAGAGACTAGATTGACATTGTAGGATGTTCAAGAATTATAAAGCTTTAGAAGGCTTGGAGGATTCTGAGAAACATAAGCTATAGAAATTTCGACAATTAGAAGGCTTATAAATTTCCGAGAGCAAATGTCTTGGGAAATACTCCAATTCCGAACAAATATTGAATAATTAAACTAAAAGGATATGGTAATTTATGATTTTAAAATTTCAAAATATGAATTAAATTTGATTGGTTTTGAAAACATTAAAAGAATTACTAAAAATTTTCAATTATTGAACAATTTGAATTTGCTTGCTTATTTCAAGAACTTAAGGCTATTATTACATATTCTTAAAAATTCATTAAAAATTTGACAAAAATAACTCTTAAGTTATATTGCTTTTTTAAAACGAAATGTAAAATCACGTGGATATAAACTTTTTTTTTTAATAATTATGAGAAAATTTATGTTTTTTAATTTAAATTTTATAAGATTTATATTATCAAATATGTAGAGATTATATATTTGTATTTATTTTTTATATTGTTCATTTATAAAATTATCATTTGGAAAATTAAAATATCACTTGTAGGTTCTCAATTATCTGTTTAAAACTTATATTAATATTTATATTTACTATTTTTAGACCACCTTTATTACAAGTTCTTAAAGTATAATCTTTTTAATTTATGTAACAAAATAAGATTATATAACTAAAATATAATTAAATTTATAATAAAAAATTATATGTTTGTTTAACTGTAGTGGTTCAAAATGTATATAAAATATGATTATATAGGAACTTATATTTATTGAAATTAATTCATGCTTAGAACATATTGTTCTTTAATATTATATATAAATTGTATAGTTTAATAAATGAATCGCAAACATACATATTTACTGAATGTTTTTGTATACTTTTTGTCATGAATATTATTTTCATTATTAGTATCAAAATCTGATAGTACGCACATTAAAAATTTGGCCAAAAATTTGCATACTTTTTTTTGGAACTTCAATAATACTTAATTTCTCTAATCTTTAAAAAAAAATCAAAACAAATGTACAACAGTAATAAAACAGAAAGTTTAAATCACTGTGATAAATATTAAAATGAAAAATTCAAATAATATTTACAAATTAGTTAATACTAACATAATGGTAAACTAAAAATTCATTTGTAATCAAGGAATCTCAAACAAAAGTAAAATTTTCATTCAATAAAGAAATTAAGATTCATTGTTGGTCATAGTTAATATTTTATATAAATTTTAAATCAAAAGATGTGTGTTTTATCTTAATTAATATTTAAACTATAAATTGACTACTTATATTTAGTAAATTTGATTTTATATGTGACTAACATAGTTATAGATAGATATAGATAATGATAGTTATAGAGTTAGTTATAGATAATGCAGTAATTTAGTTATTTAAGAATTACTTATGAAATTTAAATTTTTTTATTGTAAAAATAGTGTGTAAAAAAATGTTTTATGTAATCCAATTAAAATTATAAATTTAATTTTCATTTAAATTATTACTGATATTTTTATTATAATTATTACTGGGAATTTTGTTATAATAATTTATTATATTATTGAAAAGTTCTGTTTATTATTGTTTTTAAAAACATTTTTAAAACTATTTTCATTATAGTAACTCGTTATAATAATACAAAATCCACTATTAATGGTAAAAAAGTTATTTCAATTTTTTTAAATATTAATTTTGTGTATAAGTATAATAAGCTTTTTATTTAGCAATAGTGACCAATAAAGTTCTACACTGTTTTAATAATAATCAATATTTAACATAAAATTACATTGTATTACATATGTGTTACTTTTCAAAATTTTATTATTAGTTGTCAATATTTCATATTACTATATTTATAAAAATGGCAAATTGATTATATAAGCAACAAACTCCTCCATTTATTTTATAATTGTATGACTTATTTAAACTTCTATCAAAATAAAATTAGTAGAATTTAAATTTCTTACATATTTCATAAATATTAGCTACATCAACTCTAATTTTTTAAATTAATTTATTTACAATGTATCATATATTCTTTTTTATAGTAACATTTGCACCAGATTTATTATTTAACATACTCTTGAATGTTTTCTTGGCATAGCTGTTTTAAATTTTTACACCATGAGAGGCTTCAAAATGGTATAATACTTATACAATCTAGATAAACTGTGCATTGTTGAATAATCGATATCTAATTCATAGTTAATAGTAAATTATTAAATATACTCAACATTCACAAATACTTTTTGCTGGATTAATTCTATGCTATAATACTTGATTTATAATTCTGCATATTTTTTTATGTGAAATTAATCAATGCTATAAATCAATGGATCAATGTCTTCTTGTACGCACAATAAATAATTAAAAAATTATATTTTTGTTTTATTCATTCTTATATTAATTCTCTATAATATACCTTTCGTTTATAGATTTTTCCCTTCACTTATTCTCAAATTATTGTAAATACAGCTGTAATATTTAGAGTACAATAATCAACTGAAGAATCTATTTTATTTTTTATTTAAACTATTTATTTAATTTTGAAGTGACAAGAGATTCCTTTACACTTAAAAAATTATGAATTTTATAAGCATTATCAGAAATTCTATAATCGTCCGGAAATATAAATAAGTAAAAATTAATTCTTTTAGAATATTCATTTGTAATAAATATAAATATATATTTATACAAAATTCACTTAATAATAAAGTAACGAAAATAAATAAAGTATTATAATTACGATTTCGATGTATTTTTATTATCTTAATACTTGAATAAACTTTATATTTTTTTATAACAATATATATTTTTATTCATGCAATGTATTAATTTGCTCAGACAAATATTATATTTTATAATTTAAAGAATATATTCCTTTTTTACTTTTAAGCAGGTCAAAATAATGATTAATATAATATAAAAATAATTTTATATTTTTTTATAAATTAAAATAATTTTCTAATTAGTTTTAACTAATTTTGACGAAAAGAAACAAACGTAATTTATATCACTCATTTTTTAATAAATTTACTTTTTAATTAATATAGTTTTGAACCTAATTATTCTAGTATAATGGAATTCTATAATATTTTTTAATATTCTTAAATAATAATGTAAGGAGATCAGAGAGAGAGAGAGAGAGAGAATAATGAAATAATAAGAGGAGAACTATGATAATAGCGAAATTTATTTAATTTTATTAGATATCATCAAATTCCGGCTTAAAAATATAATCGACATTATAGTAGTGTAGATTGAATATGCCTATCCAAAGTTAGAAATCTAATTTTAAAAAATTAGCATAGAAACAAAATTTAATTTGAAATAAATTATATATTCAAAAATTTCATCACATAAAATTATACTTAAGAGTATTTAGTTAACATAAAAAAGCCCTTTGTTTACAGTAGAAAACAAAAATAACACTACTAAATTATATGTTATAATATTTGATTATGAACCGTATCTTATCTTTTTTCACAGGATGTATATAAAATGAATATAATGAATGATGAATATAAAATAAAATTAAAAAATCGTTACGAATAACTTTTTATCATGTAATAATCTTATTTCTCTCATGAATTACAATTAAATTATATGTACCATGGATATTTTTGAATATTTATTATTATATAATAATATTAAAATATAAGGAAAAGTACAGTTATACACATACTATAATTTTTATATTCTCGAGATAATGGACTGTATTAAATTTTTTAAAAATCTTTCATAACATTAATTTTTATTAATTAAATTAAATATTTTTGTAATATTTACATTTTATCTATATTCGATATATACTTATATTTAGTTGATATATTTAATATTTTTTGTGATAGAAAATTTAAATTAAAGTATGAAATATAAATTATCGACAAATTTATATATAAATCTATGCTTTATTTTAAGTTTGTTATTATGAATTCAATTGTGACAGAAAAATAAAAATATAGTGTCTACAACTTGAATATTACACTTCAGTAATATTTTAAATAATATCATTAAGATGCGATTTAATTTCGTTTAGAAAAAGAAAATATTTTTAAAATATTCATGTAATATTAATTATAAATTTATCTAAATCATATTGGTCCTAAATTTCATTGCATTAGTGGAGAATATGATTAAGATGTTTGACTTGATAGCGGAGATATAACTACATGCTGATTTATAATAGAAATATATTTTGCGTATGATGTACATTTTTAAAAAAAGTGACGATTTTGAACTTTATCATGGCAATAATATAGTAATTAATATAATATAATAATATTATAGTAAAATGTTGAAATTATTCTAGATATAGATTTTCTTGTCACGTGAATTAGTATATTCTTATAAGAGAAAAAAGCCAATATAGAAGACAGATTCTGTTTCTTAAATAATTAAGATGTGTATTTTTCAATAAACTTTATAATATAAATTATAATAAAAATGTCGAACGTCGATTTTTTGTACCAGGACTAAAATCAATAAAAATAACAATGAACAATATTTTCAACATTATTTCTATAAAGCTAATAAATGAATACCTTAATTGTATATAATAAGAATATATACTCTCATCTTTTGTTGTACTCAATACAATAATAACATTTTAATTTGAGAATTTAGATAAGTAATTCAATAAATAGGATATAGATTTGGATATAAATCTTTCATTCGACTTCAAACTTTGTGGCATCCAAAATTATAATCTTCGATAAACCTATAAGCTAAAACTGTATTCGATTGGCATTTATTTTATTTGTAATATCTATCACATTATTTAAGATTTAATCAAAACTTTCTATGAGTCAAACATTTATTATTTTATTTAATTATGAGTAATTGTAACACTACGTATGATTATAGTTAATGAACATCATATATGCTTACCATTTACAAATATGTATACTTACATATAATAAAATTGCTATGACTTCCAAACTACTTTTGTATTTAATAGTACATATATATTAAACACAATAGATAGTTTTTTTATTGTACAAATTTGTACATATTTTATTTGAATACTGTAATACATTAAATACTACTTTTTTTTGGTTTTGTCATTCTTTGAATATTTTTAATATTTTATTTTAGCATTTTAGTTATAATGCATCACCGTATCAATATCTTCCATCTATATCTCACTATATGATCATTATTATTTTGCACTCTTTCAATAAATATAATTTAAAGAATACAAGAACTTTGAATTGGTACTATAGCTATATTCTTATTACTTAATTAATATATAATACATAAATGATGTATGATAAATTTTATTACTTTCATTTAATTGCTAAGATGATACAGATGCTTGATAATACAGACAAAGTAATTCAAGAATTAGTTAAGCCTACTTATCTTAAAAATTTGTATACTATTCATGTTGATTGAAATTATTAATTCGCTTGGTTTTTAGAAACAAACATCTTTGTCTGCTTTTCTCGCGGTACCTTAAAAGATTCGAGAATAGTTTAAAACGTACCAAATGTTTTGGTTACGAAAGTTTTATGTAATACTACTGAGTATTATATATTAAATCTACACTTATTTTTAATTTTCTAAAAATTATTTATGAGCTCTTATTCAAACAAAAAATTATATGTAAATTATGAATAAACGCATAATTTCTCACTGATATTTCACTATGGATAATTCTGTCACGGGCGATCATCATGTTGTACAAAGAGATTACATTCTTATTTTTTAAAATATATTGTCATATATTTTTCAGCCAAACGCTTAAATAATATTAAAATTATTGTGTTATACTATGTGCCGAATATATTCTATTAATAATATGATTTTGAAATACCAATATTAATGCATACATTTTTGAAAATAGATGTCATCACAACAAAATGAAAATCAGAATACTGGAAGGAGTAACAATAGCTCAAATCAATTAGCGAAATCTTCACAAAGAATTCTAACTTCATCTTCATCTGAAATGAAAGCCAGTTCAATGAAAAATAATCTTACTGAACTTAAACGAGGAATCTCTGAAATGAAAAATATTTCAACTAATTTTCAAAGACTTCGTAGTAGTATGGAAAATTTGGTGGATAGGTAAGTTCATTGTAATTTTATTATAATTAAAAAATGATGATATTAAAATAAGACATGAATAACTTAATTTTGTTTATAGATTTAACGCGAATAATTTTAGCATATAAAAATGAGGTAAAATATCTCATAATCAAATTGCAATTATTGTTCATGCAACGTTTATATAGTATTTAAAAATTCCTATATATAAAGTACAATTACAACAATTAGTGAGGGCAGTAATGAACATTATTAATGAATTTTATAACGAAATTAATTCGTAGAAATGCATGAAATATGAAAGTCTAAAAATTCTATTCTAGTGATTTCTCAAACATTACAATCTAACATCTTGTATCGAGGATAGTAACTTTACAATAACTAAACTAGCAAATCAAATTATAAAATTTATGAAAACACCATTTTTCATAATGTCCATATCTTTTAAGTATTTTACTCAATACTTCAGTCATTTATGTTTTGATCACAACGAATGAACGCTTACTACAAACATGATTTTAATTACATTGAAATTTTGAAACTACAGAAGAAAACAATTATTTTTTTAAATTTTATTACTTCTACATATAATTACATTATTTCCTAATATCCGTATTTGATATAATTCATTATGTATATTATTTTCTTATAATAGAATGTATCGGTTACAATTTTAATATGATCTGAAGCGATAATATTAAAGGTATTTGATTTTAATAAATCCGGGGAACAAAGGTTTTCTTTCTAGTATTAATTTTAATAATGGCTCTCACAAATATAATTATAACTAATTGCAATTTTCTCTATATTTTAAAAACTATCTAATACTTTTACTACTTTTAATATTAATTTATTGAATTTACTTAATTTACTTTTATTTTAATAAAGTATCAAACAAATACTAAAGCATATAATATTGATTTTAAATTTAATTCATAAATCTAATGATTGTATATCAATCTGCTAAGATGTACTACCTTCCACTAAATCCGGATCGAAGAACAAAATGTTCGATAGTTCATTAAATTTGCCACCCGCCTTAGCAAATGATTGAGTAAGAACACAAGTGGAAGGGCTATAGAGATTTACTGTGTGTGCATACTTTATTCAAAATGGTTTCCTATGGTTCATTGACCAATACATTATTGATGGGTTGGATTTACTCCTTATAGGAGAGTGTGACAATACTATGTTCACTCACAGCGCTGCAGTTGTATTGACCTGATCTCGTGACGAATAGTTCATCAACACGAGAGGCTTCGTGATGATGATAAGCTAGTAGTTGCGCGATGCAGTTGCTCGTCCTGTAAGGATTAGCAATGGATTATACACACTCTGTGGCAAGAAGTGTGTTAATGCTTTGTTTTTTGTAGTCTAATATTTTCTTGAAAGGGAGGGAGTAGACAGTGTCACCGAATTGTTAATTATTTCTTCGAACACTTTTCACTGCCGGTTAACGTTTTTTAATACGCACAGGGGAATGAACGCGTGTTCCTTCACGACATCCTCACTAGAGATCATCCTCAAGAGAGCTCTAACAAAAATTGATGCGATTGGTATTACTTGATAGAGACTGGCTAAACATTGGAGAAATTCCGAGAACCATAAGGCTTAATGAAGTCTGAAATCCAGATGGCTTGAAGAAATTCAGTGATCCATAAGACTTGTAGAAATCCCGAGAACCAGAAGATTTAGGGAATTCTCGGAGCCTAACATTCGGAAAATTCTCGGAATCCGGAATATAATGCAAATATATTTACACAATATTTCATCCGCATCTCTGTAGGTACCACAAGGTACCTCATCTAATACAGAAACAATAAGACAGTAAGAATGCATCTAACAAAATACCACAAGGCCTTTCTAATAATAGTGCAACTATAAGAAATACCGATGAGTTAAAATTATTAATTATAAATATAATTCCAAAAAATAAGCACTTTAATCATAAATTGTATCTCGAGTTGTCATTATTTTTATTTAACTCTTGTCTGGGATCAGACTAAAAACCTCCTTATGATGGTGGGTGGAGGCTTGCGGGTAAGTGGAAGGGGCAATGCAATTATTCAATACTGCCTTTAATGTTTATAGTCTTTCCTTTTATTAAATATAATAAATAATGAATAGTTAATAATCTATGAATATCGAAATGAGTGTATGATAGAATGAATAGATGAGTGTTTCTTCATTAATGTTGATGGCGATAAGTCTGTACGTGTATTCTTGATAGCCTGGAGCGTGATTCCCCTTCTTCCTTTGGGTTGAGTAGTTGTAGTGGGAGACTCATGGTGGTAGGGGCAGCAAGTCGGTGCCGTCTTTTGCAGTCGGTGTGGGGTGAGCTGTAGTGCCCGGAGTGGTGGGAGAACGTCCGTGTGACGTCACTGCTTGGGTCCGTGAGCTCAAATGTAGTGGTGGTATTAGTGCACGTTCGTGTGCTCGATGTGAGCGTAAACCGCGGTGTAGAGGTAAGATGTATGAGCGAGCGTCTGGTCGTATCTTTCTAGTAGTAGTCGTAAGAACGAGCGTCGGCGTTACTTACATGTGGGTGTAAACCGCGAGTGTAGAGTGGCGGTCCTGTCGTGATGGGTGCTTGTTAACTAGTAAGAAGTAGTAAGGAACGAGCGTCTGCGATGCTTACGGAGGCGTGGGTGCCAGTATAGTTGTGGCATCGCTATTAGTTCCTTAGGTTGCTTGATGCTTGCCATGGCCTCACAATGGTGATTGTAGGGTTGGATAGCGAGCCCGATGTCGAGAGTGCGGGATTGGTACTAGCAAGAAGTAATTACGACACGTGCAGCTCCTTACATATTCTCGTACGACCTTGATGCGCCGATAGCGCATCGGTGGCTGTTACTATGCCGCTATTTGTCGTGACTTAAATAGGGCATAGCTTTGTAGGGTTCATTTGTTATTACTTCTCGGAATTGTAGTCGTATATTAGAGTTTTTCGGCTAGAAGCATTCTTTGAGTCCGTTGGCCAATGTTTACAAAACAAATGTTCGCGCGCTCACACCTCTCCTACTTTGCATTGTCCTTAAAACTGCTGTAATCCGTAACATCTCTAAAGAAATACTTTTAATTGAATAGTGTTCGAGATTTCGAGAACTTTTTTCTTGTCATGGAGACTTGAAAAGGTCACTACATCTGGAAAACACTCGTGAATAATCGTTTCTATTTATTTTCGCACTCCAAATGTGCTCATTGTTTTTGTTGCGTTAAACGATCTTGTTGTTTACTGGTAAGAACGTGACGAGTCTGTTTATACGAGAACATTTTGAAAATGTCAGATATATGAAAACAATCGAATCGAAAAGCATTTCCTAAAATTCATTGTAACTAGAAACCCAGCATCTGCGACATCAAGCGATCTTCGGCGCGTGTGCCTTCAATATCACGAGACATCGCATACATTATTGTTAAGTACGCCAAATGTTGCGGCTTGCATAGGCTAAGCGAAGACGCTTGACCCCCCCCCCCCCCCCGTCGCTAAGTCCAAGAGAGGGGCAAGTATACCAATTGTAAGCGCTGCCGCCGAAGACACTTTTTCGATGTTATCATCGCCAAAGCCTAAATTCATCGGAGTGGGAAAAGAGGCGTGCATGCTCACTCATGCTGCCCAAAAACCGTACTCTGATTGAACACAAAAACAGCGAAGGGATCCCAAGTGAAAACCATTGTCAGTAATGTATTTAAGAGAGACAACTTCAAGATTTAATTACTCTCGATACAGTTCTTATCCAATTAGGAAGTAAAGGTTCTTACACGTAGTTTAAGATCGTACGTAACATGTCCTCCATGAAAGGAGACGTAAATTCACTTATCGAAGTACCAGTTAAAGTCCTCATCAAAGAAGGAAGCCGAAAGTTCCTCGACTGATTCTACGATTAGTCTTCGTAAGTAGTATCAACTACCCAATTATTATAACCAACATCTAAGATTCGGAGTTAAAGAAGCCCGGTCATTGACCATACAAAAGGAAACACCGTGCTTAAGAAAAACACGTGTCAACTCATCTTAGCTCGAGTCCACCGCCCATGAAGCGGATCTTCGTGCCATTTAGCGCTTAGAACAGGCATAAGGGATTGACGCCTTGTCACAAGAGAAGCCAGTGCGTAGTAGAACAGCACGTGTCGCCAAGTCTTCGAGCTATTTGCACGTACCTTGTCGACCTAACCTCTTTCCTAGTTCGCTTTCTGCACCCACTAGACCAACCCTCTCACCAACATTTAAGGTTCAAGTTTCTAGGAAGCCAGGTCATCTAACATACAAAAGGAATTGAGGTCTTCCTACAGGAGAACCCAACGCCCATTAAGAACAGCACGTGTCGCCAAGTCTTCGCGCCTTGCGCGTACCTTGTCGACCTAAGCTTTTTCCTAGTTAAAGTCATGAATTGCAGACACCACGTGGCATTCTCTGCAAAGTGGTATGAGCCTTACGATCTCTTACTTACCAAGGAACAACATTAGTGCAATACGCCAAGAGAGAAAAGTAGAACATCCAAATACCTGAGGATTAAGATGCGCTTGCTACGATTGAGAGTATAATCTATTAGAAACAACCTTCGCGGATTTTGCGCCCACCTTGTCGACCATAACCGCAACCAAGCACAAAGGGATGTCGACAAGCCAATCTTTGCGCCATTCTACGCTCATAGTAGAAACCACACGCAGTTTTACTATAAGAAGTGCACGATTGAAAGATTTAATGGACAAGATTTAATTGATCCAAAAAGTCATTAAATAATTTATATTTGCAATCTGAAATGGATGAAATTATATATAAGTCGATAAATTCATAATCGTAATTTTACTTGAAATAAATATGCATCGTTTAGAATATCGATGAATATAATAGAAATTATTTACTTTGATTCACATTTAGATAAATAAATCAATGAAAGATAATTCAAGAAAAAGACAACAAGGTTTAAATTATATTTTGAATTGTAAAAAAATATATATACAAAATATTTTGTATTACTTAAAAATAATTGTATATATAAATATTTTTTAAAATCTATAAATTATTTCATATGTGGAATATCTCCTATAAATCCTACTTTAAAGCAAAATATACATTATGTACTTAGCTCGTTCTTTTACTTGTACTATTTATATTGATGGCTTCTTATTTGCTTTAGTCCAATCACTATCTAATCTAATATCCAAATCACTTATAAACATATTATACAATGTTTGTAAAAGGTTGAAAAATTAATAAAGAATAAAATTTTCTTCAGTATTATAGATTATAAGAATTATATTTAATCTGTACAAATATTGAATTCGCTATCCCATTATACATAGAAGGCAAGTCCCCCATTTTCATATATAGTATTTTTTTATTCTTTACTTGTTTCCATACTTTTTTCACTATTATAATTTTTCTATCCTCTGTTCAGTTTCATCTAGTTTTTGAATCAGAATTATAGTATTCTCTACTACATTCTTTTCAATTCAATTTTTCCTCATCATTTATTTATTATCTTTTCTATAAATTCTTATTGCATAAACTCAAAGTATAATAAATAATAAAAATGTTAATCGTAAGTATAATAACAAAAATAATAAATAATATATTATAATAATATATAATAAATAATATATATTTATTTTATAATCAGTACATCAAATGTTTAAAAGTATTTACGGTTTACTGTTTTTAGATACTATACGATATTAAACAAAGAATAGTATTTATTCTATTAATATTTGGTTAAAAACAAACAGAATTTTTCAGAGATGGAAGTACAGTACAAGAAGCTGATGTATCGGAACCCCTTGTGACGTTTCCAGAACCAGATACCCCACCACCATCGACAAATACGATTAATTTAACAAAAGCAGCACAATCACAATTCAGCCCCTTAAATACTCTGAATTCTTTCAATCATTTGAGTTCTCCATTAAATCTATCAAATATACAAACTATTACAAATCATCCAACAGCTTCAGAGATGATGAAATTCGAACAGAAAAAAATATCAAGTGCATCAAAATCAAAGGTAGATTTCTTAACTTTTGTAAAAGTACTAATTTACAGATATTTTTAAGAAAAAGGAATTGAAATAATTTAATTGCAATGAACAATTTTAACAATTGTAAATGCATATGAATTTGGAAAATTTTCAAATCAAATACCATAATTTTGAATGAACGTAATAAGTCTATGAATACTTTCTTAAATAAATCAATTTATAAAATTAGATAAGCAATAACATTTATAGTCCAGAATCTTTAATAGGCAAACTTATCTCAACATATCAATATTAAATCTAGCAACTAATATATCTTTCGTTACAAATTAAATTAATTAATTATAATTAGTAGTAATTTTATTTTATAGTATCTTTAAGATTCCAAACAAAATTATAGAAAAATAGTCTTCAAGTCTTCGATATTTAGTTAATCATATTTCTCTATATCTAATTCATGCAATAATATTTTTATCACAAGGATTCCATTTATAATACCGCATCTTGAGTATAATTAGCCGTGTAATTGTTTTAATAATGAAGGCGAATTCATGGTTAATGCCTTATTCATTGAGTGTCATATGTTATTTAAAAAGTTTTCTGATATTGATCAATAAATCGTGTAACATTAGTATATAGCTAAATGTACATTTGAAGATAGGATAGGATGATTGATTATAGCTAGCAAGTAGGATATAAATAATGATATTTTAATTAACATTTGGAGGTCGACAAATAGTAATCAGCTTGAAATATATATCAATACTTGTAATATTCCTTAGACGCTAATTTTAAATTATATCCTGTTATCTTCAAATTATTATAACAAAAATTATTATAATACTTGGCAATATAAAAATATATCTTAAGTGATTTTTTGTATTTATTTGTCTAAGACTTTGTTTACTATTTATTCTCGGATAGTATTAATCTCAGACAATAGTTATTCCCTGATATTGTATTTGTATATTAAAATGAGATGTGCTAATTCATGATATTATTTAGCCTTGTATTCAATAAAACAATTATAAGCTTAAAAGAAACTTTTTTCGCGTACCTGCGTCAATGAACGAGAGCTATAAAGTCTAATCCATCTTCAGATTTAACACATTTAATTTCTAATAAATGTTATTAATATGTCTTTACAGTTATGGTATTATGTTTAATTTGATTTTTATTTTATTTTGAAATTCAAAAAATGTTCCCAAGTGGCTTTATATTTTGTAGGTAATAATTAAACATGTTTGTAATAAAAATAGGTAAGAGATTCCAGTCCGAAACATGTAAAATTGGATCTGAGAAGTCTTTAATAAACAAATTTCTGTTCTAACATAATAAAAAAATTTATTTGTTAAAATATAAACAATCTATTAGTAAATAGTAATGAAAAATAAATACGAAGTAATAATGAATAACAGTAATCTTGTATGATAAAATCATAACGTAAAACAAATGAGTTTTTATTTATGACAATTAACAAACAATTAAAATAATGAAAATAAATTTTTTTATAAGTATATATTATCTGTATGTATAAATAAATATAAGCGTTTTAACGATATGAAAAAACCAGTTTATGTAACTAAGTTGGTATATCATGCATCAACTGTCCGTTCAAATAGGTGTAGAGGCTCAAAGAAAATATACAGGATAATACAAGTTGTCTTATATCTAATGTAAAATTAATAACATTAGAAACATTAAAACATATTTCAATTAAATATAAATATGTCTTTTTAACATTTTTTGCTATTAATGATCTAAAACATCACCCAAATATGAAAAAGAAGCAATGAAGAATATTAAAATAATATTAAATATTATTATTAAATTAATGAATATTAAAAATGCAAGTTTAATTGAGTATATTTTGTAATCCTGTCAAAAATTCAAAAAAATATGTACAAAACCTCTGAGATCATTATAACTAAGCATTGTAACATATTTTACAAGCAGATGTCGAAATAAAATTGGTTTCTCATCATTGTTGGTTTACTCGTATATTAGAGTTGAGTGAAAAATAAATATAAATTTATCAAATGAAAAACTTATATAGAGCATGATATAATACGAACTTTATAAAAGTATTATTCTCTATACATAAATTTATATATTTTTTAAGATTTTTTATTAATCAAATTATAATATAAATAAATATTATATAGTTTGTGTGCATAGCTTGTTACAGAGAGATTTACTACTGAAAAAGAAATTGCAAATAGGGCAGAAATTAAAGCTTTACAAGCAGGTGAAGTATCCTATACAGAACAGAATACTGCAATTGCTGCTAGAGCACGAGTTGAATTGGATGGACTTTCATCTGAAAAGTGTACCACTATAGCAAAGGTTACATTCTTTATTTGTATAGATAGATTTATAATATAAGAAACTGTATTAAGAAATAAAATTTTTATTTAAGCACTGCGCCATATTAAAAGATAAAATTAACTAAATATCAAAATATACTATTTTTGTATTAAGTAATAATTGTAGTAATAACAGATATTGTGTCTTATTGCAAAAATACATATGTCACTACATTATAGCAAACGCGAATATGCAATGAAATTACTAGTAAACAGTATATTCGACATAAAAAGTGTAAGAATGCTACTTTATAAGGCGCACTTTAATAATGTATTGAAAATCTTTTTATGCTTATGATTATTTAACACATCCTGATTTATTTGATTTTGTAAGAAGTACTAAAAACAGATAAACCACCTTAATTACGTTCTAATAATATCGTCTAGATTCATTAATTGTAATTCTAACGCCGCTTTCTACCCTGCATTCCCTGAATGATTAACATTATTATTTAATATATAAGTAATCAATTATGTGATAAGTATTCGGAAAAATTTTGGTTATTCAAATAATCAAAAGTGAAGAATTAATATCTTAAATATTTTATAATATATTTACTTGTTATGCAATAAATAAATATTTTTCTAAGACATAAGTTACTGTTTACAATTACGTGGCAAAATTTTGATATTTGTAGTAATGTAAAGTGGGATAAATAAGAAACTTTTATAAGGTAAGCTTTTAAAAAATAGGAAGAAAAGAAAAATATTAATAAGATATTTTTAATCCATTTCTAAAGTTAGGAAATATAGATATATTATATTTGATGAAATTAGATCTATAATTATGATACAATAAAATAATATAAATACTTTGTTCTGGTTATTCTCCATCAGCCCATACAAAATTATAAGCCATTGTAATATTTTACTAATGGTAATAAAAAATATTTGTAAATATATTTTTATCAATTTTCCTCTTATCCGTACTTATAATTTTTTATTTTGACAACAATTTGAAGATAACAGAAAATTAATTGAAAATTATCGTTGCTATATATTATGTAGCCAAAGTACTTTGCACCATATTTTATTATGACCTTATGTTATACGTTATATTGTATAAGATTTTATTACTTTTATTATTCATGATTATGATAAAATGATTATTAATACAAATAAAATACTGATTGCTAGTAATCAGGCTACTTATATATAACTACTTATATTTCAGCCTGAATAAAAGGTTTTAGTTTATACAAGTTGATATTGATTATATTCTATTCGTATCGAGAACGTGATTTTATAATACATATATTACGCGTAGACATGTCATTTGGCTAAACAATTATACTTGTATGTATAGTGATTACACCAATTTTTTTAAGCTATATATAGTTTAATGTAGTATTCCCTTATTTTTTATATTTAATATAATCTAATTTACAAGTACGTAGGATAAATTGTCTATAATATAAATTATTAAAATTAATTTTTTTAATTAATAATTTTTGTATTTATTGCTTCCTATTACTCTTCAACTTATCAGGGTACTAAATGTGCGATTACGTTTAAAGATTTAAATGTTCTTGGTTGTAATAGGACTGTTAATTTACACAATTTCCAATGTTCAACTAAGAAAACGATATAAATCGTGTCTATTATATACATAAAAGATAAGTATAAAAAATTTTTAATACAGAATGGTAACTTTTATAAGAATAAATATGACTTATATATATTTTTGCTATTTATTATTTTTATTTATTTTTTAAATAAAGTAATATTTGCAACTATGTATATTTTTTTATTAAAAATGAATGAAATATTTTATCTTTTACGTATATATGTACATATATATATATATTTATTTATTTAAATTTAATGAGTTTTTATTAAATAATGCTTAAAACATAGTTTAAATATATTTTTATACTTAATGTTTATTTCTATTGTAAACATACAAATAATTTTATTAATATTGTGTATATGAGTGTGTGTAGATATATAAATATTTTTAAAGGTATATTAAGACACATTATACCTTTATTAATTATGGAATCATTTCAAAATCCTAAATTGAAGGAAATTCGATTACATGATGCAACGTAAAAAATTAAACTTGCGGAGTCTCTAAGCTCAGCCTATTGAAGCTTATTAGAATTATTCATTTGTATTATATCCAATTATTTTATATATTCGTTTTTTTTAATTGTACTTTCATTTTATTTAAATAATTTACGTTTGTTGCAAGTTTTAATAATTTTCTTATATTTTCGCAAACTTTATATTCTATATACATCTATTAAGTGTACTCAAACTCCTACTAAGATGTTGTCTTTTTTTTTTTTTAAATTAACCTAATGTATTTATGTTTTTAATTTTACTGTGTAATAGGTCACTCATTGCATCCGTATTTATTCTTATTAGGTTTTTGTATTCTATATTATTACTATTTTCAGTAATGGTATTTATTCATAGTACTTTTATCGTATTCGTACTTATTCTTACCATATTTAACATATGAGTTATATGTACTATATGGACCATATTTATAAGAATTCACTGTTAAATTATGGTAGCCTAAGATTATTTTATAGTAGAAACCCATATGACTACATACCCTATTCTTATTTCTATAATTAACGTGGATCTTTACACTTACGAATTCATTCCCATTGACAATAGTTAGACTTATATATTCATCTGGAAATATATGGTTTAATTTTATTTAAAAAGACCTAATTAATATTAATAATATATATTGTGTATTTATTTGTATCGAATTTATGTTAAACAATGAATGAAACAAAAAAAAGTGACTTTCCATTTACATTCGTTATTTTATATTTACAAAACCATATGAATAATTCTAATAAATTAATAAAAGATAACTTATATGATTATATGTAAATATAATTGAAATTTTTCTAGTTGTGAAAAGTAATTAATATTAAATGAATTATATGTTACATATTGTATATCGAAAAATAGTTACTTATTAATTCAATTACACTTTATTTTAATTTATTATTTACCATTTATAGTACTTTGAAAATTTAAGTTACTTATTTAATAATGTATACAAATTTCTCTGGTAATAATTGAAACTTTACCATAATAACCATTTCCAGTCTTCTTTTTAAACACGACATCTGTAAGTGCCTATTGTTAAGTCAATATTATTACAAGCAATTCAATGTATTTCTAATAATATAGTACTAGTATGAATCATGTTTTGAACAGAAATGACTTGTTTTTATTACATTATATTCTAATTATCTTAATAATGTTAATTATTTTATAATATTCTATCTATTTTCAGCATGTTTTAAATATTATAATTGCATGTATTCATCTAATCATTTTTTGACTTGTCTTTTTAACCTTCAGAATACTATATAGAAAATAAACCTAGTTAAATAATAGCATATAGAATTAAATGTATTTAATTCTAATTTTATTAGCATTAGTTTCATACAATTAAAATTGCTTATAATATTTTATATTGTTTTTATATGAAATAGATAGAAATATACATATTTTTCTACATTAATCTGATTATTAAAAAAATAATTGATCTGATAAAAAAATTTACTGGCATCTAATTTTTGTATTATATTTTTCAATGTGATAATTCAAGACGATCATTTTAGATATTTCATTTATTAAGTCTCTAAATATACTAGTCAGGTTAAATACTAGTTAACAGATATTTTATGTATTATCTTTACAATAAAAATGTAATTAAATGTAGCAGTATGGTACAGTCGTAAAATATTCTCTGATTAATAATGAAGACATACACATCTTAAATAAGAAAATGTTTATAAGAATAATTTCATTCAAATGAAAAATTATATTTACATATCAAATCACTCCAAGAGCTTTATGATTTTATGTGTAAAGAGCGTAAACTAGAATATGTAAATTAAATCATTAATACAAAATTATATCTAAAAATGGCACATTAAATATTGATTTAATTTTTTGAGTATTATATGGTACATTATTAAGTATGAGTACAATTTTGCCTTATATACAACTTTTTATGAATAGTATAGATCTGTTGACACCTTACTATCCAAGGTATATAATTGAAAAAATAATTGGCCTATTATCCACTTAAATTTGATCAAACTGTTTTTGAAATTTATATATAACGTATACAATATGTTTAATATCGTATAAATTCTATTAAAATTTATATTTCAAATATTTGTATAAAATTATAATTAAAATAATAAATCGTTAAACAAAATTTATACCAAGATAGACTATGCTTCAGTTATTAACTAGCGGCGTGTTTTTTACTGTAAATTTTGATTTAATTTGAATTTCTTTTCTGTGATCATAGTATACATAGTCATTTCTTTCGAGACTGAAAAGTATAGCTTATAGTATATATTATAAGTATAAGTATATCATAATATAAGTATTCATAAAATTTAATATATGTATTCTTTGACACGCAATCGAACTGGTTATAATTTTGAAATTTGTAAATAATTAATTCTACGTATTGACACAAAATAGGATCCTTACAGCCTACTTTCTATTGAAAAAAGACTGCAAGTCCATTCAAAAAGATATAGAATTTTACAATACTGATTATTTCGAAAACAATAAATTTGAAAATTTTAACGATATCGGTTTATCTTAAATATAAATTATTTCTTTTTAAATCAATAAATAATTTAATTATTTTTTTTGTGCGAATTTCTTTTTAGCTGTGAATAATTGCAAATTTATAATATTACTATGTGATTAAAACTTAATATTTGTATGAAAACTTCCATTTTCCTGATAAAAAAAGACCGTCCTTTTATATTTTAATAATCTTCGTATTTTAGTTTAATTTTTTAACTTAACCAATTCCATAAATAGTGATTCAATACATAGACCTAATTAATTATTTTCTCTATCTTTTAATATCGAAGTATAATCGCTTTGAATAATTTTTAATTTAATTATAATTAAACAGTTGTTAATTTGAATTAAAAAAAAAATTATATATTGTTTAATCTTTTTTGTATATTACATTACATTTTTAAAACATATTTCACTTATATTCTTAAAATAATGTTTTATTACATTATTAATAAATAATTATTATTCTATATAATAATTCTATAATAATAATTATTCTTGATTTCTTTATCATTTTCGTATCAATCCTGTGAGAGAAGCTTTAAAACTATACCTATGACATTTTTTATCAATATTATCACAAATAATAATTTACTAATTTATTTTAATATTTCAGATTTTTCACGGTTTTTTATTTGTTTTATATTTTTATTTATATATATTGTGATTTTACGATTCAACATTTTATTAAAAATAAAATTGTATATATATTTAAATTAAAACAGATATTTATCGAATAGATATTAAATTTTGTACAATGCATTACATAAAATATTCACAGGAACTTAGTAATAGTATAATACATTATGTTTTCGGGAAGATTTTAAATATTCTTTAGGAATATCTAGTATTGTGAATCACAATTATTAATATTTGTTTGTTATGATATTTCAAAGTGAAACCGATCTTTATAATATTTATGTACTTTTTTATTATGTCATAACATATAATATTAATTACCTCGATATTTTGTATATCGTTATAAAAATATATATATTGTAAATTAATAAAAATTTCTTATACTTAATAAAGTCATGAGACGGTAAATAAAATAAAGATAAATTTAATGTTTGATTTATATTTTTAAGACTATTTGTAGTATGAAATTTTAAATATTCATTTTTAAAGCGACTATGTTAATATCTATTTTAAAAACAATACAATCAATTGGTTGGCCCCGCATTTAAACAGGTAACTGTATTCAGAATCTGTGACGTAGTTATTCCAATAGTAAATTAGTAATTGTGTATTTAAGGGGTAAATTATTTTTCTCACTGTAGATTTCGCCCTTTTACTAATTATTGAATAATTATATTGTAAAATCCTTCAAGCAGAAGGCAAGCGTTACAAAACTATAAAGATTATTAATAAACATTTTTACATCTGGCTAATTTATATTAATCTCTTATAATTTTGAATACATGCATAATGATACAAAATTAAAAAAAAAATTTATATATAATTTTTTAGATACTGAATCAAGGCTACATTTTTTCAACGAATATTTTTATAATAATGGTATATTGTAAATTTTTACTTTATAATACTCTGCTTACAGGAGCAGTAATGGAATATTATTGGATATAACATTTTGTATTTAACTGTAATCACATACTACTTTTATGTATTTAATAAATACAATAGTTAATTTAAAATATTAATTTTTATAAATTTTAGTATTTATTATTCAAGTAATCATACCCATTATATTTTTTAAGGAACTTAGACATTTGAAATCTACTGATATTTCACTTGAAGAAAGTAATAATATAGCATCTACAATGAAACTGCAAAGTGATTCCTACACTTCGGAAAAGGTAAATTAACTGAAAATTTATTTATAAATGTGAATAAAAAATGTATTATTTGGGTATATACCACTAAAACTAACAACTGTAGAAAAAAATAAAAAAGAGTAGCACGATGTATTGCTATCCAATAAGCTTTTTCTTTTTTATTTTTATTTTAAATACGATAATATATTTTCAATAAGCAGTATAACAAAGTTTTGTAGTTATCAACATTTCAATTTATTTTACGGTACTTAAATTTACTGTAAAATAATAGTTACTTTATGTTTTTACGGGACTATAAAGATTATCGTACGTAGTAGTAAATTGAATTATTAAATAACGAATTCTCATACAAATAACTGCTGCATTGCAACACTACGAGAAACTAATATAAAATATAATTTTGTAATTATTTATAGTTTATATTATTTTTACTGAATAATATAAGAATTAGTCTTGTACAAAAAAAAAAATACAAAATTTAAAAAGATTGTAAAATATTAATGCATGTAAACATTAAAATGAAGTAATCAATATTACCAAAAACCAAACAGTATATAATTCTAATACTAATTTTAGCATATTATAAAGTATTTTATAAATGAATTTTTTGTAATATTGTATTCATAGGTGTAGTTTTTTAAGAGTGATGTACATGCAAACAAAAGACAATGAATGTTAGTACAAAAATGGTCCGCATATTAACAAAAGCAAACATTAGAAATAAAGCGAAAACAAGCCTTTAAATATATTAAAATTATATAAATTATAGTATAATCGGCTGGAAGAATAAGAAGAGAATATAAATAATAAAATTATTTGATCTCTATGAAATAACACCGAAAGAAAAAAAGTTACTATTCCAAGTGCTGATCAAATATTCATTAAAATATTTTTATTTTATGAGATTAAAGTAAATATACGTGAAATTTTACAGTAAAACAATTAAATATTGTGTTATGCTCAAAAGATAAATAAAAACAGATATATTAAAACTATTTAATATATACATATATTCTTAAATACATTTTTGAAACTGCAATCTTGAGTAAAAATAATTTTATTTCTAAGTAAATTTTTTGCGTTGAAATTGACGGTCATACTAGAATTTAGAATGATCATGATTATTTGTAACGATTTAAAAAAAAGTGTTTAATTGTTTTTTTATTCTAAAACTCTCTAAAATTATTTTATTATTCTAATAGTATAATATTAATAAATTATAATTGTTCACAATTCTGTACAAGGAAATATTAATGTTTCTAATACAGTAGCAATATTAACAATTGTAAATCATACTGCTTATTTTAAGTTTAAAATATTTTTTTTATTTAATATTTATTTTGATATCACTTTTTAATTTATTTCTAAGCACAATGATTTTAATGTTGAATTATTTAAAATATAAAATATTTTTCTAATAATAAATATGGGGTTTATTTTTAAATTAAATTCTATTTTATTTTTAGAATACCATTGCTGCCCAACAGCAACGACAAACTCTAACATCAAGTGGTATTTTTAATCAGGAAAAACATGGTGCAACTAGTTTACAATCGAGTATTACTATAGCGTCAACAGCTTCAGCTGTTACAAATACTACTAAATCAATGTCACTTTTGAATGTAACGAATACTGTTAGTCAATTAATGAATAATAATATAGTGAAGCTGACAGATGTAATTGTAGATGAATTGCTTCTAGAATCTTTAGATGATCTTGATACTTTATCTTCGAATTCAAAAGCACATAATGTAGAATTAACTATTTCAAAATATTCACAATTTTTAAGTAATTTGATCGAACGATTAACAGCAAATGAAAGCAAAATTGATTCAAATAAAGGAAATACACCGTTACTACTTGATCGAGCTAATGAAATTATTAGAAAAGCATGGGCTGTTCCTACCCATGGTCATGAACTTGGTTATAGTTTATGTAATACGTTGCGTGTAAGAGGTGGTCTTGATTTTCTTATAGCAAATTGCATAGCCAATGATGAACGATTACAATTTTCATCAGCGCGACTACTTGAACAGTGCTTGACTACTGAAAATCGAACACATGTAGTAGAAAATGGTCTTGAAAAGGTTGTAAGTGTAGCATGCGTGTGTACTAAAAATACCAATTCTGTAGAACATGCTCGTATTGGAACAGGTATTCTTGAGCATCTTTTCAAGCATAGTGAGGGTACTTGTAGTGATGTGATCAGATTAGGTGGCCTTGATGCTGTTCTTTTTGAATGTAGAAAAAATGATGTTGAAACTTTGAGGCATTGCGCCGGTGCTTTAGCAAATCTTTCATTATATGGAGGCGCTGAAAATCAAGAAGCTATGATAAAAAGAAAAGTGCCTATGTGGCTTTTCCCACTAGCTTTTCATAACGATGATAATATAAAGTATTATGCTTGTTTAGCTATTGCTGTTCTCGTAGCTAATAAAGAAATCGAAGCAGCCGTTTTAAAATCTGGCACATTAGATTTAGTTGAACCATTTGTAACTTCACATAATCCTTATGAATTTGCAAAATCAAACTGCGCCCATGCTCATGGGCAAAGTAAAAATTGGTTAGAACGTTTAGTACCAGTTCTTAGCTCAAAGCGAGAAGAAGCAAGAAATCTTGCTGCATTTCACTTTTGTATGGAAGCTGGTATAAAAAAACAACAGGGTAATACTGAAATATTTCGTATGATTGGAGCTATAGAGCCTCTTAAAAAAGTTGCAAGTTGTCCAAATGCTATTGCTTCTAAATTTGCAGTTCAGGCTTTGAGACTTATTGGCGAAGAAATACCACATAAACTTAGTCAACAAGTACCACTCTGGTCAAGTCAAGATGTCCGTGAGTGGGTAAAACAAATAGGTTTTACTGAATATGCCAAAAATTTCATTGAAAGTAGAGTAGACGGTGACCTTTTACTTCAACTTACCGAAGATAATCTTCGAGAAGACATAGGTCTTACTAATGGTATAAGAAGAAGAAGATTTACGAGAGAGTTACAAAATCTGAAGAAAATGGCTGATTATAGTAGTAAAGATTCAGGAAATTTGAATAATTTTTTACAATCAATTGGACAAGAGTTTTCTATTTACACATATAGTATGCTGAATGGTGGTGTTGACAAGGATTCCATTAAGAATTTAACCGAAGATCAGCTTCTTACTGAATGTGGAATAATTAATAGCATACATAGGTTGAGAATATTAGATGCTATTAAAAATACTCAACACAATCAATTTAATCCATGTGAAAATGAATTATCGGATAAATCACTTGATGTTTTTGTAAGTTATAGAAGATCAAATGGTTCACAATTAGCTAGTTTGCTAAAAGTACATTTACAATTACGCGGGTTTTCAGTTTTCATCGATGTAGAAAGACTAGAAGCTGGAAAATTTGATAATAATTTATTACAGAGTATTAAACAAGCTAAACATTTTTTATTAGTTCTTACACCTAAAGCTTTAGAAAGGTGTATAGATGATTCAGAGTGTAAAGATTGGGTACATAAGGTATATTATAAAAACTCACAATTATGTTATACACAATTTTCACAAATTAACAATGTTTAATTTATAGGAAGTTGTTGCTGCATTACAATCGCAATGTAATATTATTCCAATAATTGATAATTTTCAATGGCCCGAACCAGAAGAACTCCCCGAGGATATGAGAGCAGTTTGCCATTTTAATGGCGTTAGATGGATTCATGATTATCAAGATGCTTGTGTTGATAAACTTGAAAGGTATTTTATTAATTTAAAAATGATTATAGTATCTATTATAAAATAAATAACAATCATAAGATTTTTTGGTAAATTACTTAAACATTTTTCGTTTTAAATCAATAAATATTTATGTTGCATATTATTTCAGCGGTTGCACGGTTTATCATTTTTAGAAATGAATTAAAAAAGATTTCTAAAAGCATAGTCTTATGTAATTTCAATTGACGGTATAAAAATAAAAATCGAGTGTATAACAGTTCTAAAGAGATATAACAAAAAAGTGTTATAATATATTTAAATTACTCTAGATGGTAAAGTCCAAAAGTTCTATAGTGAAATGTGTTTCAAAAATCATGATATTTTGTAGTATTTATATCTATAAAAGCAATAATTTCCATTACATTTCTTTTTTATAGCAAACTTAGTATCTTTATAGCACAATGCATATCTCGATATTAATGTTTTATGAAAATAAATGGAAGTACACTTTCATTTATTGTTTAATTACTAATTTATAATTTTGGAATTTCAAATTTGTGGATATATTTATAAAAATTCAGAATAAATAAAATATTTTTATACGGAATGGAGATATTTCGGTATCTCCTATAATATTGACATATTCTATAATAATTTAAATTTAAGAATAATGAATAGTTTTATAATTGAAGAATTGATATAATATGCTTTGAATTTCGTATAATTTCAATATATATTAATATTATTATCAAACTAACAAAGATTTATTTCATATCGAATTTTGTTATTAATCCATGGGTATAAATTATAAAATTATTGATTATTTAGTATATTAATAATTACAAAATTTATAGCCAAAAATTCCAGCCTATTTATTTTATAATTATTCAATATTATATATATCTTTATCTAGATTTATGCGAGGTGAAATTCCAGTTAGGTGTGATATATCTACCAGTATTTCCCGAAGTATGGGTTCTAAAGATGTTACTCCAGGTACGCCAAATAGTTCAAGTATACGCCAAGCACCTAATTATCAACGAATGCCTAGTACTGAAAGCCGTAACAGCGATAAAGAGTCTATTAGTGGAAAAGACTAATAATATTTCAACATGAAAATCCTGTCTAACATATTGTACAATGTATAATGCCTATTAATTTTGTTCAGCATAATAATGCATAATTAGATATATAATTATGTTTATTTAAAATCTTAAATAAATTTTGATCTACAAGAAAGACATCTACAATTACGTTATTTAAATTTTATTCTTTCGTAGATTATCACTGACACAAATTTATTATATATCAGATATATTAAAAAAATATTTTATTGTAACACGTACAAGATACTGTTTTTAGTACAAATATATTTTTGTTTATTTAACTTTTATATTTCTGTACATATATAATCTTACAATACATTATTATTTTATTATAAAGAATATCATTATTTTTTATTTTTTAATGTTTTAAAAAATTGGTGTTGCAATATATTTATGTAATGATGAAATGTATAATTTATCTTCAAATTATTTATAAAAATTAACAGAACGATTTTAATTATTTTACTATTCTAAAAAAAAGTCTATTAGTGATATTTTATCATTTTATTTTTATTTAGCTATATTTAAATATATTTGATTTGAAAGGGTATATCTCATATGTTCGTTAAGTAAATTAATTAAAAGTTCCATAATTAAATTTGTTAATAAGTTAGTGATTCAGAGTTTAAATTATTATAATTAAAGAGTTTTTATCGATATCAGTGTTAATTTTAAAATAATTGATTTAAAAATTATATATCATCCATAAATATTTCAATAAATTGAAAGAACAAATATAAAATTTGTAAATATTTTATTATATATTTGAATTAATATAAAAGTAAATTATTATCCTTGATGAAGCATGAAATTGTATCTTAAAACTGCACTTTGGTCTTTACACTTTAGCTTACACATGAAATAATAATATTCAAACTTTAGTGTAACATATTTAACGTGCTTTCATATATTATTTTATTCTTATTATTTCCTAAGAGTTCATTACACAAGATAAGTGGATATCAAAGAATTAATTATCGAATTGCGCTTATGTAATAAAATCATATACATTATACATTTTTGAATTTTAAATAAAATTATATTTCTTTTTTTTAATTTTCATAAAGATAATAAAGTATTCAATTAAGTAACACATTTAAATTTATTATTAACTTTAAGAAGAAATAGAAATAAATATAATATAAAACAATATAAAATAATATTGTAAATTAATAGTAGATTAAATACTTTAGTGATAAAGATTCTCATTTCTAAAATAATTATGACAGAAGTAATTTTACGAATCATTAAATAAAACGATAATATCAATATAATATATATCGACTAAATAAATTGTTTAATAAATAATATATTTAAATTCATTTAAGATTAGAAAATATATATTTTTGGTATCATTATTGTGTCTTACTATTTTAATGAAAATTTAGTATTACTGACAAAACTGATTAAATTATTTAAAATTGAGTCTACACTTAAAATTAAAATTCGAACTTATAAAAGTTTGCTACAAGCACACCAAAAGAATATATTTTTTATATAATAAATATAGCAGATATAATATCTTGAACTAACTATTTATGCAAACCACTTGCAAAATAATTATAATAAATAAGACATTCCTGTTTGCTACCACATTATATAAAAATATTAATTATTAATCTGATAAGTGGATATATTTTAGAAAATAATTATACAAATCCATATCATCCCATATATTATACTATGTATGCTATGTATGTGTTTATTTATAAGAAAAAAATTTAATTATTAAATTAATTTAAATTAATAAAATTAAATTAGTAAAATTAAAAAATTCAAATTGTGGGTACATATATATATATATATATATATATATATATATATATATACATATATATATTTCATATATACATATATAAGTTTTAATCTGAGTTTTTAAATCGGTTTTCAATTCACATAAATTTCATGTTTTTTAAATATTTTTATTCTATTAGAAATATATTGTCTGAGATCAGACTAAACGCTTCCCTGTGATGTGAAGGGAGGCTTGCTGGCAAGTGGAATGGACAATGCAATAATTCAATACTGCCTTTGTATGAGTTGGTTTTCCCTTTATTGAATATAATGATATAATAAATAATCAGTGGTCTATTGAGGTGAGATTGAATGAATGATACAATGAATGGGTGAGAATTTCTTCAGGTGATGTGAGTGATGATAATCTTATAAGTGTATTCTTGAGTGTGGCGCGTGACTTTCCTATTTGTGATTAGGACTCGTAGTGGTAATGGGAGATGCGCTGGTAAAGGATGATGATGTCGTGAAGAGGGTCACGGTGTGATAGGTGAGTGCTGATGCCACCGATTGCCGCTACCGATGAGCTGGAGAGGCCTGAATGGGGCGCTGGTGTGTGACGTCACTGATGAATGGCAATGATGCCGTAGTCTAGGTATTGCTGCTTACTTAGTTCAGAGAGCCGTGTCTTAGTGATTCGTAAGAAGGTGTGTAATAATGCAGCTTACGTGTAATAAATTAAATTACGTGTAAAAAATTATAATAAAATGTAAATGTTATACACAGAATTTTCTCTGTGTTTTATAGATACAATAAATTTATCAACCAATGTTTACCAATTTCATATTTTAGGATCTATTGGCATGAATTTATATTTAATATTCTAGGTTTTGAAAGATGGTATAAAATAAAATAAATATTTCAAATAGTGTTTATTAAAAAGGATATAATTATAAGTTGTACTGATTTGATTCCATGAAATTCATAAAATCATGATTCATACATATAACGCATACTTTCACAAGATAAGTAGAATCAAAAAATTGATTTAGATGTGATTAGATATAGAATGCATATGTCAAATTTCTAATATTACTCATAGCATTGTACATATCTTTGTAAGGAAATAGAATTGATAATTTAATTAACATAAGTATTTTCATTTATTTACATAATTAAACATTGTTTAAATGTAAAACTATTAACATTTTAAGAAAATTTGTTGTAATTTATAGAAAACTGTTACCTCATATTCTACTATTATAAACACTTTTCATGTCATTGTAATACATTTTTGAAATATATAAAACATGAAATGTATTAATATATTATCAATCAAAATTTTCAATTATATTACTTATTATATTTATAGTTTTATTTAAATTAATATTAAAAATTATAAGTACTTAATTTAAATTTATAGTAATTTAAAGTAAAGTTTGATCTTATTACATATTTGTAGCTTTAGTTAAAAAAATAGTTCTATTATTCTATTTAATACACTGAGCATAATATAAATATCCATATTATAATTTTGTATACTGCTATTAAGAAATTAAGTTATAAAAACTTCTTTAAATTGTATTAAAATGTTTCTTAGAAACCAATAATATATTTTATGAATGATATTTACTACATTATTTTTAGGTCACATGCAAATATTTACAATTATGTTTGAATAAAAACAAATCTATTAAAAATTTTTATTTATTTACTATTAAACTCTTTTTAGTACATGAATAATAAATAAAATAAAAAATTTAAACATTTCATTTTTGCGATCATTATAACATAAATTTAATGAATATTTGTATTTAATTTATATTTGTTTATTCTTAAAAAAACAAAGGATTAGGTGTTTTACAGATAAAATTATATAAAACCAATAAATTAAAGTAAATGTATTGCAATAACTAAACTTTAAAGGAAAAAAATTAATTTCTTGTGGGCATATTATTAAGTTGACTATTAATTCTTTATGAATGTAAATTCAAAAAGATGAAACTATCAGAATAGTATTCATGAATTGTAAGTTTGAAATATAAGTATGAATTGTATAGTAAATTTGAAATTAATTTTATTAAATTTAAATTCTAATGGAATTATAATTACAATTGCTATAGTTTCTTTAAATAAAAATATCAGAAATCCATCAATGTTTTAAATTGGTTTTTTTGAATTGCTAATTATGAAAAAATTAATTGAAATTTTAAGATATTTTAGTTTCTATTTATTAAAATATTTTACATTAAATTATTATAATTAAGTAATTGTGCGACAAAATAATGCTCATTACAACATAAATTATATAATTTATTTTAAAAGCACTTATTAATTAACTATTCATAATGGATATTATCATATGACAATATAGAAGCACTTCGACCCCCTCTCTTTCTCGAAATCTAACTTTGTCCTTATCTCTACATTTCTCTCTTCAATCAAGACAAAAACAGAAAATGCAAGATAGTTATATGTATGAAAGCCATATCTATACAGATTAGATATGTAATATTTTAAAATTGATAAAATATATATTGATTATAGTCTATGCTAATATATGAAAAAGTAAACCAACTGTGATGTCACTTAACAATATTTTCAACGACTAAATAATTGACATGATAGATAAAACAAAATAAAAATATGGAATAAGATTATAAAAAATAAATAATAAATGAAAGTTGTCAAATATGGCGACTGCTAGTCGAAGTAGTAGTTTGAATATATTTCATTCACAATCGCACCAACGTTAATAAAGTTGAAAATAGTTTAAAACACAACTAAAGCCTATCAAGAAATAAAAAAAATGTAAAGAATAATAAATTCTTAAAATTTACGGTCAAAATTTAAATAAGCGTTTATTTGTTCTGCCATTGTCTTCTTTCTCATTGTTGGTGTTCTTGCAATAACTTGAATGTCTGATCCGAAACTTTCATTGAAATACATAGGTTCGGACAGGGAGAACAAATACTGTTTTTTTATCTTCTCATCAGCGCTGTTTGTAATTGCTGCAAGCGCGAACTAATTGTTCCTTATAATCAATATTCTTTTTTCTCACTTTTTCGCTGAAGTACAGAAAGTTGCCAATCAATATAATTATTATCCTTAATCGACATATTAGCTACGCCATTATGTGCGATAAGTGTTTACGTATATTTATTATTATATATAAATTAAAAAAATAGGATATTATATAAATATTTATACAGAAGTTAAGAAAGAAAAAGACGAAGAATAAAGTTACGAAGATAGTAATGTGTTAAAAGGAATGGTAATCAGCTATGAACTATGGGGGCTCAACAAACCAAGGACAGGATTATTACGCCCGGGACCACCGTCAGACAAACTCGAAAACAACCTAGAAATCCCAAGGACTCCCGTACTATGGGCTCGAATATCTTTACTGAACACAGTGGTATATTTATATATATTTTGTACCTTATATCTGTGTTATATTTCATATCACTAATAGAAAAAATTTATACAAATTTAATTAATAGGTATGGTGTGTAATTTAAATTCAATATGATTTCATTGGATTGTTATAAAGTATTTTTATTTTTATTTTACTTCATTAATTTTTGTACCAAATGTTTTTTTAATGGCCCGTGATTTTATTGAAAATCTCTAAAAAAGTAGTAACAAACGTGATTGTTTATAAATTATTAACTGATATTATGTACTGAGATGGAAATATTCTTACTTTAAATATTAATTGGCTAGAATGCTAATAAAATTACTTTAATAATGTTAAACTATATAATATAATATATATTAATATATATATATAATGTAATTATATAATATATTGATATATATTATATAATATTATTATATATATAATATATATTATATAATATATAATATATATATAATATAATATACAAATTGACCAGATTAAATCGAAAAAAGTGAATATTATTTATGTGCATTCTTTTATTTATTTAAAAATAATTAATTAAACTTTTAAATTACTTGATTTAATTCAACAACTGTAATATTTATTTTTAAAATATATAATTATTAAAAATTATTGAATTAGATTCAAATGGTACGATTTAAATTTCAATTTTATTTAATTAATTTATGTTATACTAAAATGTTACATTTTATTATGAATCTTTTTATTAAAAATTTTTTATAAAATTAATAAAATTTGTATTTCATAAACATTCATTTTATTGTTCATATTATATTATATTGTTTATATTATGTTTATATTATTTTATTTACTACAAAAAAATTAAAAAACATCATTTTTATATTTTTAAAAAAATATTTTTAAGCAATAAGATATTAAAATGATATTGGTAATAGTAAAATAAAAAAATAATCAATGTCTTATCAATGCATATCAATTTTTTATCCACTAGAAATTAATAACATTGAAATTTCTTATTACTAAATATGTTTTATTTATTAGCTAAGTATAGAATATTTAGTTACTAAATTTCAAATAAATGTAATATTATGTACTTATGAAATAATATAAAGTTTGAACATAAACGACTAATTATTTATAAAACAAAATAAATAAATTGAAATTGAATTATTTTAACTATAAATTTTTTATATATGTTATCAGGTAGCAATAGTGATATATCTATGAATATATATAGGATTGTATGTATATATATCTGATTGAAAATAATTAGAATTTATTATTAGTTAATATATAATCGAATGGTTTTGCATGTGTGTGTGTGTGTGTGTGTGTGTGTGTGTGTGTGCATTTATGTTAACATATATATCTTTTTTTTATAGAAGCATTACTTCAAAGTAGACCGCTTCCACATATACCTGCTTTGCCAGAGGGTGATCCACCAAATTCAAATGTTCAGTGTGTTTCACAACAATCTAATTTAGATCAGCATGTTTCTGTAACAAGTGGTGGCCTTCTTGAAGCAGCAAATAGGTATATAATTATATTTCAATAAATAAATGCAATATTTTTTATTTAAAAATTTCGAATTTAATAATATATGATTTGTTTGTTTAGATGGACCAGTAAGGAAAATCTTTTAGCTCAAGAAGAAGATGATCCCCAACTCTTTGTTGCTTTATATGATTTCCAAGCAGGCGGGGAAAATCAACTAGGTTTAAAGAAAGGTAATTAATTTTATGCTTCACATAAATTGAATATACAACATTGAGATCCTTAATACGTCTTCTATTCCATTCATATTTAAAATAATTGTATTATCAAAAAATTACAAAAATAACTTATTTAATTTATATTATATATATATCTATATATATATATATATATATATAACATATAATCCATTATATATTAAAAATATATGTTTTATATGTAGATTTATAAATAAGTATAAGTTAGAAAGATGTTTTAATTGAGATACTTTTGTATAAAAATTAATTAAGATTGATTAAAAAATTTAGTAAGATATACTAGTAGTAAGATGAAAATGAAGTTCATTTTATAAATTTAAATTTGTTATTATTGTATAAAATTATACTTAAAATATTTATAGGTGAACAAGTTCGTATACTAAGTTATAACAAAAGTGGAGAATGGTGTGAAGCTCATTCAACTAATGGACAAGTTGGTTGGGTACCCTCTAATTATGTAACTCCGGTTAATTCATTGGAAAAACATTCTTGGTATCATGGTAGAATATCAAGAAATGCCGCTGAATACCTCTTAAGTTCAGGTATCAATGGAAGTTTTCTTGTTCGTGAATCAGAAAGTAGTCCTGGACAGCGTAGTATTTCACTGCGATACGAAGGACGAGTATATCATTATAGAATTAATGAAGATACTGATGGAAAGGTAGTTAAGAATTATATAAATATTTATATTTAATTAATGAGATTATTGTTAAATTTTCAATTTTCAGATGTATGTAACAACTGAGAGTATTTTTAATACATTAGCAGAATTGGTACATCATCATTCAATGCTTGCAGATGGTCTTATTACTCAACTTTTGTATCCAGCACCAAAACGTAATAAACCAACAGTTTTTCCTCTGAGTCCAGGTTAGTTAATTAATTTTAAAAATTTTATAAAATATCAATTTTTATTTTATCATCAAGAAATTATATGTATTTCCTTTAAAGTGTTAAGAATTTTTCATACCAGTGTTTCTTTTAAATTTGATGAAAAGGTTCTATAAATAGAATCAAATTATTTTTATTTAAAGCAAATGAAATATATATTTTTAACTTATTGAAAAAATATTAATTATTTTTTAATTATATAAAAAAATGTAAAAAAGATTAACAGTTAGAATTACAATAGAACCATAATTTTTAAATATCTTTATTTATGATTATATTAATAATTGATAAAAAGAATTTATTGTGATAGATGAAAATATTTTCTATTATACAAAAATGTTGAAATACTTTTGTAAAAAATATATTAAATAATATTTACCAATCAATACAAATCTAATAAATAAAAACAATAAAATTAAATTTCAAAATTACTTATATCATATAATATTAAAAATATTTAAAATAATTTTACATAAAAAACTAAGATTTAAAAAATAAATTATATTTTTATTATTACTTCAAGTATCAGTTGTATCAATTTTAAATAACTATTTCTTAGATTAATAGACAGTACAATTATATGCAAATATTTAATTTAATACTAAAGTATTCCTAAATCATAATAATGTTTGGCACACTTAAAGAATTCAATATTTGATAAATTTTTAAACACTAATTCTAGATTTCAATTAAATGAAATTCAATTTAATTTAAAGTATTTGTTATTAAAAATATATAAAAAATGTTATTACAGAACCTGATGAATGGGAAATTAATAGAACTGATATTGTTATGAGGCATAAATTAGGTGGAGGACAATATGGTGATGTGTATGAAGCTGTATGGAAAAGGTATAATATGACTGTTGCAGTAAAAACTCTTAAGGTTAATACATTATTTTATTTGTATATAATTTCAATTATAAATAAATAATCTTGAAAAATTATAGCTTTTTAATATGTTCAGGAAGATACTATGGCATTAAAAGATTTTTTAGAAGAAGCAGCAATTATGAAAGAAATGAAACACAGAAATTTAGTACAATTAATAGGTGTATGTACAAGAGAACCACCATTTTACATTATAACTGAATTTATGAGTAAAGGAAATTTATTAGATTATTTACGTAATGAAAGTAAACACCAAATTAATGCTGTAGTTTTAATGCATATGGCAACGCAAATTGCAAGTGGAATGAGTTACCTGGAAAGTAGAAATTTCATTCATAGGTATACTTTTATGTATTTACTGGTTTTTTCCCTTATGCACATAATTCTTAGTTTTATATATGTATAAACATACCCAGACACACATAACAATAATTCTTATATTATTATATGTTTATATATATGATAATATAAGATTACTGTTATAATTTTCATAGGGACTTAGCTGCAAGAAATTGTTTAGTAGGAGAAAATCATTTAGTTAAAGTAGCCGATTTTGGTTTGGCTCGACTCATGAGGGATGATACATATACTGCACATGCTGGTGCAAAATTTCCAATTAAATGGACTGCTCCTGAAGGGTTAGCTTACAATAAATTTTCTACAAAGGTATAATGAATAAACTAGAAATTCTTTTTATTTTTAAATGAATACTTTAATGAATTTATTCCATTATATCATTTTTATTTATTGAAAATCCGTAAATTTTACAGTCTGACGTATGGGCATTCGGAATTCTTTTATGGGAAATTGCAACATATGGCATGTCTCCATATCCTGGAGTTGATTTAACCGATGTGTATCATATGTTAGAGAAAGGTTACAGAATGGAATGTCCCCCTGGTTGTCCACCAAAAGTTTATGAACTTATGCGACAATGTTGGCAGTGGTCTGCTTTAGATAGGCCAACATTTAAGGAAATTCATCATTCATTAGAAAATATGTTTCAAGAATCAAGTATTACAGAAGGTACATGAATCGTAAAATATATTTTAATATTGGTTTTTTGATAATTTAATTTAATTTTTTTAAATTAAAGAAGTTGAAAAGCAATTACAAGGCAATATTGGACCAAGTCATCTTTTATCTTCTAATAAATCACAAAGTGGTAGTTTAAACAATATTCATGGACTTGTATCTGAACAACATGTTTGCAGTATTAATCAAGGTAAAAAGAGATTTTAAAAATCCATTAAAAATATAATAAACAAAAAAAGATTAATAACCATAATTTTAGAAACTACAAGTTCAATTGCTAAATTAAGTACATTTATGGGAGGTTTTTCAAATAAAGGAAATAGTAGCATTGTGCAAATGAGACGTTCAACAAACAAAAAGGGAAAGCAAGCACCTGCTCCACCAAAGCGTACAAGGTAAAAATCAATATATATTATATACAACTTTCAGTTAGTAAATTAATCTATTATAGAAGCGATTATTTAATATTTAGTGAAATTAAGTTTAAATTTTACTTAGTTTTTATTTATTTATTTTAATACTGCTGTTAGTACGTTCTCGCGGATGCAATAAAATGCTAAAACTCATTAACAATATTGGTCAATTTCCTAAAAAAGAGCATTCATTTGGATTTTTAAAAAGAATGGACAGGCTGATACAAGCAGACTAAAGAAATTAAATCTTAATAACTATGGCTCGATTTATTTAGTGGGTACAAGATAAAGAACATTGTACTGATAGTACAGAAATCAATACAGAGGATAGTACTGATATGGACTATTGGCAGTACTGGCGCAAGCAAAGCAGAATAGAATTCTTAGCACGAAGAATGAAGTATTCGAAGCACGAATATTTTATTACGAAGTTCCAATCGTTTGGCCAAATTTGAACTGAGGTTCAAGTGTTTAAAAATCACCCTATAATTTTAAGATTGAAAAGATGAAATACTTCAAGGTAACTGAATCAACATTCCAAAAACACCTGTAAATACTGAAAAAGATACAGAGATTACAAGAGGAATAATGACCGCGACTAGTACAAAAGTAGAAATTAGAAACTTATATTATCTACTTGCAAGTTGTTCGGATATAACCAGCATATATTCATGTAGAAAAAAAATCAATAACTTTGGAAGAGCAGATAAAGGGTAGCTAATCTGGTCACATTAGCTAGTTTTCAAATTGAAAAATTTCCAAAGAAGTCGTTTCAAAGATTAAACTCTTAAGTACCTATATCTATCTTATATCTAACTTGTAGGTCTAAGAAAACAGGTGAAAAAATCGTAACGCATCTTTTTATGAGAATTTCGCGCTTAATTTCAGAAAATTTTCAAGCCTTTGAGACCATAACATGAGATCGCGAGAAACTCCTAAACTTTATTTTAATATTATAAAATATTTCAATTTAATCTTAAAATTTATAAAATTGTAAGGCTATTATCTATTTTATTTGCAGCCTTCTATCATCCTCTAATTCATTTCGAGATTCTGCATATCAGGAGCAGGATCATCAGAATACAGATATACCTAATAATGTGTTGCTCGATGGAACTGATCTAAATGCTATTGACAAGATTTTTCAAGGTATTTCCTTACACTAATCAGTCAGAATTTACTGTACATCATATGTTTAAATTTTCTTTTAAAACAACATTTAAATTCATGTTCAAATATAGAAGTTTAGTATTACACTTTTGAATCTACAAACATTAGATATATTAATAATTTTTGTGAATTATTCACACCTCTTTAAATCAAAATAATTTTTTATTAAGCGAAATGCTTAATACTACATATTTAAATTAATATGTACTTTTAGTTATACAATCAATGTTCAGACATTGCATTCTACAATTTTAATTTAAATTAATTTTTTACGATTAGGTAATTATGCAATTAGATCAAGGCATGGTTTTTATTAATTTGAAATTAATCATAAATATCACAATAACAATTTTAAAAATTAAGTCTTAGAACTTTAATTGTTTGATTAGGTATTGAAATAGAATTCTAATTGAGATTATAAGTACATAATATTTATATTTTACATTACATATTTTTAAATGTAATTTATGTACATGAATATTATTGTATTATAATGTATGGATAAAGTCTGAATCGTTTATATTTTGAGAATAGTCATTTTTATTCTTAATCCCTTCTCTCATCACAGTTAAGCAATATTACATAATTTTATTAACAGAATTAATCATATTATATAACCTAATATATGTATTATAAAATTTAGTGTTCATGTCACTATAAAACATTATAATTTAAGATTTGACAATGATCTATTTGAAGTAAAAGTATTAGTTGATTATTAATATTATATAATTGTATAAAAATATATACAAAAAGTAAAAAAATGTTATTAATATAATTTACAAGTACATTTCATACTAAATATTATAATATTTATTTTTTATTTTGTTACACATTTATTTATTTCTTATTCAATATTTAAAAATACATTATAAAATTTATATTAGAAAATTATAATTAGAAAAAAACTAAATTTAAAAACAAAAATATCAGTTTTAATATACTCTATTTAAATTTTTCTTTGCTTAAAGCCACTTTTTGTTTGGTACAATTATATATATGCTTTAACCCATTTACTTGAACATTTAAAATGATATTTATAATTAAATTATTTGGATTAATATAGAACGTTTTTAGATATTTTTTTGGTTTAAGAATCTGATATTTTTCTTAATTTTTTATTCTTTGCAAATTTAGAAAACTTTTAGAATTCATGGCCTACATATTATATAATATTTGGTAAATTCTATATTGTATTTTTATTGAATGAAACATTCCATTTTCAAATTTAGTATATCTATTTTATAATTTTATATCATATTATTTTATCATATTATTTTATCATGAATTATCATTATTATATGTGGGATTTATTTAAATTTATAAATTCTGTAATCAAGGACAACGTATAATAATAACAATTATGTGTCAAAAAATATTTTTAATTCTGAGAAATTAAAGTGTCACATCTATACTTGATGGAATTAAACACATATATAGGAGTGACACGTGATCTAGTGACAATGGCCAGTCAATCAAGTACTGGAGGAAGTTGGGATATAGAACAGGATGGTGATGGTTCACAAGGTACAATGGAATCAAATTTCATTCAACCATCAACTTCATCAGAATCACTATCCAACCATAAACAAGTAAAAGTACGCACCTGCAGTTCTAAGGATGCACTATCACAGAAGGTATCTTATGTAAACATTAAGTGTCTACCTCTCAATTCAGTTTCATTGTTTTAATTTTTCATCCCTGTTGAGCCTTTATTAAAAATTTTTATTTGTAAGATATTTAAATTTTAATTTAAAACTTGTAACTAAGTTATAACGTTTCTTGAATATTAATATTAGTAAAGACAACAGCTATTCTATTTATTTTTTAGAATTTATCTTTTTTTTTATAAAATAAGTTTTTAATAATTCTGGGAATATGCTTAATAGATATTCTTTACTTGATAATAACATTTTGTGTACAAATATAAATGGTAATATTTATGACAAACAAGTTGTTTACATATATCATATTGAATCTTTTTACTAAATAACTCTATATAGCATTTATATTGAAACTTCATACATAAAATAATATTAGGAAAAAGAAGATTATATTTTGCTATTATTTTTAACTAACAGCGTCATAAATAGTTTCTTTTACACAAAATTTTTACATTAAGACACTATTATAAAAATTTTTTAAATACTTAGAATATATTATCAATAATTTCATTTCTATCATTTTTTAATAGAATGAGTAATAAATATATTCATTTTAATATTTATGTTGTATTTGAAAAATTAAAAAATTTGACATTATTATAATAAATGAACTTGAAAATAAAAAATGTGTTTCTTTAATTTAACTTTTAATTATTTTGACTAATAAATGTACAGAAAAATTTTGTATGACAGTTTATTTTAAATAGATAAGAAATTTAATGTATAGACCAATAATAAAAATTTTTATTAATAATATTTTATAACAATAAATTATATTCAATTTATTTTTTGATTAGTTACTTAACACATTTGATTAATTTGTTTGTTAAGTATATATAGTTTCATAATAATTTTCAGTTAATAAACATTAAAAATGGTTTATTATTACTATTCTATAATATATAAAATACTTATATAATTATGAATAAATTCTTTATATATATTTTTTTATGAATACATTTGTAAAAATTTATTGATAAAAAATATTCAATCATTTAAATATTTACATACTTTTATCATACCCTATCTAAAAACTTATTTTAAAATTAAAAAATTGACATTTGGTTAACAATTTTATTATTTACATTTTATTGTATGAACAAATAACATTCAAAGATTTGTTACTTATAAAATGGAATTTTTCATCTAAACTAATATTGAATTTTAAATAAATAAATTGAAGGATAAAAATAAAATTTTGTTTCAGCTGGTCCATGTGGGAGCCTTAGAGGTGCAAAATGTTAAAAGAGCAATTCATCGTTATGGTACACTACCGAAAAATGCAAGGATAGGAGCCTATCTTGAATCTTTACGTCAGAGTGGTATGCCGCCAAATCATGAAAACATTAGTACACTGTTGTCACCGTCGATTTGTTCTTCTATGGTAGAACAAGAACAAACATCTGAAGCACTAGCAACAATTAATATTGTTGAAATACAACAGCATCGCTCGCTTTCACCACGTCAAAATAAATTACGTAATCAGACGCAAATGACGCGTAGTAATTCCGCGAGCGGCGTTGTCAATACTTATCAGCCACCAAATTCACCACGTAATCATAATACTATTGGATCATGCCGTAAAAACAATACGAATAATAATAATAATACTCTAGACAGTTGTAACTTAACGACATTTCGTGCACCTTTAAGTACTTGGATTTTCAGAACTACGAGCCCTTCAAAACACAGTCAACCAAGTCTTGCAGATCTTGAATTTCCTCCACCTCCATTGGATTTGCCTCCTCCATCTTCTGAGTTGCTTAATTCCCGAGAACCATCTGACTTGCTTTTGCCGCAAACTAACTCGTCAAATAGTCAACCTCGAAATACTACATCTTTATTATCTCCTTGCAATTTCAGAAAAGTATCAAAATTCGAGCGCCGTTTAAAAGAGGAGTCAATTTTAAATGATGAGCAGGATGAGCAAAACAGTGATCTCAAAACAATTGAACCCTCGCCCAACGAAGCTAGTTCAAGATTTGGTGTGAATTTAAGAAAACGGGAACTTGAGCAACAGCAGCAGCAGAGTGAATCTAAATCGGTAGATGTTTGTAATGAAATCTTATACAAAGACGAAATCGAACCACTGCCGTTACCACCACCTTCACCATCTCCTACTGTCATTGATAATGTAAGTGAATTTCAAGAAAGTAAGCATAATGGTAATTTTGATACCTATTCTTCAAAACCTGGTATGAAAGAAATGCTAGAATTAAAACTTATTAATGAAATCAAACAAAGTTGTGATACAAAGTCAAGTGATATTTTCAGGAGAGTAAACTTAACTAGTAGTAGTGTAACGTCGTTGGATCCAGCATCACAATTATTGTCCGAGCTTTGTGCTAATTTTAGTGCTGATGCAGTAAGACAGAGCGAGTATGCGGTTACGAGTGTCGATCTTGAATTAAAGGAGCTTCAATCCACAGTTGTTTCACCGCTCACCGAAAATACAACTACTTTAGGCTTTAAATTGAAACATTTAGATTGGCGAGTAAATACTCAATCATCAAGAGAAGAGAATATGGATGGACAAATAATTGACTTTAAAGCACGATTACGGAAGATTGATAATGCTCTTGATAAATCAACATCGTTACCTATAGATTTCGATGAAAAGTCTGGTAAACGCTCAGGTGATGAGAAAACAAATGGCATTGACTCGTTAGATTGTTTATCAGATGAACAATTAGATGATAAAAGACAGAGCACCGGCAGTATTAGTAGCCTCAAGAAGCTTTGGGAAAACAAGGAAATGAACAGTATAGAAACAAGCAATATCGAGGTTGGAACTCAAACAACAGTTCCAACAAGTCCGAAACTTGGAACTGGTATTCGCTGCCCTATAGTCCGACTCGACTCAGCTGCAGATCCAGTCGAGGATTCACCAGAAGATCGCAGTGGTGCATCAACGCGTAGCTCTTCAACAACGAAAAGTGACATTCGATTGCAGTGGCCACTAGAGTATGAAAAACCTCTTGTACCAGCTCGTCCAGTAAAATCTCACTGTGTTCTCACTAAGCATTTTGGCACTTCAATTTATGCTACGCCAAACTGCCAAAGGAGCAGTCCTGAAGAGGATCAACAACAACAATCTCTGATAAAACAAAGCTCAGACATTGGATTGCGATTTAGTTACGATAAACAAAATATTCTAGAAGTAGCCAGTGCTATTGACAACAACATAATTAATCTAAAGGGTAATCCCAGTATAGTAATGACTAGCTGGCTACAACTGTCTGATAAGATTGGATTGTTACACAGCATGTGTTCGAATTATACACAAGAGGCAAATATGCCAGCCCACGCTAAATTCCATTTTCGTGATGTTATTTCCAGATTCGAATTACAAGCCTGTCAACTAAAAGCTGCAGGGGCACGTAATATTACTGAGAATACAAGGTTACTCACAGACTTGCAAAGTACAATAAAGGATGTAGCTAATATGCTACAAAGATAAATGCACCTACACTTTCAAATATAAACATACTTTTATGAGAGCTTATATTATTCACTCGATTACATACTCGTCAATAACAATAAAAAAATATATTAAAAAAAAATTGCACAAATGAAGGAAAAATCGAGTAATACTCAGCATTTATATTTTATTGTTTTTTTTTGTTATAATGATTTATTAAAGAAATTTTAGAACTTATACATATAAATATATACAATATCACTTGATTCAAAGACATTATTTTTAAGTATTGTTAACAAAAAATACGTTGATCTAAGTCATTAATACCATTTTGAGAAAAAGAAAATAAGAATAATAAAAAATAAAAGTACTCTAAGGCAATATCAAATAATTAAATGGTATTTTTTATTTAAACAATAACATAATATTGTAAAATCTTAGGTAATGTGGATATAACTGAATAATAGTATGCGACAGTTGCTCGAGTTTTTTTTAGACAAGAATTAATATTATGATCCTCGTCTCCTTCAACCTACTCCTTGTATATTATTTAAACTGGAATCTATATAAGTTTGGAATTCAAATTGTGTATAACCAATGAGAAAGTAAAACAAAATGAATCTTAAGCTCTTGTAGTAATTAAATCTTATTAAATATCTGGCATAAATAAGCGAAAAGAAAAAAATATAAAAGAAAAATGAAAATTACACTCAAGTTGCTAAAAATATTGTATTATCTTAATTCTATCAAATTTTGTACGTAAAAATCAAATACCCCTTAATATACTATGAACCAAATCTTGAAATTAGATTGTAAAGTCAAAAAACATTTAAATTATTTGTGTGCACTAATGGAAAATATAACTTTGAATTGTATAGTTAGGCGATGACTGTTATGTAATGATACGCTTGAACAAATTATTTTCTCCCTTCCTCATTTAAATTAATAATATTTAAATACTTTAATGAAAAAGTGTAGAACCAAATATAGAAGCTTAATATACACTGTTCTACAAACATGCTCTTCCACAATTGAACTATGTTTTTAGAAATATGATTGCTTATTTGCATGTACTCGGTTATCTATTTATTTTAGAAAAAATTTGTCTATGTATATTATTAAATGAGCGAGCAAGAGAAAAATAATATAAATTTATCACAATACGTATTTAATGAAAGATTTTACAACAGATATATTTATTAAATTGAATAAAGCCAATGAATACTGTCAATCAAATAAAATAATGAAAATTTTATCTTCTGAATGACATATTAAAGTAATATATTATGCATGATTTAAATCAGAAACTGACTGATTTTATTTCTCACTGGCATTTTTGTTATAAAAAAAATTATGCTCAAGAATGAGTATTTTTAAACTATTATATATGGAAAAAAATAAATTAATTAAAATGTATTTATATACCGATTAAAATAATTTAAAAAATGTATTTACTTAGTTTAATAATAAGTTTATGGATTATTTATGTTTATATTTATTTTAAAATTTTTTTCAATGTAAAATGTTAGCATTGATTAATCAATGTACTAATTAACTAATAAAAATGAAATGAAAGAGCTTTAATCCTATTTATTGTACAATTTTTAATTATTATAAAATAATATATTTGTATAAAGTTATATGAATAAATAGATTTTCATTGAATATTTTCATTGATATACTTGGTTGATATTTTAAATCCTATCAAAAGCAATTTAATTTTCTAATGCTTCTTGCGTTCTAAAACAATCACTCACTATTTTCCATTTATCACCCAATGCAGTTATTAGAAAATTTTGGTTAAATGTTTTTGGTGCTTTATCTTGATATTTTACTTGGCCACTAACTTTAACTAAAAATGTTAATTGATTAGCTACTGCAGGTCCTATAAAAATATAACATTAATTTATAACAAAATAAAAAAAATGTTTAAAATAATTTTATTACCAGTAATAGGTTGAGCATCTAAAGTAATGACTGAATGATCTGAAGATGGTAATTCTGTCCAAAAATTCTGAATTTGATCTTTTCCTTCTATACCATTTCCATTCCATATTAAAATAGCAGTATCCATATACAGCCGTGACATTAACTATTATGATAAGTGGAACATTAATTGAAACATAAAGATAATTACAAATTTACATATATCTTACATATCTCCGTTTGTCTAAACTTTCATAATATAATTTCGTAAATTCTTCTGCAGTTCTACAAGCTTGATCAATTTTGGCTCTTAATTCCTATAATACATAAACCATATTCAAAATCTATTTAACAAAATATTTAAATTTTAAATATTAACCTATATTTGTTTAAATTAGGAATTAAGTGTATTTATTTTTCAATAAAAGTGTTTAAAAATACAATATAAATATACATTATTTACCTCTTCCATTATTTGAAATTAGTTAATTATCATATTCAAGTTTATAATGTATTCTACACAAAATCAACCACCGCCAATGCATTTTATTATAGGTACACAAACATGAAACAATACAAAGTAAAAAAACATATTTTCATACTTGGTTAATAGATGTCACTTTATATAATTATGAAATGGCACCAACAAATATCTTAAAAAAAATAAAGAAAACAATAAATAAATTATTGAAACCCCTGCTATTTTCGTAAACAAATTAAATAATATAATTTTAAAAGAATTTATTGATACATATTTTGAATTTGATATACTTATTTTCACATTATATTTAAAAATTGTAAAGAATAATTTTATTTTTATCTATGAAATTTCATAAAATTATAAATAAGAACATTATGTCATAAAATAAAAACACTATTGATATTTATAATACACATTTTCATATTTAATACTAGAATATTTTTAAAAGATTTGATTAAATTTAATTTATTGATGAAAAATTAATTCAAAATATAAAAAATTTACAAAAACTATATTATATAGTATGTTATAAAAAAATATAATATAATATAATAAAAATAGTAAGTGGTAAAATTATAAAAATATCAGAATTTAATTTTAGTTTCCATGATACGCAGCCATTCTGAATAAAAACTTATGTACATTTAAAGTTAGTTCCAAAAAATCGAAATAAATTAATTAAAATCTAAAATACGCAAATGTCTATAAAATAATAAATAAAAGAACATATTATTAATAACATATTATTAAAAACTGAAATATAATAAAATTTAGAATAAAAAATATTTTTAAGAAATCGTATAAGAGTAGTTTTAACTTATTTATTTTTACAAATTATAAATAATCGATCAAATTTCAATTAAATGAGAAATTTATAATGTTGCATCTACTATTTTAATTTAAGTTATCATCTTTATATCTAGTCATTTCCTTACAAATATAGACATTTTCAAACGCATGTTTTTAATTCTTGATCTAAAAGAACTTTAATAAATGAATTAGAATGAGCATGTATATAATCACTCAATAATACTAATTTCCATGTAAATATACAAACTGTCATTTTGTTTCTGTATCAGCTGTAATTTACAGGAAAAAAAACTTTTTCAATGAGTTCGATTAAAAATATTTTGCAATCATTTTCAGTAGAAAAATCAATCACAATTTATTCATATTTATGCATTCGTAATTTTTGAAAAAATTCATTAGGATTATAATATATATTATAATATATACCCCTATTACACTGATGGTACAACTAGATTGAATACCAATTGTACGAACCAATTATACATTAAAACGAATCATTTATTTTTCATGTATAAGATATTTAATTTTTTAGTAATGGAATTCATCATCATATTTCATTTACAGAAACAATTAATCTTTCATACTATCGCTATTCGTTACATAGCTGTGGGAATAGAAAGAATTAAACCATGTATGTCTGATCTACATACCAGGAATTCGTAAGAGAGATAGTCTTCCTCTTGAATATAACATCTTTCTATCACATAATGTGTACTGTATAAATAATAATAGAGGGTCAGTAATATCACTACCAATTAGTGTAAGATTAGAGTTCTATATATACAAAGAGATGGCAAAAAATTCAGTTATGTTCATAATGCAAATTACCTTGTCAAGTGATTATAAAATGTCATGCGTATTGTATCCGAACACTTTTTTACGCCATTATCATATATTTAATTAGCAAAGATAAAAGCAGGAAATTATGTATTTGATTATCGCTATTATCTAGATTGACCGATTTGAACGATTTTCTTACTCTATCTTCAATTATACAAAGAATCAATATTCCGCCGACTGAGCGCCAAATTAGAGATATATAACTATTTTAGATGCGCATATATATGATAAAGTGACATTGTTTATACAAATTTACAAATATAGATATAATTATATGATGACAATATACTATGTAGATCTTTTATTTGATATCTGTAAAGAAAATGTAAATCCCATATAAATATTAATTTAAATAAATCACAAAACTAGTTTAGTTTATTATAAAAACTAAAAATTTAATGACTGAAATAGAAGTTATTAATGTTACTTATCTAATAGTTAATTTTTTTATAGTACTTAAGCATCTAACAAATTATTGTCAAATGTTTCATTATCGGGAGGAAGAAAAGAATAAAAGAACTTTTTATAATATGTATATATCTAGAAAATTATTAGTATTACTTATATTATACATATAACTACAAAAAATTAGTTAAATACGCTATTATTTTTCCGTTTATTTTATATTAAATTAAATTAATTTACAACGTTGATAATCATTATATTATTTATAAAAAAGAATTTGTAGCCTATATTAATTCTATAATTGCATCATTATTTAATGTACAGAATTATAAAAATGTAAACTATAATATGGAAAACCATTTACCTACAGAATTTAGTAAATAAAATTTATTAGGTAAATTAAAATAAAATTACTAAACTTTTACCAAATAACATATAATGTACATAGAATTTAAAAGTAACAATAATATATTCAGATATATTATAATCAAATGAAAAGATAAAGTATTATAGTTGCATTAGATTAATAACAAAATTTTAAACATTTCAAACAATTTTAAATTTCGTAAGACATTAATATTAATTCATAAGACAATTCATAAATAATCTAGTTATCTCAAATATTCTATATTTATGTTTATTTTATTAAATTAAATTTTATACAAAAAACAATGAATTTTGCAGTACCAAATAAGCTATAATTCAAAAGCTTTATATGAAAAATCTACTTACTAAACTGGTTATTAAAAAAAGATATAAATAAGTAAGTAATACGTACTGTTTAAAATCTTTATTATTATTAATATTAATATATTAAATAAAAAAAATTCAAACTCCAATATCATACATATATTTTATTGATGAAACACAAAGTGTAATATTATGTTTTATAAAATAAAGAAATGTTCATATTCTATTAAACAGGTCTTACAACTACCTAACAAGTAGGAACAGAACTACATCTAATTTAACAGAATAAAATTTTAATTAATAAATTTATAATTAGATTACTATACTATTCTGATCCATTTGGTGCATTTGATAAAATTATCCTAAATGAAGTTAAAACTAATTGTTTAATTTGAATTAGGAATGAATTCCTATTATTTTTGTGAAACTCCCTTGAAAATGCATAGAGAGGTTTCCTACGATAGCATCGTACAATTAATAAGACGGGATAAAAAACAGTACATATAAAAAACTAGTTGTACACAACAAGAAAGAAAGAGAAGATACTGAAATTGTGCATGTAGCACTGGTTCTTATTGCCGTTTATTTATTCATGGTCATATATATGTAAGCATGCTCTTCTAAATGCACTTATATATGAATTTGAGCATTTGTACGCGTACATACATTCTTCTTCTGCAATTCCTTTATCCATTAATTGGATAGAAAAATATTTTTTGATTTAGTAAACAAATGTACATAGCTATAAGTTTTCTATATTTACTTTTTTTTCAATGACTTACTTATTATTTACATACACAGCTTTATTACTATAGGCATGTGTAAGAAAGTGTATGTTTACCTATTACGCTTGAGTATATTTATATACAGTTTTCTGTCTTTATACATTTGTTGTTTATATCTTTTTTGTCTTTGTAATATTTGTGAAAGTTATAATTATGTGTCTATCAGTTTGAGGATATTTCGTTATTTAAATTCAGTCTATAAAATATTAAATAAAATTAATTTTATTTAAATATCTTTATTTAAAATTCTTTATATTTATTCATTAAGATTGATACCATTAAATAAGGTAAACTGCCAATTTTAAACAACAAATTTTATCGATATAATTAAGATTTTTTAATTTATCGAATTTTGAAAAACAAGATAAATTTAATATATTTTAAAAAATTTTGAAAGTAAACAAAACTGATACTTGACTGATATTTTTATTATAAAATTCAGAACTTAATTTGTTGGTATGTAAATTATTGTGATATAATATATAATAGATATATCTGCTTCATTGTAGAATTTATAAAATGAAATTGAAGAGATTTCATTTGTTAATTTTTACACTTTTGATATATTTGGTTAATTTACAATGAAATAATAAAATAATCTTAAATTTTATAATTTTTTAAAAGCAAGATCACTGATTAAGTGATTTTTTAATCCAAGTTATTCGGTTATAGCTTAATATCAGAAAAATATACTTGCCATTCTTAGAGAATTTCATTTATTCTAATAAACCAAAAAACTGTTTAGATATGTTTTTCATTATTTTACTATTTTATAAGTATGATTTGTAACTATAAATATATACTAGTTAGTTTTCTTTTAAGTATTATATTTATAATAAATCTAATACCGTACAGATTCACAGAACACTGGAAGTTACATGTTATTAAAACGCATGTTCTTATATGAGCAATTACTACTGGATATCAAAATCAACTACGCAGTCTCGTTAATCTTCTGACTTAAAATAAGAATATGTTTTCAATTCTAAGAATTGACAAATTTTATATACATTTCTGTTCTTTGATTATGCAATGTGCAATAAGAGTTTTTTATTTAAAGCAAATTCTACAAAACGATTACTTACGTTTATTAGTTTGTACTATATACATCCAAAGTAGATCTCATCTTGATTAAATAAAACTGTCAACGAAGTACGGATAACGTTATTGGATTATATGAAAATAAATACAAAACTCTCGTTCGAACTCTTAGTATTTATTTTTAAAAATATATATATATATATCTATTCTAAAGTTTTTATATTTTTTTTATAATCATATAAGCAATATTTTTATCCACTTTCCTTTAAAATTGAATTTATAATTTAAAATTAATTATATAAATTATATATTTCATAGCGTTTGTATAAGTTTATATACTCTTATTTCAAGTAAATATTAAAATGTATATTATAATTAACTTTGGTAGTTAATAATTAATATTAAAAAAATAGTAGTAACACTAATTATCCTTACTTTGAATTGCTATTCAGAAATATTACCTTTATTACTAAAAATTAATTCCAAAAATATAATCATAATCTTATAATCTTTCTTGCATGTTTCCTCAGACTATAATACTCATTGTTTTTTGTTTTATATTTTTCAATTTTCGTTATCTTTCTTTCATAGCATAAATTGTTGATTTATGTAGGTACTAAATGTATGTCACACAAGACTTAAATTTCTATAAGTCCCGATTTTTAGATGCTTTATCTCACTTATTTTGGATATCTGAAAAAATTTTTCAATTGTTTTTATTTATAAAATCGTTGTTTCTTGAATGTAAATAATTAATATAAAAATATATTTTACTTATTAATTTTGTAGTAATGATTTATAATATCAAATAAACCTAAAAGATTAAACTAGAATGCTGTATTTTTTATTTAGATGTTTCTTTTACTTATTCATTTTGTTTTCTTTTTAGATTTCCAGAATTTAAGTTACTAAGAATAATAAAATTTTTGATAATTATATACATATATATATAATCATAAATTTGAAACTAACTTGTTCATTCGTATTTTTATTTTTCTCAGTATATAATTTTAATTAATATTTTTTATCAGATTTGTGACCATCATAAATTTATGTTAAACTTCAAGTAAAACTAACTATTCTAAAATTTGATAGAAAACAAAAAAAATGCACTTGTAAGTCTTTCAATTATTATTATTCTTATCCATGCATTATCAACTGAAAACACTCCATTTTTTTTAATAACGTGATTTTTCATCATAAGTTTTTTATATTGAATTATCTAATTAATTATTTGTTTAAAAATAATTATTTACATGTAAAATGAAGTTGAAAATTTAATTGTCATTCAGTCATTGCCTTTGCAATAATACATGTCTTAACACTTTTTAATTTTTTAAAAATAAGTTACTACTTTACAATTCTGAGTAATAAAAACTGTAATAATAAATTTACAATAGTAAATATTAAATTTTCAAATTATTTTACATGATGTATTTGTATATTATAAAAAGAATAATTTTAATCATTTACTATCATGGATTTTTCTATATTTAAATATTATAGTATGTACATTCTAGTGCTATATTATTTAAAATGGTATTTATAATAATCTATAATTGGGTATGTATAATATATTATATACTACATAATTAATATTTTATAATTTATTTTAAAAGTTTACATTAGTAAATTTTATATTACTGAAGTCAGTTTTACTGAAAAAACTGGATCATTGTAAATTAAATTATTTTTATTTGAAATAAGCATTTATTTTTCTTGCTAATTATATTATTTGTTTAAAATTATTTATAAAAAATAATAGAACATATTTATATCTATTAAATTTATATTTCAATATTTAATCATTTCAGTTAAAATTGAAATAGAAATTTATTCTAATAAAATTAATAAATAAGAATGAAGAAAAAGAATTAATTTAGCAAAATGTTTATATTAATCCAATTAAAGTTGTATGTTCATTTATAATAATCTTAATTATTTTATATTAAATACATAAATTAAAGAATTTCAAATATAGAATTTCATATACACAACAATCACACACAACTTAATAAGTTTATAGTATAATATAAATATAAATATCAGTATTATATTAATTTAAAAAAATAATATACACATTTGTAATTACGCTAATCATGATAATAATAAAAATAATAATAATATTATGGAATATAAATTATTCACTTATCTATAAGAAATATGATGTTAAATATAATATATTAATTATAATATTAATGAGTAACAACACTATTAATAATAAAACTATATTTTAAAAACTAAAAATATTTGAAAATTTAATGAATGTGAAAAGTTAACAATTATATCAATTATTTTAAATGCAATAATTTAATTACTTTCAAATACTTCTATGTTTACACAAATAAAGTATTCAATATTTTTAGATACTCTATAATAATGAAATTAAAAATATATTCTTACATAAAACCCATTATAATATTTAAACAATAATAAAATTCTTTTTAATTATATGTTGAAAAAATAATTCCTGTATCATCAATGTTATATCAAAATTTATTTTCCTTTTAATCAAAAGTATAGTTGTTGATAAAATAATGCATATATGTATATATATGTATATTTAAAGTAATTTTATGCATCGATTTTATTATTTTTTGACTTTATATTAAATTTTTGTATCCATGTAGCGTTTACTCATTTTTATTTTAGTATTTAATTTAGATAAATTGGAATGATTAATGAAATTTCATTTATGGAATCTAATAAATGACAAGCCTCTGTCGCACAACTTGAAATTGTTCGTAAATACCATAATGTACACTCTAATTTAGTGAACTGAGAACTACGTACACGTGATCGATTATAAAAGCATAAAAGAGTTAGAATGAATGTTTCAGGGTGGTTAAGATATTAGAGGGGCAAGGGATGCAAAGAGAAAAGCAAGATAAAGAGTCACATGACCAGCCTGAAGTACCTACTCATTCTAGCGTAGTTATTTTTTTTTAGGCATGATGGCGCCAAATGTTATTATCTAATTTTATATAAATTCAACGTTTTTATATGAAGATAAATCAGTATAAAATAAATATGTACATGTATTTTTATAACTTTAATGTATCAATATTGTCAGTTGCTCATGCGCTTATTCAAGTTCATCACCGAATTCAAGTTCTAGTAACAAGTAAGTACACATGAAAATCACCCATTGGTGGCACATCTTTCTCTTTCTCTCTCTTCCTCTCCGCCCTCTATTTCATATTCGCACTCGATATAATTCTTCCACCTGTACGACTGAACCAATGTTCAAGAGAAATGAGATGAAAAGAAATGTGCATACAATTCATCTTTCAAAAATCCTTTTTACATGTCGAAAGGATTATAGAATAATGAAATGAGTAGATTTTTATCATTACTAGTATTACTAATATTCTTGAAAATTTAAGTATAAATATATAAATGCATGAGCCGATAAAGGATAAAAATAAATGCACGTATTTTTTATATGTAAATGAAGATGACCTTAAAGAAAATATTGTAATATAATTTTTAAAAACAAATACAAAATGTAATATATTTTATTTTAATAGTGAAAAAGAATTTTTTTGATTTTGTACAAACATGCGTGAGTGAAAAATAAAATTGTTTATTATATAAACAAATATTTCAGAATGATTTTTTTTCAAAATCTAATTTACGTGGGCAGCGCGCCAAAATTATATTGCGTTAATAAATCAATAAGACATTTTATAATGTTTTGAAGCGTGCGCATCTATAGGTATATCATACGAATTAAATGGCATCTCTATGATAATGGCTTTAAGGCTTAAATTGCATTGTAGAGTATATGTAGATTAGTGTAGAGTAGCAACCGTCGACCAGCAACGTCCGGTATTTCTGTCATAGCGAGAGTGAGAAAGAGAGAGAGAGAGAGAGAGAGAGCGAATGATCGTGCGATCAGTGCTTGATTACGTCCTCTTTTCGCACTCTGCCTGCTTTCCCCTTATCCCTCCTACGAAAACTTCGACGAGACAAGCGAGAGAACCTGTGCCTTGTGTCTGAAATGCGCCTCTTGAACAGACGATGCTGCCATCTACATTGTCAATGTTGTTGGGCAGCAGCAGCTAGCAGCGGCAGTGGTGCTGTAATGGAGCTGTAGCGCGTTTTCCTGGCTCCCCCCATGTTCACCAAGAACCAAGTGAGACCCATCGCGCTCTGAGCCATACATCATCCTCGGCTGCGCACCCTCATCTGAGGCAGTTTTGCAGAGCTGAAGTCTAGCCGTGGCTACGGCAAGAAATATAACGCGCGCGGAGAATCCCCAAGGCGAGTGTGAACTATGAGTTTGAAATGAGGATGAGAGTCGCCAAACGCCACGGACCACTGACACCAAACTCTTCAGCTCCCTGCAGTTTGTGCGCAAGAATTTTACATATTCGCGTAATGTGTTTTCTTGTCGGAAAGCTACATGCTTACTGATAGCTATCCTTTACAATACTCTCAAGGCCCTGATTGTGTTATATTAGGAAGAAACGCACACGCGCCACCAGCGTATCCGACTCCTCCGTTTGTGTATGCGTGTTTACATGATAGCGGCGCGCCGTTTCGAGAGTTGTCGCCGTGTTCCCTGGGTTCGCGGAAACCGTGAGCATTATTACAGACATATAACCTCCGCTACAAGCAACAATTCTTAAAAGGGGTTGGTAGTCGATTATTCGATTTCCGGGGGGATATACATTCTTCACTGTTAAGAGGGCCATGCGCCGCTCAGAATGACTTCGAAGCACGTCATCGATGTACCTTCTCATATGCCGATTCAGTGATTTCGTTCTACTCAACGACAGTTAGGGTTAATTAATTTCATCATTTAGCAATGTTGAATTCATATTTTATACAAGTTTTTAGTGTTTTAATTTATTTATTAACAATGAGTATTGTTCAAATGATTGGTGCTGGGAGTAACATTGGTACATGGGATGTGCAATTGGATCTAATTAAGGATCGGTTTCGTGTGCGTTGGCTCTAAAAGACATTCTTTATTTGTATTTATTACAAATTGAATTATTAATTGCATTAACTTTTTAATATTAAGTTGTGAATTTCATTTTTAATCAATATTAACTTTTACTTTTATTTTCAGATTCAACGGATGTTCATTTACCAGATAATAACTATATGAAGAACTATGTAGTGAGTATAAGATAACATTAATGGATCAATTAAAGGATAAAATGGTTATAATATATCACAGAGGGTAAATGCCAAGATTTTATAAATATTTTAAAAAATAGATTTGTGCAGTAATGTGATAAACTTAGTAAAATTAATAAAATAATAAATACTTTTTCAAGATTTAAAAATAATTTATTGAAAAATATTCAGGGATACAAATTTAATTCTTATATCAGTGAATGAAGAATTACAGAATTGAGTTGAAAGTTATCAACTATCTCTTTTTTTATAACAGCATGTATAAAAAAACAAATTTCAATATTTACATTGATGTAGTTTTCAAGTACAATAATATTTAATATTAGTTACTTTTGTTTTTGTAATTAGTTTATTTAATATATATGTTTAATTAAGCATAACTTTTTGCAGGATGCGCACGGCTTGTTTGCATGTGCAGCATATCACTAAATCGTTTGGTGTAGTAGAATGGCACAACGAGGCAAGAGAATTAATAGAAACGATAATGACTCAGCGTCTTGCCCTGCGGCAATTAAGAGGCGCAAATGTAGAGTTGGACCATCAGCTACAGATACCCCAGTACCAGTGGCAGCACTGGGACCTTCCGAGGAAGAAGAAACAATGGCATCATCCAGTCAAGGAGGGACATCCTGGACCCCCAGACCTCTTAGTGATATTAAAATATCTAGTATCTACAATAGATCAGCAGCAGAACCACCAGCTGAACTTTATCGCAAAGATCTAATTAGCGCAATGAAATTACCTGATAGTGAACCACTTAGTCCTGGTGAATATTGGGTAATATCTGATCAATGGAAGCAAGAATGGGAGAAGGGAGTGCAGGTCCCTGTTAATCCCGATTCACTTCCAGAGCCTACAGTTACCCTTATTCAAACTCCACCCATGAGCAAGCTTTATGGCGAATTTAAGTTGTAAGTAATTGGTTTATTATTTTAACTTTAAACAATTGTAATGCACTTGTTAATCAGAATATTTTTTTTTTTTGTTTAAATAACCCATAATATATTTTTATAAATGTTTAAATTACGTTTGATGTTATATTATAATAAAAATTACTTTATTTTAATTCCATATATTTATTTTATTGATACAATATAACATTTTATTTGAATAAAATGATATTATTTTACAAATCATAGATTCTAAATAAACTTTTGATAACATTTATGGTTGCATTCCATAAATTTTAACTTCATTTAAATTAAGATTAAATTGTATTAATTTTCTTGTTATGAGACTTAAAAATATTATTTGCAGTATTAAATTTTTCAATAATCTACACTTAGAAACATTTATTTATTCAGTATTTTACATTTCTTTCTTAACATTTTTTAAAAATATCTGTTAGTAATTCTTAGTATTATTTATTTAAGACCAAAAAAGTTTTTGAGAATATCTAGAGATGATTGTTTTAATCCGGAAGATCATTATTTAAGTACTACTCCAGCTCGATCTGAAAAAGCTTGTGGATATGATTTAGATGATACTGACATTGCTTGGCTTGAAGTTCTTAATGGAGAAAGGGCATTGGTAATTATATAATAATAAATTTTCTTTTATTATTTTATTTCAATATTCATATTTAATTTAATTATTACAATATATCTTTTCAATTACTTTTTATACTTATATAATTTTTATGCTAATATTGTTTATTATACAGTGTGCTCAGTCTTCAGTAACCGAATCTCAATTAGAACGAGTCATAGAAGAACTAGAACATCGCTGTTGGGATAAAATTCAAACAATTGTAAAAAATGAAGAAGGTCTTGGAATTGAGTATGATGAAAATGTTATTTGCGATGTTTGTAGATCTGTAAGTATTAATGTTTTCATTGAATAAATAAAAAAGAACTTAGAAATCAATATTTTATAAAAGTAATTAAAGAAACTAAATATATTATAATAGTAAATCAATGTTATTAATTCATTTTTAGCCTGATTCTGAGGAGGGTAATGAAATGGTTTTTTGCGACTTTTGTAATATTTGTGTGCATCAAGCATGTTATGGAATTACATCAATACCTGATGGTTCCTGGTTATGTAGAACATGCTCATTAGGCCAGAGACCCGAGTGTGTTTTATGTCCTAATCCTGGTGGTGCTATGAAATCTACACGTAGTGGACAAAAATGGGCCCATGTTTCATGTGCACTCTGGATTCCTGAAGTTAGCATAGGTTGTGTAGAAAGAATGGAACCCATTACAAAAATATCAAGTATTCCGGTAAATGAGAATTTCAGTTAATTAAATTATAAATTTCTTCTCTGTTTTACTTAGTTGAATTAATTGAAAAAATCTATAATTTTGTAATAATTCTAATTCTTAATAACTCAGCAAAGTCGATGGGCATTAATATGTGTGCTATGCCGTGAACGTGTTGGTGCTTGTATTCAATGCAGTATAAAAACTTGTAAAACCGCGTACCACGTTACATGCGCTTTCAAACATGGACTAGAAATGAAAGCTATAATAGAGGATGAACAAGCTGAAGATGGCGTCAAATTAAGAGCAAGTAGTCTTAAATTAAACTATAATTTATCAAGTCATTCCTGATGTAAATTTGTAACATATTAAACTCAATTATATTAATACTTTAATATTTAATTTTATTTTTGTTTTTATTATATTTTATATAAAATTTTTTATAAAATATTTATATACAATACCTTTTTATAAACTTCAATACATTATATAGCATCAACAAAGAACTGTTTTTAATATAATTTTTTTAACTAATTTTTTAATAATTTATTAAGTTATCAAACAAACGTTTTGCTTAAGTATTTAATACTTTTTCGTAATTTAATATATAAATAATATTTAATACTAATACATTTAAAAGAAAAAGAGGTATTATACTAATGCACATAACTATGTACCTTTTTCAATATACAATACAAGCATGTCATAATTAATTTGATATTTAATGTTGGTCTGTAATATTTGAAATTGAATCGAAATGATATTAATAATAAAATTTATTTATTAGAATAGAATTTTTCAACTATATATATTTATATATATATAAATAAAATATACATTTTATTATGATTTTCATGTATATAGAAATAATATTTATAAAATATTTTTATCAATTATTTTGTTGTTTATAAATCTAATAAGCTTATTTAAAAATAAGGTTTTTTAATTAACAGTAAAATGTACTGCTTGTATTTGAATATAATTCATAATTAATTTACTAATAACTAATTTACTATAATGATGATAATTACATAACTAATTTACTATAATGATGAACGTGATATAATGATTGAAATTTTATTCATATTAATAAATGTAGTCACTAAATAGTTAACAGTTATTTTTAATTTCGTAGTCATATTGTCAAAAACATGGGAAAATAAATACAAAAGAAAAAACAACTGGAGGAGGCACTGGAAGTGGAAGTGGTAAGGGAGGTTCTGATTCTGATGAAGGCGAAGTTCGTAGAAGAAAACGTAAAGATATGAGTTCTGAGGAAAAGAACCAAGCACGTGCAGCTAAGTAAGTATAATTAATTTTTTTATTCAAATCATACTTTCATTTGTATCAAATTTGTTATATATTTAGTAATAAAAAAATTTGTAATTTAAAAATAGTAAAATTGTTATAATTTATATTTTTGCATACGTTATAAGTATATTAAAACTATTAATATTAATTTAATTATTTTTTAAATTAAGAGAAAAAACGATGTAATCAAATTTTTTGTTAAAGTTTATGATATTCATGGGAACTATCTAAAATACTTATTTTCCTACAATCAGCATTAAATAAAATAATAAGAGTATTTATAAGATTTTAAAAAATTTATAGTTTGAAAAGAATAATATCCCTTAAATATTATTTTCATATATGCTAAAATTTTTTAAAAATAGACTTCAAGAAATTGAAGCCGAATTCGATAAACATGTATGTTTGAAAGATCTAACAAATCAACAATTGGATGTGGATTCTGATGCAATTATATACATTTATAATTATTGGAAACTGAAAAGAAGGGTATGTTATAAACATATTTAATTATTCCTTTATTTACAATTATATAGTACATATAGAATAAGAAATAGTTTTTACACGTAGATCTTTTTGAGGAATAATAAAATTTAAATATCTTAATTTCTATCTTTCAATTTAGTGAATCTAAAGTGTATTTGTATTGGATTAGATATTAATATATAATTAATTAATTATTTAGAACTGTTTAAAATATTTGAATATATTAATCTACCCTGAATAGTTAATAATTTTAATGAATAATAATGAAAAGCTTATTTTAAATAATTAAATATGAAAAGTTTTAAATGTTTAAATGTAAGAAAAGATCATAGAAACAAATTTATAATTTATAATGACAGATTAAAAGATTGAATGTTTTTTTAAATTATTATAATTATTTAAGGGATCAAATGAATATTTTTAAATGAATACTCATATTAATAATAATAGAAATATTTATTTTTAATCTTTATATTTTTAGTCAGGGCATAATAAGCCATTACTTCCACCACGTTGTGGTGAACTTTCTGGATCAGGAGTACGGGCACAAGGTCAGGCTGCTGATAATGAGAAGATGCGTAAGTTTGTTCAATTACGTCAAGATTTGGAGCGCGTACGAAATCTTTGTTATATGGTAAATCGACGAGAAAAACTTTGTCGTACATTCCTTCGACTACGTGAACAAACTTTCCATAAGCAAGCATTGTTGGTTTCTGGGGTAACTATGCCTACTACAGCCGCAGCTGCTGTTCTCGAAGCTAATCATGGTCCATCAATCTATGATCACCTTTATTCTCATCAAGAGGCGGAAACACATACTCATGATATAGATTCCCTGCTTTTGCACATTAAAGGCCTCGATTCATCAAGTACGTCGCACTCGAGTGACGAAAAGAAACATGAATCGAATTTTAATGGTGCTTCAAACAAGCGTTTACATTTTAATGGCTCGATTTCACGTAAAAAGCTTTATGGCAGCGATCTATCTTCTATAAGTAGCAGTGAAACAGAACAACCCAAACCAACAAAGTACTCTGCTACTACCAAAGTCAACACTGATAAAAAATTGGTTCGTTTTATATATCAATATTTAAAACATTTATTTTCTCATATAATATTTAATATTATTAGTTAATATTATTAAATTTTATTATATATTATTATCATTATATTGCAATTACAATTAAATAATTTTAATATTAAATTATACATTGTATGTATTATTATTGATGTATTTATAAATTTATTTTTTAATATAAATGAGTTTAATATAAATGTAATTAATGGCATATTTTGCTGTATATATATAGTTTCATAAAATTCGAAGATTCTTCAAAACATTGTTTAATAAATTGATTATCTAATACAATACCATATATTACTCTAAAAAATTTCATAATTTAAAACTTTTTACAGCATCAGCTCAGTAAGAGTAAGATTATGCCGAAGATTGAGACAGAATCTAGTACAGAAGATGAAGAGAAACGGTTCATTACAATAAGCAAAGCTAGTAGCAGTAAAGTTAATCCAAGATATAAATCTAAAAAAACTAGTGCACCGGATCGACCGCGTACATATAATCGTAAATTACTTGACGAGAATAGTGAAAGTGATATAAAATCTGAAAAAGCAATAACGAGGTCACGTACATTACAACATATGGAGCGCGAGCTTGGTAGCGTTTCCGGTAGCGATTCAGATGAGCTTCTACCAATTAGCAATAAAAGCATAGCTTCTCGACTAGGACCGACATCTGTAGCTGAAATCTATTCAGATACAGATGACTCATCTTTGGAACATTCTTCTCATACTTCAGTTTATCCTTGTGAAAAAGTTATTACTAAATCTTTTATTCCCAGTGAGACCTCCAAAAAGAAGGACAAAGATAAACACAAAGATAAAGACGTTAAGGATAACAAGGATAGTAAAGACTTAAAAGAATTTTGTATTGATATGGATAAAAATGATATGAGCGCAAAAAATAAAGAAAATCAGAAGGTTCTCAGTAGAAATAGAGAATGTATAGCATCTGCACTCATTGTTCCACAACGACAAGCAGCTAAGAAAGCCTCAGAAATTATGCAGCGTTCACAAAACAAAAAAGAATCTATCTCTGCAGCCTCAACATCAGGTTCAGTTATGTTGATCAATAATGATCAATTATCTGATACTAAATCATTTATTGAAGATGTAAAGCCAACTATTAAATTTTCTAAAGATTTCAAAGAGATCAAAGAGTCTAAGTTATCATTGTCCTCATCAAAAAAATACAAGCAAGAAAATAAACTTTTTTCGCGTGACATCACAAAGGACTGTAAAGGAAATGACATTTATGACTTTGATAAAGAATTCGGGGATGGTTCAGAAATTTTTGCTTATGTGCCACAACGACAAGCGGCTAAAAAGGCAGCCGAGCACATAAAAAGTGGTATAAGTGCAAAATCGTCAGTGGTCGTAGTAGAAATAGATAATAGTGAAAATAAATTTAAAAAAGAAACAACTGATATTTCTATACCTGCTGTAAAGAAAAGGCAAGAAAGTAAAAAAGAAGACTCATCTATAAAAGATGAAATTCTTACAACTACAAAGAAGTCATCAAAAAAAATGATGATAAAAATTCCATCTGAATCATCGAGTAGTAGTAGTAGTAGTAGTAGTTACAGTAGCTCAACTGATAGTAGCAGTGACTCTGATGTATTTAAGAATTCAGAACAATCGGCACATCAAGCCAGCATTATTAAAGAACAGACAACATTGCTAACTACATCATCTGAAAGTGATTCCGGACTACATTCCAGTAATCGAAGTAAAAGTGATACGGTTTCTAAAATTCGACAGTGTCAAAATAAAATTGAAAGTAATATCGATTCCAAAAACGAGGGTAAAAATGAAAATAAAGTTGAAAATAAAATTGATATTAAAATTGAAAATAAAATGATAGAGAAACAAGATAAAAAACTTAGTTCGCTTTCATTTTCTTCAAGTACGGGGCGGAAACTTAAAAAGCTGCCTGAGAAGAAGCTTAAAACTTCCGACGGGCGGCATGGACACGAGTTTCAGCCGCCGTCTACTGAAAGAGATGAATCGAGTCGAAACTCATCAACCAATTACAAGGATGAATTCAAATATAACAAGCAGCATAAAAAACAACAGTACCAACAATTCTCCTCTAAACATAAATCTGTCGAATGCAAGGACAGTACTACAAAAAAATCAGCTACAGTTCAACCACAGCAACAACAGCAATATCGTCATCAGCAGCAGTACGAGTCACAAACTCAAGTTGATGAAAGTGTGTTCAGTGGGTCTCGAGATAATGATGGGTCACGAAATTTATTTAGGCTCAAGTCTGTTAAAAAGTCCAGTCAAACCTCCAAGTATACACAACAATCGCGGTACCAATCATCATCTATTAAAATCAAGGACTATACCTCTAACATCTCAAAAGCAAAAATCGCAGAGGCTCGTAAACGAAAATCTGGCCAAACTACGCAAAAAGAAGAAAACAGTCATGGTAAGAATGCGACTTCGATCAAAAAGGTGGAGACGGAATTAAATGATAAATCGAATGAAAAATTGTGCTCTAAGGATAATATTGAATATGATTCAAGTTGCATAAAGGAAAGAGTTGCAACAGTAGAACCAATGCAGAAAATATCGACACAAATTTCTGAGAGTACTTCAATAAAAAGTGATAATAAAAAGTTAAAGAAAATCAGTAATAAAAATAATATTGTAACATTAGAAGAAGAAATGAAACAACGTAGAGCAGAGCGTGATAGTCCAAAAAAATCATCGAGGGGTTTGGATAAATTGTTGGAAAAACGTGAACATTTATATAAATTGTCAAAGTCTAAGAGTGTGGATGCTTCAAAACAAGAAAAAAGTCTACCAATAAAAATAGATAAATTAGAGAACCCTGAGAGCAATATAAATATTGATGTATCCAAACTCACTGTTCGAACCAAAAGCGAAGATTTTAACAAGTATGTAATAGAAACTGAAAATTTAATTAGCAAAAAAACGCTAATGAAAGATTGTGCAAGCAGGATAAGTAATGATATAATACCAAAGGACGATTTATTAAATACATCATTTGTCGAACGAATAACTGAAAGGAAAAGTATTGACATTCTATTGAGTAGTAATGAATATCTAGATAATTTAAAACAGCCGCAATTATATCAACATAGAGATGAATTAAATAATAAAGATAATAATGAAATCTCATTTTCAAAGCCATTATTGGAAAAATTTAGTGTAATGAATGAAATTAGTGAAAAAGAAAACAGCAATAAACGGCATAGATCAGTGAATCGTTCCATATTTTCACCACAACCTGGAAACAAAGATACAAGTGTACCCGAACTTTTTGATTTTGATCATGATATACTGACCGATGATATGGTTAATGATGATGGATTTAGCATACCCCGAGATGCTGAGGAGCGTGCAGCGCCACTTTCCTTTTCCTTCAATAATGAATTATGGTTCAAAGAGGATGCAAAGGAAGACAGTGCTCGTGAGACTTTGCATCTTGTTGAAAAACTTCGCATGGAGTTGTCGAAGAAATCACATTCTAGTCAATTAGATCTTGAGCCTAGTATAGCAACTGCTATTTCTGTTGATGTTGAAATAAAGGGATCTCGTGTTATCGAAACGAAACTCAAGAATGAAGTACATCATCAAGTACCACGATTAGAAAAACGTGAAATTAAAGTTTTGAGCAATGAACTAACAAACTCTGAGCTAAAAACTGGTATCAACACTATGGTTCCACATTTAATCGATGAAATTGTGCAAACTGAAACACAACAAATTGAAGATAAGAAAAAACCGTGTTATGAAAATAATTGTGAGTCTACTTACATGTCTTACGATAATGAGGATATAGAGAATGGAAAAGTTACAATGGCTGAACGTGCCAAACTTGATAGAGCGGAAGCGGATGAGCGTTGGGTTCCACCAAGTATTGACAGTTTTAATACCGCTGAGCAGCTAAGTGCTCTTATCGATAGTCAAGCACATCGTTATGGGTTAACCAGCCAACAATTTCCAAATGACTTGAATGCATCAGACCTTGCCACAGAAAACGCCAATATCAGTGGTTCTAATTTAGTTCACTCGCAACTACATATGGATATGCAGGAACAACAGTACATGCTACGCACATCTATTGAATCACACGGAGAGCAAACTCATGCAGTTCAAGGCATAGCTTCGCTTGTTGAGCAACAAGTTAGCTCATTACCGAGTCACGTAGTTAATGATGTAACGCCCATAGAAATGGTAAATAGACATCTTATTAGTCTGCCAAGTGCCGATGAGGATCAAACAAGCGAGATGGATAGAACTCTTGACAAAGATGAAATTAGCTCCGAAATTACGCGGCAAGATTATGTACCAGATGTTTCACCCTATAATGATCTGACTGTTGTTCGACAGGACACACGTTGGGCTGAAAGTCAAGTACTTCCATCTCGAAGATCGACTTCTTCCTCTATCACTTCAGCTTCTTCGGTTGATGATCACTCAGGTATTCCACCTTACAAAAGCAATGGTTCCAATATATCAAACGTGAATTTTTCCACTTGCTCAGTTGAAGCTACAGTAGCCTCTTATCACTCCTATGAGCCAACAAATAGCTATGTAGGACCAGTTTCACTCTTTC